CTGCACCATTAAGCAGTCAGACTCTAGTGTTGGCGCTCTCCTCAACGCCATGCTCACACACCCACATGGACACTGCAGATGCTCCAGACTGTCAACACCTATTGTTATTCTTCTATTCAACATCATCCTTTCATAAATGTCTTATTTCCTCTGGTAACTCAAGCTCCTTCTCTCAGTTAAATTGCATTATGGGAAATGTAGGACGAAGTGTCTATGAAGCATGAGACAACCGGGCTCTAAATACCAACATGTTTTTGCCTCACAGATTCAACTTCATGTATTTTGCATTTATACAAAGATGACAAAACATCTTACAAATCGACAACTCAAAGCAAACTTCACCACATCCCCTCTGATGAGCCACAACTCCAGAAAAACATTCCCAACAAGGTCACAGGCCTCGGCTGTTTTTAGATTCGATAATGCCCTGCAAAGTGCCAACATCCTTCTTCTGAGAGGGAGACGGTGTTCATGGGAAATGCAGTTCAACTCTGAAAATATCACTGAGAGGCTGCAAGGTGTCTTAGCTGCAGTCACATTCACACTTGTTATCACATGAAATTCAACTATGTCTAAAAGTAGACTGCACTTAGCGCCTTTACCATTCCCCAAAATGCTGAGGAAAGCATCATAACTGAGGATTAAACAGAGTGGGAGAACAAAAACAAAAGACAGGGCAGGGACTTTTTCTGAGTAACACTTGAGTTTGTCAGTTTTCAGCTGCTTTTTGGTCTAATGCCAAGTTTGTGATCATTTTTGGAGCATCCTCAGCAGGTCATTTCCCATCAGTGACAGACAGGGCTTCAACATCCCACACACACGCATATGGTCTTATTCTCAGTGCACACACACTCATCAGGAAAAGCTCAAATCTCCTACCAGATCGACACTTGATGATCTCCCCAAACTCGTCCTCCACTGGCTCGTCGCAGTAGTCCTCGGGGCGCACACCCTCCGCCATCGATTCCAGGGCACTGGGTGTTAAAAAGTTACACGTAAGGGGCGGGGTTTATTGATCAGCCAGGTTAAATCCAGCAAAAAAAAAAAAAATCCCAAAGGTTACAGATCCAGACCCAGAAAGAGCGCACAAAGTGAACGCAAGAACCGAGCACCGATGAAGACTGGAGGGGACAGGGGCAAGAGGAGGAGGAAGAGGAGGAGGAGGACGGGAGTGTCAGACTGTCACAGACGGGGCTGAGCAGGTGTGCAGGGTGGGGGTCGGAGCATTCCCACCTCTAAATAGTAGGATGCTTGGAGGCGGTAGCTCTCCGCGTGGTCCCGTTTGGCGGACGCCATGCGTAAAACTTGACACCTATCGGACGCGTAAGTGTTACTGGGAGATTATTTCCGCACTGGGAGCGATGATGTATTAGCAAAATATAAAGGTGAGGTCAACTTTGACCTCCTGTGGATGGTGTTCACGTGACATGGAGCGACCAATGCTCTTATATTTATACACAAGTGACACGATTTCTCAAATAACCCCAATCTGACGCAGCCAGTGAGATGATGTGCGTGGATTTGGGTCATGGGGTTTACAGCACAAAAACTAAACATGGATGAGTTTTATTCTAAAAATAACAATGATCAAAAAAGTTGATGAAACATTGGCAACAGTCTGGATAAAACTGGAAAAAAAACATTATTTTGGAGTGTTTTGTTCTGATCCAAAGAAGCAGAACTGGTCACCCACGTGTCCCCAATCTCAGGGTTTGGAAAGATCACAAACTCACTTCAGAAGCTAAACCCCCACCTCCTCTGTGAGAACTGCTCTTCTCAGCTTCGTGTCAGACTTCCTAATATTAGATCTGTTGATAAACTGACTCTCTGGATTTCCCGGCTATTCAGAAGTAGGACTTGATTTACAGTAATGGCTCCATTACGCACGGCGCGCTACACATTTCAGAGTCTGTGAGAGTTTCTATTATTAGATCTGATGGTATGATAGATCCGGCGCAGCTCTGGGCTACAGTCCCCCCAGGCTACTCATGAGCGGTGAGAGCCTGGAGGGGGGTATGTGGGGGGGAGTGAATGAGCTGTTCCAAAAACAGCAGGCACTGTGTGGCATCCCGAGCAGGCAGCCGCCGGCTAGACGTGTTTGCGGGCGGGCAGGGCAGGGCAGGAGGTTGAGGGTATTTTGAGAGACATGAATATTAATGTCTGTCTTCATCTCGATTAACCTCTCTCATGATATAATTAATAAAAAAAAACAAAATTCAGTTTTACACTTGTTGCACATACCTGGATCCAGTACTCGAGTTGAGGGGGGACGGCAAATACTATTTTAACATTACAAATATTACCACCATTTGATTAACTGACTGTGAGCAGCGTATGGAGCCACACAAACCTGCGTACAAACCAAACATATCCTCCCCGCCAGCATCACTAACTACCCGCAAAACAGCGCTACTTTTTGGATAGGGTTACGGTAACCAACGGTGCACACTTGGAGCTCTATCGGTTCACTTCAACATACATCCACTTCGATGTTGATCCCTCCACTTACTTGCCAGGTGTGTATTCACGCCATCATGCTGGCTCAGGTTTCCAAAATGACAAACAAAGCGCCATTTCCGGGTGTAAAAAAAGATGGGTATGGCGGGTCAAAGTGGTCACATGATGCAAGAAAAAAAAATCTCTTGTTTGCCATGAATCCCTAAAAATTAATTCTTCATTTATTTGTGTAAAAACAAAGTTAGATGGTAAAAAAGTACAGAAAAAGGTCTAAAGTTTAAAAATGGTTTAAATGTGAATAAATGTGTTTTTTTTTTCTAAACTTATGTAATCAATACCGCCCACAGGGAGGGGCTAGAGGTGTCAAAGAAGGCTGTCTGGGCCTTTTATTGAGTCTGGAGTTTGTTACATGAATTTAACTGCAAAACTGACTTTTGTAGTGCTGCTGTGTTTCTGATTTTTGTCTAGAGGGAGAATCTTGAGTTGCCTCGTTGGCATTTTCTTTTTTTCCTTGTACGTTTTGTAAATGAAGAAGAACAATCAGTATCATAGTCAAGAGACATGGAGAGCTCAATCTGAGGGATAATCTAGTAAAATAATTATCTTTGTGCTTTTGCGAAAATAAGATGTGTACACAGTTGGTTTCCCACCATGTGAACTGTCAGCAGAACAAAATATCTATCCTAAATGATAAAATCCACCATCCCCCCTGATTTTTTTTATTTTACAACTCGACTATAGTCTGAAGCAGCATCCAGCAGTGAGGTCTCAGCGTCCTGCAGTGCACAAATTCAACCAGAAGGCGTCAGTATAACACAATCTAAGTGATTTACCAAGCGGCAGTTGCAACAAAAAAATAATATTTTGGGAGCTTTTTAGGAAGATAAATGACAAATAATTATGTAACAAGAAAAATAGATGTATTTATCCTTGTAGAAAAAAACTTTTTTTGCACTTTTTCTTCATGTGAAACTTGTGTGCCATATCAAACTACAAACTCTACTAACTAAAAGTAAACAGGTTTCAATCATAATTATCAGTGTATTTTGCTCTGATGACCACAGGGTGGCAGACCAAGTGTCCCAGACTGAGGCCAACAAGTCTGAGTCGTGCAGATTTTTGGACAAAATAAAAAAAAAATCGTCAAAGTTTCTCAAAAATAACTTTAATATGTATCTTTGAATTCCTAGAAAAGTGTGCATATAGGGTTTTATATCATTAACCACTGTTTATTTATTTTTGACAGGATACACCATTGAATAATTTCTGTTAGTAACAATACATACATTCATAAGTTTCTAACCTGATATCACAATATCAGACAAGAGGCAGAGCAACTGTCAGCTGATTCATGACACTTTGAGGTAAATGGCATCAGCTAGTGTCTGAATTTAAGGAGCTGATTAAAAAACACATGTTCTCCCCTCTTTGATAACAGCAGATCAAATCTAAAACAGCGACTGGCTACAGATCGATATAAAGTCTCTTGGGATGTGTAGAATAATGCAGTTTTGTAATGCTTTTGGAATAAAACCAATCATGTTATAATTTCTAGGCCAAAACCCAGAGCCGGCCCAAGCCTCAATGGGGCCCTGAGCAAAATTTGATTTTGGGGCCCTCTATTTCTGCCAATAATATTGATTGTTGATCATTCACACACCTTCACAAATCTCTTTAACATTCCATGACATGCAAACATACCTTTATCTTGGCGTTTTTTCTCTTCTTTTCTTTCCTCTGCTCCTGAGGGATATGTCCTTTTTTGCGACATTGTTTTGCCCCACAACTACCTGCGCTTTGGATGCTCAGTGCACATTACACAGCAGGAGGCACATATAAGAATCATAGTTTTTACTTTATTTTATTTTATTTGTACAATAATATACATTTGATCCCACAGAAAGCATCACTCTTACATGCTTTTTTTTGGATTGCTCTTTGGGGCCCCCTATTGGCCACGGGGCCCTAAGCAGGCGCTAAGTTCGCTTATGCCTTGGGCCGGCTCTGCTAAAACCAAATGTGTTTTGATGAATTAATCAAAAGTAGGGTAGCCCATCGTTGATTTGCAATTAATTGTAAATGAATATAAAAGGGGTTAAAAAGATTTAAAGGGGGTTAAATTCAGTATTTTTGTTTCTCATTTGTAATTATGATTGAATTTTTGTATACAATCCCAACAACAATATGATTCCTGCATTAAGGATTATATTGAGCTGCAGAAAAGCACATAGTTCCCACTACAGTATGTGGGGCTCTGGTGAATAATAGCAACATCTGAGCAGCAGGGGGCAGTGTGAGCACAGGTTTGTGTTACAGTATGCAATCTCTACTGTAAATTAGGCCAGGGAGTCTTGGAAAGATGTTTTCTGGAGTTGTCTCCCCCTGGGCTGAGTAAACAAGACAGCAGCTGTTCTTGATACTATAAAAAAAACACTAAATGGAGCCAGAGCGGTAGCAGTGATCCGGCGTGGTGTAATACATTATTGTCATATCAGTCATTCATTGTGTGGATCTGTTGCAGGCTAAATGACACAGATGTTGAGTGCGGCCGACGTTGGATGTACTTGCGGTGCTGATGGGAGCTAATCCAGGCTGACGAGGTGTGCAGCTCCTTAACCACCCTCCGACTCTCCTGGAGCTTTTTGGCAGCAGTCTGGGCGGTGGAGAAATCATTTCCCTGCTGGAGCCAGAGCTTCCATTTTATCAGCCATGCTATGAAATTAACCCGATAATTGTGCTGGATCTGCCTTTTCTCTCTAAGTGCTCATTCAATCTTGAGAAGAAGCAACTTTTTTGGCAGTTTGGGACTTGGGTCTCCAGAAAACTGCAGCATTTACCAAATGTTACATAAGTTTTACCGTCTCTCTCTCGCAGAAGCCCTCTGCAGGGAAGAGTGCTTGTCCCAGCAGCAATCATAAAGTATTTTACTACAAGCTGTATCATCAGCTCTCTTTTGTCACTGTTTACAGCCGCCTCTTTAAACCAGAGATGATAAATGCAGGTTTCTGCTGGGTTTACAGTAAAAATTAAGTTACTATGTTTTGTTGTTCAAGAGAGAAAGTGCTTCTCTGGTGAAGTGTCCGACTACAGAGCGTTTCCGTATGTTTGAAAACTGGCACTAAGATGTGTAATTGGTAGCAGGAGTGTCTGCTAGCACACTAGGCCTTGAGAGCGCACTTGAAAAGTCAGAGACCGGCATCATATTTGATTTCATTCAGATAATGAGGGAAAATTAGTCCTCCTCGAGGCAGAATCTTCAGAGTTAACTCTTGATATGTCGATGAAAAAATAAGTTTTATTTTGTTAATTTGGAGGATTCACTACAAGAACTACTAAAATCACTGAAGTGGAGAGTCAGAAACTAGCAATCGGACTTAATTCAAGGTCTGTTTATCCACACTCCTGGAGGTTTAAGTATCTTACGCAAAAGAAACCTCGTCATAAATCACACTCGAACACAATTATAACAAAAAAATGTCACGAAGTAAAACTTAAGGGCTCTTCAGATGAATGAGTGCCTCTTACTCCAGCATTTCCTTGAGAGAGGGTGATTTTTAATGAACCGCCTATTACAGTCGGTGCGCTGAGCTCACAAACTAATTGTCGGTGGTGGGAAACAACACAGAAACAGATGTGGTTTCAATCATCCTAGTCCAATACACACCTGCACTTATCCATTATCACCATATGTTACTAAAAACACAGAAACAGGTATCTCTAAACAGATTTTGTTGTCCTATATTCTGGTCAATACGGTAAAAAAAGAAGTCTCAGCAATACTTCATGAAAAAGCATCATCTTTGTTAAAATGCATTAATTGTTGGACATTTTACATGCGCTTGAAATTTGGTAGTAATCAAACAGGCTGTAAAGGTCCTTACACACCGGGGCCGACGCGAGTATAGAACGCGAAATCACGAAATATTCAGAGGCGAATTCTGACGCGCCTGACTATACACACCAAGCCCCGGGGAAGACTTTTCCGGGGGAAAGTCCCGCCTCCTTCGCCTCTGATTGGCTAGAAAAGTCGGAAACGTCATCACACGCTCAAGCCAAATGCAGAGCAGTGGATTAAACACTGGCTGTTGCTGCGTCCGAATTGCCCGCTCGGATACTACATGCTACTGCTACATACTACTGCTAGATCCTACTCCTACATACTAAACACGTTGGCCCAATTTGGACACACTAGACGAGCGGTGGGGAAAGACGACCCCCGCAGGCAGAGAGTAGGTACTGCGCCCGTGCAGACAGTGGTAACTGAAGCCCCTCATCTGCTGGCCTGGCTGTAGTACTGCAGCTGTGCAGTTTAATGATGGAATAAGTGAGCTTTACCTCCATGATGTCGACACATATTTGCTCATAAAATGATTACTTGGGCAAATATGACACCATGACATGACAAAGAGATACAACCGCACATTTTTTAGGACAGTGACAGATACTAAACTCACTAAAATCTGTAAACCGAACATTCTAGATTTAGAGACGAACTGATCCGCTCTGCTTCAACTATCAAAAACATTCGAAATAAGAAAGCTGACAAAACTACAGCAGAGGATCAGGACAACATTGAGGTTTTTTTTTCTTTTAAGATTTAGAGATTAAAGTTGTAAATTTAGGAGAATAAAGTCATAAAGTAAATAAAGTCATAAAGCTGCTTTTGTGGAGGGGGAAATGACTGAAGCTGGTCATCTGCAGGGTTATCCGTGGATGTATCAGCGGGTCATTCAGAGAGATTTTGTGGTTTCTGAAGAAACAATCAAACTGATGATGATCAACATTTGTGATCCAGAGGGAGTCGAGCTCCGACGAGCACCACGTCTCTGACACCGGCGGTAACCTACACCTGCAGAGACACCAACACCTTATTATGGCATATGGATTCATATCATAAACTAAAGCTCAATGTCATTCACGGATATTTACGGCTGCATTGACAGATATATCCTCAGCATATTCATTTCTGCCTCCACAAAAGCAGCGATTTCCTTCAAGTACACCAGTTTTTTTCCCCGTGGAAAAGACGTATTTCTCATATATTCTTTTTTTAAGTCTTTATACTTATGACAATGTGATGCTGATGTGCCAGAGGATGAAGTATCTCCTTGTTTGTGAAACCTATACTGAAGCACAGTTCCTTCGAATGCTTCATGGCCCTAATTTTAACAAAGTCTCCTCTGAAAGGAGAGAGAGAGACGAATACTGAAAGCAGGACCCAGTTTCAACTCAAAAGTTCAACTGTTGATGAAAGTGAGATTAAGTTTCATCCCCCCTCTCTTGTCTCGTTCGTGTTCCTGATGTTTCTTCACCTGTTGGTGCAGCCGTTGCTGACCGGAGACCCCGCTGTTTCTTTCTCAGACAGCGAGCTGCAGGACCTCCTCTCTTGCCAGGAGCCCACCCTGGGTTCTTTGCCCGTGTCCGAGCTCTTCCTCCTGGCCACGATGGGCCCCGGTCCTGACCCCCGTCACTCTGTGATCACTCTGGGCACCTCGGGATCCTTGCCGGAGTCGGTGCTTGTTCGCCTCCCGTTCAGACTGTCCAAGGTGGAGACGTAGCTCATCTGGCCTTCCCGCTCATCTGGAGGGAAAAAAAGAGAATCTTAGACTTAAAATATCATATTAGTAACCAACTCAAAATGTTGTCTCACTCGGACCCTTTTAAAACATAAAAACAGGATTATGATGAAACAAAATAACAGAAGTGTAAATAGATTTAAAGACTTCTTTCTCCCTTCAGGTTAATCAATCACAGAGAAGCTGATAAATCCATTTAGTTTGTGGTTCAGAGCGCCCTCTGCTGGACTCAGACACTCACAGCAGCTCAGAACAGTTTTCCCCTCACTACAGACAAGGACTACATCCTGTGACCTCTTAACTGTTCACAAAATCTTCAGATATAATACTTTCTTTCTTTTTTTTCCTTTCTGTTAAATAAAGCCTTTTTCTGTTGGTATATGAAGGTTAGCATGACTCGAGGAAATCTTTCAAAGCCAGTCTTGTTCCTGTAAAGGAATATTGTCTTAATTTTAACTGAATCAGTGATTTGACAACACATTTTTACAACTTTAAGAGGTAGATTAAAACTCCAAAAATGTTCATGAACCCACTTTAGTTTTCGTTGTTGTAAAGATAAAAACCAGATTTAGTTCAAAACAAAAAGAAAAAAAAGATGAAACCATGAGGCTTTTATCGTCCTCCGTCTCTGTGTTTACCTCCGGAGCCAGCCTCTCCCGCCTTGTTACGCCGGCGTCTCAGGATGACCTCCAGCTCGCTGTCCTTCTTCCCGGGCGGTGACAAAGTCTACAAAGTACAGTGATATATGAAAAAAAACATGATTGTCTTGTGTGTCCACATGGGTCAGTGGGTTCAAGCCTTATTGCAGGTACCGAGGTCCAAACGGAAGCTCAGAGGGGATAGATCTTTTTCTGTTGCAGCCCCAATTTTATGGAACGAGCTACCCCTCCAAATTAGAGAAGCCCCCACACTGTCCATTTTTAAAAGTCGTCTTAAAACCCATTTTTATTCATTGGCTTTTAACCCTCCATGAGACTCGGCTCCTGTTTTAGTGTTTTATGGTTTGTTTTTAGTTATTTGTTTCTATGTTTTTAAATTAGTTTTTAAAAGCATTGAAACAATACATTTAATTCTGCTTTTATTTTATCCATTGTTTTAATTGTTTTTTGATTGGTTTTTATCTTGTTGTTTTGTCTAGTTATGTACAGCACTTTGTACAGCTGTGGTTGTTTTAAAGTGCTTAACAAATAAAGTTGAGTTGAGTTGAGTTATTGAACAGAGGCTGAGCAGAGGACTACGCCCTCTTCTTAGCATCTCGTGCCAAATGGGACACTGTTCGCGCCGTCGTGACGTCATGCACGCTTCAAATGCACCGTTCGACGGTGCAGAAGTGCACTTAGCTCGATGCGGTCTCTGAAATGAGACAAAGCCAGAGAGAGCAGGACAATATGAGAAAATGTCTCGACGGACCAAGATGTAGCGGAAAGAGTTTACAAAATGAGGTAAGTCAAGAAAAAAAAGAATTTTAAAAAAATGTAAAAAAAAAAATAATAATAATGTAAAGTATGATGAAAAAAGTCATAGTAAAGTATGACAAAAATTTCATAGTGTAGTATGATTTAAAAAAAGTCATAGTATAGAATGATATAAAATTTTCATTGTATAGAATGATAATAATCATAGTATAGTATGATATAAAAATACCATAGTATAGATCATCTCTACAGTTGGAGCAACACTGCCGCCCAGTGGATGGGAGAGGCGATGTTCTCCACATGTAAATATCCTTCACTTGTGTGTATACCTGATTTTTAAAGATTTTCCGCTGCATCTTGCTTTGTCGGGTCATTTCCTTATTTTATCTCGCTCTCCATGACAATTTTTTTTTTCAAGAATCGCTATCGGCGTTTAATGGCGGATCGCAAACAACATTCAGGTGCATAACGCAACCCACTGCAGGAAGCAAGACACCAACAAGTATCAACACCGTTAAGTAGTTTTAATTTAAAATTTGTAAATATGTTTAAATTGAGTTGAAACACTTAGCTTTTTACGTCCAGGTCCGTCTCTCGAGCTCACTGCGTCACTAGCTCGCAACAACCGTCGATTCAAAAACCGCCATTACCGCTTGTCCATTATTTCAAAATTAATCAAAAACGATACCGGCACCATCTTTCATTTAGCATTTATGGGAAAGAAAATGGCATTATTACATAGAGTCCATACAATTTGGTATGATAAAAACAATAAGTCAAAAAAATAGGTTACATCTATTCAATCATGAGTACAGTAACATGAATAATCCATATATTAATGAACATTTGTTTGCTTTATTACTGTGCAAAACAAAATATACATACCTACTGAATGTGTAAGAAGTACAGTATCAGTGAATGGGCCCCTGTAGTGACACATTTGTTTTATATGCAATTAAAGACTCATTGTTGCTACAAATACTTTTGCCAATGAATTACAAAAACAGTTATCAGCATTAAACCTAATTGAAACATAAAATGATGTCTTATATGGAAGACCTGTTAGAGTATTTACCCCGTTATGTGTCTGCAACAGTATATGCTTTTCTTTTTTAGTCATATGCTGGTGTTTCTGCTCCGTATAACTTGAGGTAACCAACCTGAATCAAATACTGTATCAAGAGGACCAACTCCGAGGGAAGTAAAGATGAGATAAATCAGTATTTAGGAAAGAAAAAGGCTATTTTGATTGACAAATATTCATTAAAGATAGAAAAATAATGAAATAGCTCTTAACGTGGTGGATTTACTTGTCCATCCGGTCCCATCAGGGTACAGTCTTCGTCAAATCCACCTTAATTCATTCATTCATCAGTGTCAACACAGTATTGTCAACGCATAAAAGGGAAGGTGCCCAGTTTGTGTTAAACACCATGTAGTTCTTGGTATTTTAAAGGAAAAATTCACTCTGAAATAACTTGCTTTATAAGGCCTTTGTCCCTGTTTTCAAACCAGAGAGCATAAGAAATTAACACTAGCTCTTTTATAAGTGTAGAAGTGTTTGAGGGTGAATTTCTCCTCTAAATCTGGACTTAATAAACCACTTTTTGTTTTTGAACACCTCACATATCCTCACGGCAGCTCCCCGTCTCGACACACATTTTACTACAGAGACCTGAAATAGTTTCCAGCCCATGTGTACCGCTTAGGAAATAAACTATGTACTTTGAAGCTTATGAGAAGCCATACTATCCTTTTTGTTTTTCATCCTACGACGCTCTGTTCCCATTCTTAAACAGTCTGTAAATGCTGTGAGAAATTCAAGTGTTGTGCATGTGGCTCTAAAACCACAAACTGTGTTGATGTGACATTCACTGAGATTCATTTCCAAGCAGTTCTAGGAGGCGGTCCTGGTCCTCTTTGTCTCTGGGGTCGACCGATCCGTGACGTTTTGTATGATAGCTGTGAAATCCATGTCCGATAAACATAGCAGCCGTTCCTCTCCCGTCATGTGCAGATGGTTCAATATTCATGTTAGTGTGAGGCTTTGAAGGAAAAATACTGCAGTTATTTCACTGACTCTTGGTGTTTTTTTTAGTTGCCGATCATCTTTTACAAAAATCTCCATTTTTTAAGCGGACCGGTGCCGTTTTATACCCATTTCACCCATTGATTAATGCTCCCGTGGGGCTAAAAGCTGTCCTGATCCTGGCTACAGTAGAAAAATCTAATTTATGGCACGATGATGTTCAAAAATGTACTTGATCCTAATGAATTCACCAGTTATTGTTATTCCTTACAATAAATTTGCCACTTTTTTTGTTCAGATTCGTCATAACATTGCCGAGATGACTCAAAAACACCCGATCATAGCACTCTAAAAACTCTAAAATGACACCATCATTCCAATAGTGTGATCATGAATGAGATTAGGGTGAGAAAATGTTATCTAAAATAGATCTACAGTACGTGTCCACCGTCTGCTCTTTCAAAGAAAAGATGCATCAGTTCAATTGGGCGTAAATCTTTCAGGTAGCACATTTACGCTTGATTCCTGGTCCTTAAATCCTGAATTTTTCTGCAGGACGGGATTTCTAAAACCACGGGAGACCCCCGGGTTCAGAAAGCAACGAGGCAAATTCCAAGCAACTTTCCGTTTGACCAGCAGGTGGCAGCGTAGACACCCAAAACATGACCTGGTGTTGGTACGAGGAAGGTGAAGGCTCGGTCAGCTGTGAAGCAGTCTGTGTTCAGGGGGGCAGTGATGGCTGGAGCTGGTGTCGTCGTTGTGTGTGTGTGTGTGTGTGTGTGTTTTTTGTGTCTCGTTCTGTTCGCCGTTTATTTTGTTGTTGTTGTTCAGAGTTGAGATGAGGAGTCGAACGCTGTTAGCTTGCGGTCCCTTGTTGTTTGAGGACTGTGTAGACGTTATCCACTTTGCTCAGCCGCTCGAAGAAAGGGATGAGGTCCAGCAGCTCCGTGTCGGACATGTCGTCAAACCATGAGGCCACAGGGACCTGGAGGGGAAACAAAATCCATCAGCCACCAAACTTGAGTCTCTATCTATGATTGCTGATAAATAAACCTGATATAGAGACGAAAACATTTCCAGTCAGAACAGATAAAGAGTCCCATGATGACCTGTTTCCTCATTTTTTAATTCAACCAAACACATCACTCTTACGAGTCTAGTGACTCGGGTGTTCACTCACCGCATTGTCAGGGTGGAAGACGTAGGAGGCAGGGGAGTTGTCCACGATGATCACTTTGTTTAGGTCCCGACCCAGACGACTCAGGTCCTTGACGTAGTTCCCCCGATGGAAGACGCACGACTCCCTGAAGAGACGGCAGCGAAAGGCGCCCCACTTATCCAGGAGGTCTGAGACGGGGTCTGCATACTGGAGGGATAACGATTTCAAACCCACGATGAGCAGATGTGAAAGTAGTCAAGTTTTTCGTAGTTATTTTCATAAACTAATATGCAAAAAAAAAAGAAGAGAGAATTTAAAGGTGGAGTACGCAGGATTCCGTTAAAGAAGCATATTATTTTGTGGTGTATATCAAAAAAAGTTGGGTTTTGTTATGTCTGTGTAGTCAACATTTTAGATTTTTTGAGTGGCCCACTTTTTTTAACTGTAAACAAAGCCGTTCACCGTCTCCCCAACCTGATTGGTTGTGAGGCATGCTCCTTCCTCATGTCGTTCACGAGCCCAAACAAAGTTAGCGTGCTACAATATCGGACAGTAGAAACCAACCAGAAAGTTCGGAAAATTGTCTGAATCCTCCTTTGGCCACGACTGCCGACACAAGCGAGAAAACGCAGTAAATACCGGAGACTCTGGCGCCGGACAAGAGCTAAAAAGACAGGTCAATATCAACATAAACGATGGGGGACGCTTGGGGATCTTGGTGACCCTGTAACCTTTCTGCTGGACAGGTAAACCGCTTTAACAAAGTAAGACAAGTGTCTGTAACAGAAGTGTTTCTTGTCAAACGGACCTGCTGTAGCGTGTTGTAGCGCCATCGCTAAACTGTCCTCCCTCGGGTCCTGGACTATGTCACTTTATCCTAGTTGTAGAAGTCCTGTAAACATTGTGTTTACAGTAGCACCAATGCCTTTTAATTTCTGGGGCCCATTTGTAATGATCTGAAGTATTTATCTGCATTATATATCTGAATTTAATTGGAAGGATACGAGCGAGCAGGAGCGTCTGTTTGTGGGCGGGGCTTGCTGGAGCAGAGAGGAGGAGCTGAGGGGAAAACTGGTCGGGAGGGGTAGAGTTTACATTCAAGATTTCTCCCAAAAACTGTCACTTCCTCAGATCCTGCCTACCCCACCTTTTACGGTAATTTCTATTTTCTCACCTTGGCTAAACTGGCGGTAAAAAGGACGCACTCAAACAGCTCCCCCATCCTCTTCAGAAACTCGTCCACATGCGGCCGCTTCAGGACGTACACCTGGTAGATGAAGAATGAGCAAAAATCAGGTACCTGCACAGCTGAAAATGAAACATGTTTCTACAAACCTAACTGCTCCAGGAGCTGTACGGATTTATCTGAGGGTTAGATTAAGAAGTGCAAATGATGAATGAAAAGTTGCTGCTCAACTCCCTAAAGTTAAAATCTCATGCAGTTCCTGACTTGCAAAGGAAACTAAAACTGAAAAGACGAGGATTCCGTTTCTCGTTCCCTCCTCCGCTTTTTCGACTCGTCTCCGGCGTCGGTGGCTGAGGGCAGCGTTCCTGAACCAAGTCATCCGGAATAGGCTGAGCTTGTCTGAACAAACCTATCCTGGATTACTTGAATCAGGCCCAGACCCAGGGTACGTCATCCGTCTGTAAATCCCATAAACGCACACAAGCACCTGCTACCACAACCGCGAGCGCTGTGAAGCAACATTACCTGGTGTACTGTTCCATCGATCTCCACAGGAATGATGAAATCGGCGTTGTTCACAGGCTGCAAGAACCAGAAGAAAGACAAGGCTTGTTTTAAAAGACTCAAACTGAGTGTTTTTGCAGGACAGATGCAGGTAGAGACAAACGGTCTGACTGTGTGTGTACAGGAGGAGCTCTTGGTGTTTATTTGGGTTTATGAATCAGCTTGTTTGGGTTTGGCATTCAAGAGTCATGGCAGAAATGACGCTCTAAAGCCAAAAACAACACGGTGAAGGGAAATGTAAGGAGATATGTTGTAAGGAGATAACTGAAGACAAGTGTGATTAAGATTTAACTAGTTGGTATTTTTTTTATATCACACAGATAACACTGACAATCTAGATATAAATACGAGTCGATTAAGGAGAGGCAAGACAAGGGTGGAGTGACAAGATGCTTCATAATCTGAACTCATAAAAACAGCTGATTTATCTATATGTTATCTTTTCCGATTAGAGATAGAGAAAAGTCACACATAATAATGTGAATTTACAAACCCACCAGAACTCCTCAACTCTTACACGTCCACGGTGGTTTTATTTTGACACTTTTACCGTCCTCCATTTGGATTGCTCAGGGCTCGACGGTGCGACCGTTTCACTTGCATTTGCGACTAAAAATGGATGTGTGTGAATTGTAAAATGTGTTTGGGGCAAAAAAAATCAACCGAGGCAACAAAGGTTTTTTTTTAATGTAAATACCACTGTAAAGTTAGTTTTAGGTTGGATATTCGACGGACATTCACTGCGGATCTGCGGGTGTCTTCTCACTCTCCATTACCAGAAATAGCAACAGCAGGTCGGACAATAAGACACACCACTTTATTTCCCTAATTTGTCCTCATAAATATTTTTGTGTTAAATTTAAAGGCAAATTTTGAACATTTTCTTCAAGAGCTTCCATGTCATGTGACCAAAAGATCTAAAATTTATTTTGAATAATAATACTTATGTCGATCAATAAGGTCAAAAGGTCAAAAGTTGTTTGTGTGCTCCTTACTTTTTCAACTTAGGAGCCCATGTCGTGCTTCTTGTGAAAAAAGTTAGTGTCAAGCTCTGTTGCTTCATTTCCTATCTTGCCAAACCATGCTTTTATTTTGAAATGACACACATGCTACTTCTGGTGTCCAGGTAGGTTTGAGTTATCTTGTTTCACCACATCTAGAGAGGGCCTAACCATTTTTTTTAACATTTATGATTATTTCTTCATGGAAATGCAAAATGATTGATATGATGGTCATTACTTCAAGGAAATGATAAAGAAATTATCGTAAATGTTCTTCCTTGAGCTGAGTCACCCCGCTGTAGTCCATAATAGACTGGCCTGAGGTCTCACTACAAACAAGCGGCTGCTGGAAGAGAGTAGGTGAGTTGTGTTTAGTCTCTTTGCTCAGGAAATTAGGCAAAGTTAAAAAGATGTTTGGTGTCTAGTACTATGCAAAGTTAAAAAGTGCGTGGCTCTCTGTGTATTGCTATCGTGCGGCCGTTACTAAAGTTGGTATAACTAGAGAAGTGAGTGTCTAACTCGGAGTAACGGTGTGTTTGACCCTAACTTAATTTTATGCCGGAATATCCCTTTAAAAGGATTTAAGAGAAAAGTTGAACTCAAAGATGCTTCCAGAAATTACATTACCAAAGAATAAAATACATAAATGGACCTTGTTTCTACCTGCTGCCTTACCTTAAAAGAGCTGTGAACTAATGTCTCATCCAGATCTATAACCACACAGATTTTTCCAGAGTCTTTTGACTTCACTGGAGGCAGCAGTGGCTTCACCTGGATCTGAAAACACCAGAAAACCAAAATTCAGAGAAGTTTTTCGACCTGAAGTTCAGCTTAAACCTGCTGATGCTGATTTAATCCCTGTGCTGCCAAAACAGGACAAGGTGACTCGCTGAGGCGGACGTAAACACACCTTGGAGATCGTCCCATTCTCCTCCACCAGCAGTGGGGCGTTGTTGTTGACAGGCGGGGGCTCGGGCTGGTCCCGACACAGGCAGCAGAAGAGGCTGGAAAAGAGGCCTCTGCTGCGCGGCTTCTTGGAGGGCGGAGAGGAGGGAGAACCTGAAGAAGTAAAGGAAACTTTTACGATCCAATTTCAAGGTTGTTTTACTAACATCACAAAGAAAACAGACGGTCTTTGTGTTGAAGAGGAAACCAGACCTGGTTTAATATTTGCATACTGTATAATTTTAGACGTGAAACAAACAGACCATAAGTTGTTTATTCAAAAGACAAGGAAAGAGGTGACAGCGTGGATTTGGGATGTTTGCATTTGGTCGACTCTATCCCTCCTTTAGCGACTCGAAAAAAAATAAAAACTCCTTTAAACTGAAATTCATATTGATTCAGTTTTACGACATCCAGAAGCAAGTAATAGCATCAGGGATAAGATTGCTGTTTGATGCACAAACAGCTGTTTTAACCCCCAACTAACAGCACATTTAGCCCTAAGAAGTCAGCAGGATCTTGGTGCATGCGGACGGTGCTAGCTCTGCTGGGGTTAGCCACACTCAGGAACCAGAGAGCTCTGCAATCCAAATCAAATTTCTGCACAGTACTGACTGTTTTCTGAGTGTTTCTTTGTCATTTTCAGACAAGTGAGTTAACTAAAACTCAAAACTATTTGAACGAATGGGAATTTATGACATTTTTAACATCCCTCAGGTGGATAAAAACTGACAGGACCAGGTTCCTACTCCTTCCCGCTTAACTTGATGACTCCATCCTGTCAGGGAACATATAAAAACAGCCGAAATGGAACACCCTGCAGCTTTCCTCATACTTCTGTCATGTGCACAAACCCTCCCGGAGACGCACGCCGCTGCCAGGGCCTCTTGCATAACCTCCTCTGTGATGTCATCAACAAACAGCCTCAAATACCGCCAATGAAGACCCAGAAATTTAACACTTTGCTTTGACGGTGTTGCCAGGCGTGCGGGGGGGAGTCATAAACAGGCCATTGAGGATGATAGTAGAAAACATCGAACATAAAAGTCTTTTATTTGCACAAAAAGGAGGAAAATTCCTCAATTAGACTTATTTTTTATTCATTATAAAAACAGAGTGATAGTTTAACTCATGCAAACAATCAGTTAAAGAGGTTTAATGCACCAAAACAGAGCAAAGTTCATCCGTAACAACCCTTTAAAGCACTAAACTTATATAGAATTACGACACTGCTGACAGCACCCGGATGAATTTGCTTGGTATGCAGCTTGTAACCGCAATAGTATGCAACCAAACTGCTCAAGCAGTGACAAACTTCAGCTCCGCCATAACCCAGCATGCACTCCACTCTTAAAGCCACAGTGGGTTTTTTCAAGTTCAAGGAACTGAATAGAGGGACGATTATTTCCCTCGTTTGAGCGCTAACACCTCGAAAAGCAGCTTTGGGGTGAAAGGATACACCGAGGAAGGAGGCGGGAAAAGGTTCACTTTCCAACAAGTGCTGTAAAAGTTCAGTATTTGAGGCAGAAAATGATGGTTATGAAGGTTTTTATGTTGTTCATTTCTGAGAGTTACACCGTCGCTTCTGGAAGGACATTCTATTAAGGTGCATTACCATCACCTACTTTGAATACACTTAAACAAAATCGCTGAAAGTAGCTCTGAAACCCATCACCTTTGCTTAGATTATGTGTAAAAATGTTGATTATGCACAAAGCTGGAAATTAAAGGATATTTAATGGTTTTCTTTGCAGGTTTTTCAGCTCTCCAGGTTTGAGTTAAAGGTCTCTAGGAAACAGAGAGCGTACTTAAGCTGCCTCTAATGTCACTGAGATTACTTCTCCTCCAATCTGCACTTTTCTACCTCCCATAAATCTCTGACCAACACTTTGTTTCGGCCTCTTTATGCTCCCTCCCTCCATCCCTCCCTCTCTCTGGACGTGACTGCGTTACCAACACTCCGGCCTCTGTTGTGCATCTCTCACGCCTGCCTCTCTCTCTCTCTCTCTCTCTCTCTCTTTCTTTCTCTCTCCGCTGCTCAGTTTGTGGATCCAAACCCCGTCTGACCCTCCGTTGGCCCTCTCTGCTGCTGCGTGGAGGAAAAGGAAACAGACGGGTATCGGCGCAGGAAGCTGCTTGCCATCATAAATTCAAACTTTTCCAATAACTTTTTTTTTATGTGCAATTTGCAAACGTGGGAGAAAGTAGGCAAGAATGATCCTGTGTGTCCTCTTCATTTCACGCCGTCCAACTGAGAGGTTTACGTTTTGTTTTAATATCTCTAACCTAAACTATACAGGGGAAAAAAGGCGTGAGAAACGAGGGAGAGGAATCAAACAAACAGGCAGAAACAAACTTTTGATAACCCTAAATTCGACTGTTTGTTGTCACATCACAGAGATTATCTCTTAGCCTCTCTCCAGACTTCATCGACATCACCTCTGGAGTTTCACAGGTATCCAGACGTGTCGCTTCCTGTCCGTAACTCACCAAAAATGAATTATTCATACAGCGGTGGGATAGTTTACCTTATCAGATCAGATTATCACTTTTAAGGTCTAGATTCCTGAAGCAGACATCTATCTGAGCTTGAGTCACTTGTATGTTTAGACTTTATCGCTGTGTGTCTCATGATAGCATTGAAAGTAGGTTTTCAGACTTTCACATGGTGTTAGAGCGCCTGCGGGGAGTTTTTTGACGTTTATGAAACAGATTGGAATTCATATTGATGCTATTTTTATGTGGTCCAAAAGAAAACAAGACCATCACCAACATGACTGACAATTTTAATGTTGGCATTTTTAACGCCACAAGTTTGTGCAAGTGGGAAGGCAGGGCTTTACAGTGACTAGCACATCAATTTTAGGTCTTTTGGTCACGTGACATGGAAGCAATCGAAGAAAATGTTCAAAATTTGCATTTAAATTTAACAACGAAATTTTTTAGAGGACAAAATTAGGGAAATAAAGAGGCGTGTCTTATCATCCGACCTTAGTACTATTATTTGAAATCAATTTTAGGTCACTTGGTCACATGACATGGAAGCTATTAAAGGAAAACAGCCTTTTCTGAGAACATCAACCGGTAATTCATTGATGGTCCCTTATTCAAAACCGGACAGCGAGGATGCCCTAATTTGTCCTCATAAATATTTTTGTGTTAAATAGCAACAGCAGCGCAATTAAATCTACTCGGCACCCTCACTGTCAACGTTGGGTGTTGAATAAGGGACCGTCAATAAATTACACGTTTATATTCTAAAAAAAAAAGGCTGTTTTCCTTCAATAGCTTCCATGTCATGTGACCAATTGACCTAAAATTGATTTCAAATGACAATACTAAGGTCAGACGATAAGACACACCTATTTTTTTTTTAATTTAAAGGCAAATTTTGAACCTTTCCTACAATAGCTCCCATGTCATGTGACCAAAAGACCTAAAATTGATTTTAAATAGTAGTACTTATGTCGAGCAATAAGACAAACATTATTTGATCAATTTTCATTGTGTCCTTAAAGTTCTTTGTGCGCTCCTTGGGGAAAAGTTAAGCCCTGGCATATATATTTTACATTTTACTACAGACTTTTGACGGTCAAATGTATCACCTTCGCCTTCACGCCAGTTTCAGGCATTAAAAACAACAATATAAGAGTCATCAATATTGTCAAGAATGGTCGTGTTTGCTTTTGTATATCACAGAGAAGCAACAATATGAATTACAGTCAATTTGATGAGCATCAAAAAACTCCTCACAGGAGCTTTAAACTCTTAATAACACCTACACTTAGCCTCTGCATCAGATTCTGTTTGAGTTACTGTTCAATTAATTGGGTTAATTTTGTTGAAGTGAAGCAAATAAACAGCCACAATCAGCAGAAGTGATCTCCACTTACTCAGAAATGTTGAGTAACATCTTGTTTTGGTCCTAAACCCTGAGTTGAGACACACTTCTCTTTCTACATCAAAGATGGCTGTGCATTAAAAAGGCTTTCACTTAACATTTACAAGATGTGAACCACAGAGCAGACAGCTCTGTTTTGGGACTTTTACAACACTTTCATTAACCGCGTGTCAGAATTAAACAAGAAGCTGTAAAACGAAACTTTGCAGATCCTTAAAACACAAAGTGAAACTCCTGTTGAAGTGAAACCAAAAGTTTTAATTAGATGTACTGAAGCTAATAAACTTCGGTTTTAATAATGTCAGCCTTTTTTTAGGGAGGGTAGTGTAAACGTGCTGTTTGTAAGAGCAGCTGTGTGGGGACCTGGTTATGCAATAGATTAGGTTACTACATACGTACAATAGAACTGCTGCTAAACGTCTCCTCTTATCTTTTAATGTCAGAATCGTATTTCCCACTGAAAACAGCTCAATTTAAATATGTTTGTTTGGGATAACTGACAGTATGGAAGCCTGGAGGGGACTTTAAACATTTGAAATGCAATGTTAGGCTCTCACTGTGAGGACAGGCAGAGGTTTCTCAGGGATTGTGACCTACAGGACACCTGATTATTCAGTAACCTGCATTTACACTCTGCGGTATCTCATTGGAGTTTGTGAACAGTAGCTAGGATCCCTGCTCTGATAAAGCTGGAGTTAGTCACAGTAAAAATCAATTTAACAGGCCCGTCTTTTAGCTTTTCACTGAAACAAAGAAGCACTTTACAACTGTAAAATAGTCAGAATAAAAAGGCAGAATCAAAGGGCACAGACAGTTCAGAAAATAACTGCATGAATAAACTTTTAGAGTTACAATAATAATTTAAAACTGGATGCCAAATTATAAAACTAAAGAAAAGTTTGAAAAGTAAAGGTTTGAGACATTTGTATGTCTTTTTTAACGATATCTCTCTTAAAATTCATAAAAATATACTTTTAAATTTTCCTTTGTAAGTGAAGCTAAACAATTATCAAGCGCTTTCAGCAAGCTGGGATAATGTAATATATATTTTTATATATTGACTCTTGTATTTTATTGTATATGTCTAACAGAAACTTTTCACTTTCAATATTGTTTCTTTTTTCTCCTGGTTGAATAAAAAATAATAAAAATAAAGTTCAAAAATGAAAGCTCCCATAAGCAGACCAGTATCTTTTCTGTCTTCGTCAATTTTGCCCTAAATGTACAAGATATTAAAAGTAGAGTTTCTTTTCTTTTTTAAAGCTCCTGTGGGGAGTTTTTTTATTAGTTATGAAACAGATTGTAACTGGTTAAAAACTCCTCACAGGAGCTTTAATCTGAAAAACTACAAAGATGAGTACTTGATGTACCAATATCCAAAATAAAATGAAAATAACTTCAGACCCTTTGAAAGATAATTGAAATAGAACTGCAGTTTTTTAGCCAGTGTAAAGCTGATCACTTCCACTGACACCGACCCCCCCTGCAATCGTTTTAGGACATTTAAATTACTTTAAAAGAAAATCCCCTCTTTGTGTTAAAGGTCTTGGATGCTTTCAATGGGCATACAGAAATATCTGCATTGGTTTGGGATATAATTGGTAACCAACCAAATATTTCTCACAGGAGCTTTAACGTAAAATGTTAACCTTCGCGTATCGGTATTTAAAGGAAATGATTTTAACTTTATGTAAATAAATAAGGGGAATTTTTTAAAAAATACAATCCAAGCTAAACCATTTAATTCTACTTTTTAAATTAGCAGATATTTTTATCAGGTAGTCTTACGTCACTAATCTTATTAATGATACTTTTTTATATTTACTAATATTTTTTTCAGGCATTCTTACATCACTAATCCAGTTAATGCTACTTTTTAAATTAACAAATATGGTAATCAGGTAATCTTACGTCGTTTATGCAATTAATGCTACTTTTCTAATTGACAAATATTTTTTATCAGGTATACTTACATCACAAATCCAATTAATGCTACTTTTTAAATTGACAAATATGTTTATCAGGTAGTCTAACGTCACTTCCTTTACTTTCATCTGGGCCGCAGCCATAATCTATGCAAAACAGAAAAACAGTGACAGTTTTTACCTATTTTGGGTCCGCATTTGTTGCTTTTCATAACTCCAGAAACGTTTAAGTGTCATTACACAACAAAAGACGACTGTGCGGTTCTGAACTTGAGCACTATGAACTTTATTTACGAAGCTGCAAAACTTTTTTTTTTCTTGATGTGAGTGCAGCTGAGCCAAAGCGGGGCAAAAGTAAAAGCACTTACCCCTGTCTCCTGCGGCTTTACTTCCCTCTTCATCCCGGCTGACTTGTGTGATCACTGAGGACGGATTGTCCATCACATCCAGGTCTGGTCCAGAGTGCTGACCTCACACTTTAAAAGTTAGAGACTGTTCGCCAAACTAATACAACTTAGCGTGAACGAAAACGAGGCTGTAACGGCTCGGGAAACATCGCAACAAGTCGTCTAAACTTCGTCCATTACACTCCAAAGTTCACGAAACCCGCCGCGGTTCGAAAAGACAAAGTTATCAAACATTTGACAAGGAGAAGGCAACTTTGATTCAATATGGTGCTCAACTCCGCTCGCAATTTCAAGATACAAACATGGAGGTTTCAAGGCTTCCCATTTCAGTTAAAGTGGCGCAGTAAGGGAATGGCCGAGCTAAACACTCCCCCTCCTGGCGTCTGCAAGCTTGAAGATGGTCCCTCAAAGTTGCCTGAAACAAAGTTGCTCAGAACTCTAATCTTTGTGTTAATCACTCCTCTAACACACTAAAAGACGTGTAAATTATAATTAAAAGTGAAAGTCGGCACAATCTCCTCAAAATCCTACCAAAAGTCGGTGTAATACTGCCTCAAATTTTGATTCTTTAACGAATTATTTGACTCATAATTAACCTAAATCAAAATTTATTATAACTATTTCTTTATCTTCTCGTATTTTTCCTAATTGTGTTATTATTTTGGCGTAACAATATGTCAATTTCCCAAGCGTTTGTTGTAATCGTTGTAGTAACCTCCTGCTCTGCTCAATGTGTCAATAAAGTTTCTTGTTTTTTTTCAAGGCTACAACTCAGCTAGCGGGTTAGCTTTTGTAGTCCATTAATAACTGTAACACGAAGCGTCCCCATGACATGTATTTCACTTACTCCATTAAATGTCACTTAATGTCATTTAAACGCTGTGTACTGAAGCGGTCATAACAAAGAATCAAACCGCATAAAGCTTGTTTAAAAGCCACATAAAGTAGACATCGTATCAAACTTAAGCTAACGGCTGCTCCGGAGAAACCACTTTAAAAAGCTTGAAAGTGACTTTACAGAACATCTCTTTACTCCCCGTGTTTACTACTGACTGCAGATCGTGTTTTAATGCTAGTTGAGTGTTTTTACAGTTGTCGTGTACTGACAGCTGTGTGTAAACTTTCTCAAGAATAAAACTTTATGTACAAACAGCAGGAAAAGAAACGCCCAGTTTGGGTCCCCTTGAAACTGCCTGGAGTCAGGGAGCGTCAAAAAAGTGCCATTTTAACCTCTGCGGTCGATATTTTACTTCTACAAAAAACAGAAGCAAGCTGTATGAAAATACTAATTTTATTTTTGCTTTAATTTTTCCAAATATCTTGCCTGGAAATTCCTCAACTTTAACCCACATTTTTTTGTTCTCTTTTGTGATGAGCAGAAGTTGTTTATTGAGAGGAAAACTGACAGGAATTATCCATACATTTAACACTATTTTGTTTTTAAGGCTTTGAAAAAATCAAACAAAATTATGTGTACAAAATCATTATCAGAAAGCATTTCTGTTTATTAATTTTCAACTTAGTATTTAAAAAATCAGGTTTTTGTGAAATAATTTTTGTCCTTGTGATGATTTTTTGTTTTGTGAAATATTTGATTTTGTAATTTTTTATCATTTATTTATTTATTGCATATCATGATTTTTATGTTTTAATTTTGTGGTTTATTTTGAGTTTTATGAAGTATATATATATTATTTTTCAACACTCAAAAAAATAAATAATTTACAAAATGTTTCAACAACAACATTGCCAAATTATTTCTTACTTCCATCAAACATTTATTTTGTGACACATTCAGCTCAGTGTTGATTTTTATTTCTATTTTTTTACTATTTGTAATTTTTTTTCCATTAACTATTTCTGCAGATTTGCAATGCCTTTTTGGCTCTTCATGCAACATTCTTGCGTTTCATTAAATATTTTTGCATGTAGCAAAATGCTTTTGGGGTTTACAAAGTTTCTTTGCTGCTATGAATTGTCAGTGCAGTGGCCTTTTAGGGCCGCCTTGCCATCACTTGCTGTATCACCAAAAATATTCAAGCTAATGCTCCAAACTTACCTTCCACATTTTTAAGATTGGATTTTGATGGCATTGCAGCAGATATTCCCAGGTAAGGGTGCAGTCCAAAAAAAAAACCCCATCATTTTCCCAATTGTATCAACAGTTTATTACAGACTATCTCATAAAAACATTTCAACTTTTTCCACATATAAACACCGCAAATTGGTACATTTACAAATCTTCAACCGTCCAAATTCATACAAAAAGGAGCACTGCGATAGATCGATACACAAGACGTTCTATTATTACAAGGACTGCTTGTACTGTATGTGTGCATGTGTGTAAGAATCTAAAAGCATCTGTTTTTTTATACTGTAAATTCCAAATATTGCATTCAAATGTTTGCTTTGTTGAAATAATTCATTAATTTGAGACATTTACAAGAGGGATATTTTGGATATTAATCCGATTCAGGCACTGACTGGGTGATCTGATGGGTAACACTGAGAAATCACGGCAACTTACCAGTGTATGACTAATAAAAGTAGAGTTATCTACAGAACAGACTGCTTTCATAGTCCTATGACAGTTAGAGTTCAGCTGTTTAACCACAGAAAAAGTACCAAAATCCCGAGAACAGTCCGTTTCGGCTGCTTGAATCTGAACAACAATCACAAACACACTCCTTGTTTATTCTTCCCCTAGCTCAAAAAAGTGACTCGGAAATGCTCGCGCACACACATGCAAATAAATTAACATGAAAAAGTAAACGATTTCAAGAGAAAAAGAATATTTTTGGTTTGGATTTTTCAAATGTAGAAGTCGATGCAAAATAAATTAGCAGCTTAAATCATCATGGTACATTCACATGAGTTGTTTACTACTAAAGTCAGTGTGAGAAAACGAGTAGAAACGCTAATGAGACACATGTTCCAGGCTGATCGTGCAGAGTGGAGGATTAAGTTCAGAAATTAAATCTCAGTTGTGCAATCCAAGAAAACCAAAGAACATCCCGTGTCCTTTTAGCGAAGAATGAGCAGGTCTGAACTTCAACTCTTTACAAAAAAAAAAAAAAAAAACATCCTCTGCAGGTTTTTCGGTTTCCTCTGCCCACCCTGAGGCGGATCTCTTCATGCAGCATTGGTTCACATGATTTAAGATGCAAAAAGCTCCGACTCAAATGTGTATTCATGTATTTTCCTCGTCCCGTCACTTTGGGTTGGGGGCGTGCGTTGCCGTCCCAGACCCTGGGGACTTGGGTGAGCTCTGGTAGGTGCGCAGCAGCACCTTGTGCTTGGTGGCCTCCTCTGTGCGCCTGCTCTGCTGCTCCACGAGGAACTCTTTGAGGCGGCTGGAGGTGAAGGTGAGGGTCTGTCTCCTCAGCTTCATCAGGTATGAGTCCTGCAGCCAGGCCTGGGAGAAGCAGTCTCGAGTAGTCGGACGAGCCCTGGAAGAAAAAAATCTTTACTTTCTTTCCTTTCCTTAAAGGGATAGCGAAAAGTACATGTTGTTATTTCTCACCATGGGTAACTGCTCAACATCTTCTTGAGAAAGGCGGAGGCACTTTGGGACACATTTGTGTAGAGTTTTGAGGGGTCAAACTTCGCCATTATGATTTTGGATTCCACCTGGAGAGGGTCTTTGTCTTCGAAGGGCAGACGGCCACCAAGCCTGAGTGTTAAAGGTGCACAAACAAGACTTAGGCATGTATTTTATATTAAAAAATGGCTTTTTTAGTCTTGGCCTTTTTGTACAGAGATTTGTCCAGTTTATATCTCTCTCTTTATATATTATATCCTAGATGATGACATGTAAAGCTGATTTAATGACGTACAAAATAGTCAAATTCTCATGGACGTGTCTCTTACATGATGTGCGCCACGACTCCAACACTCCAAATGTCTGCTGGAGGGCCAACAACTTCACCTTTTACCATCTCAGGAGCTTGGATTGGTAGAGGATGAAAAATTAGAGAAATTAAGATTCGTTAAAGGGATATTCCGGCATAAAATATGTTCTTCCTTGAGCTGCGAAACCCCGCAGCAGTCCATAATGGACTTGCCCGGAGGTCTTGCTACAAACAAGCGACTGCTGGAAGAGAGTAGGTGAGTTGTGTTTAGTCTCTTTGCGAAAGAAATTAGGCAAAGCTAAAAAGATGTTCACGCTGGAATATCCCTTTAATGCTTCAAGGATCTTGAGATGTTTGTAGAAGGTTCATGCGTTGTACGTTCGTCTGTCCTCACCCATGTACTCGAGCGTCCCCGGTCCTGACTCCTTCTGTTTGAGGCTGAGCGGATTGAAGCTCTGAGCGCTGCCGAAGTCCACGATCTTGATGGCGTTCAGGTTGCTCACCATGATGTTGTCAGGCTTCATGTCCAGGTGGAGGACACGCCGGCTGTGGAGGTACTCCACTCCCTGCAGGATCTGGACCAGGTAGCCCACCACGTCGTCCTCGGAGTATCGAAACCTTCAAGAGAACAGGGTTGGTTTTAATTCATTTATTTGAATGAATAAGAGATTTAAAAACCTGTGCGGTGTACAACGCCGTCTTCGCCCTCTCTGACCTGTCGACGAGGCTGTACAGCAGCTCTTTCCCGGTGCAGTACTCGGCCACTAACACCAGGTAGCGCGGCGTGACGTAGGCTTCATGCAGAGCCATGATCTTGTCATTGTGGAGCGACTTCATGATCTCGTACTCCTTCAGGATGGCCTGCTTGTCCTCCTGGCTGTAGGGAATGATCTTCGCCATGTAGATTTTGCCTGTTGAGTTCTCACGACACTCACGGACGACTCCAAAACGACCCCTGAAAAAAAAAAAAAAGTGCAGTTAAGTCGTGAGTCTACGAATCAGCTCCATTTTTGATGTTTCTGAATCATCGTCTCACCTGGATTTCTCCTCCAGAAAAGTGTACGGTTTCTGTGGCACCCCCTGTCTCAGAGCGGTGGAGGGCGTAGCTCGACCAGACGGGGTTCCTCTGGTGGGAGTACTGACTCCATCTGCGATAGGGCTCAGGCTGGAGGTCTGCAGCACTTGTGGGGTAAAGGAGACGGGACTCGGGGCGACCCGGGCGGTGACGGCGGGGACGTACGTGGGAACAGAAGCCACTGCGGGTTTGATTGGTGTTGGGGGAGGAGTTACAAGAGGTGGAGGTGGGGAAATAGGTGGAGTCTGGGTCATGGGGGACACAATGTTGATGGGGCTTTGAGGTTTGGGGAGGACAAAGGGTGGAGGAGGTTTGACTGTGGGTGGAGAGGGAAGGCTGGAGTTTGGTTTTTGGGCGGTTGTTTCCGCAGGAGGAGGAGGAGAGGCAGCATGTGACGGAGAAGTGGAGGTGGAGGTGATGGTGGAGACGGTAACTCTGGGGGCGTTGTATTGGACGGGTTTGAGCGGGGGGATGGTCACTGAGGAGGTGACGACAGGTGCAGGTGGAGCTGGGGCGGTTTGTACAACAGCTACAGAAGGTGGAGCTCCTCCAACTATGGAAACAAAAACAAAAAGATTCACTGCAGCTTTCTACGCCTGGGAGAGAACACTGTCATCGACATGTATGAAAAGCTGAGGCAGGGAGAGCAGCAGCAAAGACCTCCAGGTTCAACACAAAGCAGCCTGGTAACATCAGACAAAACATTTAAGGGAGGAGCTGGGGTGGAGGACGGTTTCAGAGACACCAAATCAGGGAGAAAATCAGCAAAGACCCTCATATGCTCTAAGTTGAAAAAGTAAGGAGCACACAAAGAACCATAGGGGCACAATAAAAATGGATCAAATAATGTGTGTCTTATTAGTCGACATAGGTATGATTATTTGAAATCAATTTTAGGTCAATTGGTCACATGACATGGAAGCTATTAAAAGGAAAACAGCCTTTTCTGAGAACATCAACAGGTAATTTATTGATGGTCCCTTATTCACCACCCGACATTGACAGCGGGTGTAGATTTAACCACGCTGCTGTTGCTGTTTCCGATAATGTCCGTCGGATATCCAACCTAAAACTAGGGAGGCGGCCGTAGCTCAGGAGGTAGAGCGGTCGGCAAATAACCGGAAGGTTGGTGGCTCAAACCTATCCTTAGTCTGTCCGTTGTGTCCTTGGGCAAGACACTTAACCCACCTTGCGCCCAGTGTGTGTCCTCCACTGGTGTATGATTGTGAATGTTGTGTGGTGGTGGTACAATTACCTCATACCTCTATTTTTAGTCGCAAATACAAGTGAAACGGTCACACTGTCGAGTCCTGGATACAGTAAAAAAGGAATTGATGGAGTGGGGGTGGGCTGAGCTTGACTTTTTCAACCTGCCTGAACTAGCTCTACGTTCAGTTTTATGATTGTTTTAACTTGAACTTTAATTTTGGTGTTTGTTTTGTCGTTTTGAGGAGCTTGAGAGTCGTGGTATAAAAGATAAAACATCACTTTATGCTTTACTCTTCAGGGGGATCTTCGTTTGTACCTGTTGATTCAAGGCTGACCGGTGCAGAGCAGTTGCTATGCGGCCCCTGTCCGGCCTTGTTGACACAGCAGACTCTGAACCTGAAGGCGCCCCCTGGTGGCAGATCTGAGACGTTGTAGTAGCAGTCGACGATCCCGGTGGCTACAGTCATCCAGTTAGAATCACCTATAAACACAGAGAGGGAAGAAATGCATGAAAAATGGACTCTATGTGGAGTTTGTTTGCTTGTTGCGATTCCAAATCTGTCCACCAGATGGCAGTGTTGTCCCACTTATAAACCTCTGGTGCTTCAAGTGCGTTCACAAACTTAACTATAGTGTGTAAATCTGATGTATATGGAAACTAGAAACTCAGTCTATCACATCATCTTGTCTGTTCTGCTCACACGGTGAAACAAACTCGAATCAAAATGTAAATCAGCTCGTGGCGCTCTACTCTGTGGGAACATCCTCGCCGCTTGCCAGAGATTACATCCGGAACAAGACGACCGGGCAAAACACGTCAGAATGAAGTTTATCAGAGCAAAAACAGTTCAATGAATATTAACCGAGGCTGCTGTAGACTTCATTTTATTCCCTCCGATATGACATAACGCTGATTAAAGTTGCGTAATGACAAAAAGCTCCGACAGCAGTACGAGAACAGTCTGTATTCCCCCGTGGACTGACTCATTTTCTCGCTCTAATTGGTGTCTGTGGATTAGGGGACTAATTTCAACGAGAACCATCACATACCAACCAAAGCTAAATATTGTCAGAGCTTTTTAAGACGCTGACGCCTTCAAGGGGTCAAATTTTGTGAGTTTTAGCGCATTAAAACCATCAATTAAAGGAGGATTCTGTAGTTTTTCATGATATCATCATTTCTCACCCACCTTCTGTTTTTCTCTCCAGGTTGTAGCTGCAGGGAGACTTTGTGTCCGCTGGCTTCCACAGCACCAGGGCCGTGTTGTTGTAGGTCTGAGGGACTTCAGGGGTCCCGGGGCGTTTGGGGACACCTTGAGAAGAAAAGGAGGACACGAAAGAAACGACATGTTAAGAGTTTTCTAGAAAAGACACCGATGATGATTGCAAAAAAAGAAATCAGAGAAAAAAACAGAAAACAGAATAAGACCTTTCTGAGTCCTTAAGTACGGTAGCCCAGAAAGCCAACTGTATAAATGCAAAAATGTCTTCCTTAACAAAAAAAAAACAATGTCAATAAACACCAAAGTCAACCTCACTTCTGCCGGTCGCATCATGCGCCCTCTGTCAATTTGAAAGTTTTTCATAAAATGCAGAATTAATTTAACAAAAACGCTAAAACATTTCTATAAACCCAAGATGAAAAACTTATGCAATTAAAAAAATACAGAAATTTTATATAGTATGAAAAAGATACATTCACAAAATACAACAAGAACTCTCAAAACAAAATAACTCAACAGAAAATTAAAAAACAGAAATATTTTTAAAAATGCAAAAAAAAAAAAAAAAAGAATGAAAAGCAAATAAATTAATAAATTAAAAAATGTCAGAAAAATGCTGGACTGACCAAAAACTATTCACCTCAAAGAAATGCAACAGAAAAATACAATGTTTAATGGAAAACATTTTTAGGAAGTGTAACAAATTTTACGACACACAAAAATGCTAAACTGGCCAATTTTTTTTAATTAATGCCAAAAACACAGCAGGGAACACTTTCATATTTATTCAAAAACATTTTAAAAAGTGTAAATGAACCTCTTTATAAACAGAAAAAGAAGTGATTTTTCTGTTTTTTTTTTAGTGAATAAATTTGGCTTTTTTATTAAATCTGTTTTTATATTTTAGAAAATATCCTGCATATATTTAAAAATAAATAAATAAATAAATATATGCTTTTTTTTTTGTTTTCATGAACCAAATACATATAGACTTTTGTTTGGAGGGTTAAATCTTTTTGGTATTTAGTGAATTTTTTTGGGGGTGTCATAAAACGTTTGTACAGGTGACCTCTGAGGCCACCGTACATTAGAGTCAATATGTTTATGCAGCATTGCTCATTTTCAGGCTGTTATTTTTTTCCTGCCTCTAAATTTTGACCTTTAAAATCTTGACATTTTCTCCATTTGATCCATAATGATGCATTTTTCACTGTTGTCGCTGTGATTCGCCTTTAAAATCTCGCTGTTACCGCCTGAAGCTCAGCTTTTCATCAGCCGCACTGAAAACACTCATAAAACCCGTCTTTGCGTTTCTTTATAACCACCAGTGATAGAGTTTGTCTTTCAATTTACACAAATGTCAGATTTGAAGCCTGATGAGATCAAGATTGGAAAAGAAATCAGGGCATGTTTATTTTCTCTAACCCGGGGCACAGACAAACGTTTGTCATGAAATCAAACCAAACCTGACACAAACAGCAAATTTAAAACCACATTTCCCATTAAGCTTGTACACCGGCAGGAACAAAGAAGCCGTTTCTCGGGGCGAGACGAGCTGTCTGAAGTCTTTTTCACACCGCTGATGGATCAAGGAGGAGAAACAAACAGCTCCACCGGCTGAGATTAGGAACTCTAAATGTCTAAAAGCCGTAACAAATAAAGTGCAGATGCAATCGATGGAGCCTGACAGCCTGGAAATATATTTGCCATCGAAGCTTTGAGAGTCTTATTTCTGAACGTGAGTCACCAGATCGCAGGAAAATCATTTAACGCCGCTTATTACAAGACAAATGAGAGAGAATCCAAAAATCCATTAAATTAATCTACTGTAAAGCTAATCTGTTGATATTAATATTCATTGCAGCTGGATTAATAGTCCAAACCATTCTTCCTGGAGTTAAATCATGCAAAATACATTACAGTGTAATGATAATTACAGTGTGTCCATGAAAAGAAAGAAGCACTTTCACCCCCGGCAGAAGAACTCCTTCTACGTGCAGAACAGACGTTAATGAAGATCTCACATTTTCCATTTAATTCCATATTAAATTAAGTGAATTCAATCAGGCAAAACCCAAACTGAAGAGGAAATTCATCTAAAACGATATTTTAACAGAAAACATTCATCTTCTGGCTCATCCTGCTCCAGTATCAGCAGAGAGAACAAAACACGAAGGAAAGAAACTCCTCACAAACAAAAAATCCACCCTCTCATTTCCAACAAATTCCCTCTTACCCACGCAAAACTTTGCCTCCAACAAACTTTGTTCTCATTCCTCCAAAATTCCTTAAAAACTCCAGCAACTGCCCCCCAAAAAAACCAACACTATAACCCCAAAAGCTTGTGTTTTATCCCACAATCTCCCTCTTCTCACCTCTCACTTCTCAGGTTAAAGGGATATTCTGGGGTAAAATTAATTTAGGGTCAAACACACCATAACACCGAGTTAGACACCCCGTCGAGAGATGAATGTTGCCGACTGCTTGCTTCTCTAGTTATACCAACTTCAGCAACGACCACAGGATAGCAATACACAGCGGTCTGAGGAGCCATAAACAAACCTCAACCAAAACGCCACAAATAATGCTCAGAACAGCACCTAACTTCATCAACAGTACATACAGGGTCACAGACATAGCACTAGCCATCAAACATCTTTTTAACTTTGACTAATTTCTTTAGCAAAGAGGCTAAACACAACTCACCTACTCTCTTCCAGCAGCCGCCTGTTTGTAGCAAGACCTCGGACCAGTCAATTACAGACTAAAGCGGAGTTTCGCAGCTCAAGGAAGAACATTTATGATAATTTCTTCATGGACATACAATCAGACTAAGACGCTAAGGCAGAAGAACAACCGCGTCTGCAGTGCAAAATTATTAATATGGTGATTATTACTTCAAGGAAATGATTGAAAGAAATGATCATAAATGTTCTTCCTTGAGCTGTGTCACCCCACAGCAGTTTGTAATGGACTGGCTCAAGATCTTGCTACAAACAAGCGGCTGCTGGAAGAGAGTAGGTGAGTTGTGTTTAGTCTCTTTGATAAAGAAATTAGTCAAAGTTAAAAAGATGTTTGGTGGCTAGTACTATGGCTGTGACCCTATATGTCCTGTTGATGAAGTTAGGTGCTGTTCTGAGCATTATTTGTGGCTATAGAGTGGCGTTTTGGTTGAGGTTTGTTTATGGCTCCTCAGACCGCTGTGTATTGCTATCATGCGGTCGTTACTAAAGTTGGTATAACTAGAGAAGCAAGCGGTCGCCGGTTGGCAACATTCATCTCTCGACTGGGTGTCTAACTCGGTGTTACGGTGTGTTTGACCCTAACTTAATTTCACACCGGAATATCCCTTTAACAAACTCCCCTCACTAAATAAGCGACTTACATGCTATAGACAGTGTGCAGGAAGTGGTGATGGTTGCGATGGGGTTGGTGGCGACGCATTCGTAAACTCCGGCGTCCTTCCGGCTGGACTTCATGATCATCAGGAGCTGCCTGCCATCAGGGTGGGAGACGAGGCTGACCCGGTCCTCTGCTGTGAGCGGTTTACGATCTGTAAACGATACAAAGATCAGGAAATGAGAAAGGCGCTTCTGGATAGAAGTAAAGTTACGTCGAAGAAGGAAAAGGAAATGAAGTTACCTTTCATCCACGTGATTTCAGGATGAGGACTCCCAGCTGGAAGGCAGCTCAGAGTGACGGGTTCTCCCTCCAATAGGACGTGGTCTCTGAGTTTGATGTGAAAAACAGGAGCGAAGTCTGACGCAGAGCGGATGAACTGCTGGCTTTTCGACAAACCCTCCTCTGTAGAGGCGGAGGCTGCCGTCAGATCAGACTGAGAAGGCGTTTTGTCTTTCTTACTCCTCGACAAACCCCACCTGTCCCACCGTGACCGCCTCTCGCTCTCTGAGGCTTTTTCAGACTGAATACTGGAAGAGGATTCGATCGATTCCTTGGACGCAGTGGTGCCGGTTTGTTTGGCGAGCTGATTCTCGGGGATGCCCATCCCCTTGAGTCCACGGCCTTCGGATTGGGAGTGGCGATGGCGCACGAACAACGGCGTCCTTTTCCCTTCTGCGTCGTCTTTCCTCTCCTCGGACTGACTGCGGATCTTTGAGGAAATCCCCGCCACTTTGTTCTCAAACTTATTCCGCATCGCTACAACAGGCGAATCCGAGACTTTCTTCTGTGCCAGCTCTTTCTGACTCCCCCCGGTGTCCTTATCCTTCCTCTCCTCTGACTGCGTCCTAATTTTGGCCGAAATCCCCGCCACTTTGGACTCAAACTTGCGCCTCATGGCAGAGACAGACGACTCCTCTTCTTTTCTCTCCTCTCTTTCTTCCAGCTGCTTCTGAGCGTTGTTCAGCTCCTTCGTGTCCAGGGACTTGCTGCGACCAATCGCCCATGAAACCCTCTTGCTCACGGCACTTTCCTTCACATCTTGTTGCTTCTCTTCCTTTGGTTTCTCACCTTTCTTATCAGCGGATGTCAACCTCTTCCCCCGCAGGGAAAACCTCCCAATCAGACCGAGCCCTGCGTCCTTATCTTCCTCTCTTAAATCCTGCACAGATTTAGATTTCTCCGGTAGTCCTTTGGATACCATTTCAAGTGGGCCGCCCCGAGGCCCTGGCCGGTAAACCTCCTCACCCCCTGGAAACTCTTTCCGGCCCAGCACGGGAGATTTCTCCTCTGATTTGTTCCTGGTCAGTTTTCGGAGGCCGCGGGTCAGAGACGACTCTCGCTTTTTGAAGCGGGCTTCAAAGAGCTCCTCCGAGTCGATGTCTTTTATGTCCGTTCTGAGCACAGGCTGGCGGGGGAGGGCGGGGAGATCAGGGTTTGATGATGTGGTCAGAGGAGATCTATCCCCTGTTGCGACTCTGGCAAACACAGCGGCGTGTTCGGGTGGTGTGGGGGGTTGTGTGGGCTTTGGATCGTCTGAATTTGCCGCTTGTTTTGTTTGGGATTTGTCAGATGTTTGCAAACTCTTCTGAGCGATACCCGCATTTGCAGACGACGCTTTGCTATTTTTGGACGATGTCTTGTCTTCCTTCACATCCCTCTCATAAATCTGTAACTCCTGATTCTCTTTACTCCCGTCTTCCTCATCCTCCTCTTCGATTACAATAATAGGGGTAATGACAGAAGGTGATCTAGCCTCTGAATCGGCTTCTTTTGCCTTTTCTATCTGAGTTTTGGTCCTTTTCTCCGGTATCTCATCCTTGTTTTCCTCTCTCGTACTTCGCACATCCTCATCTTTGTTCTCTTTTTGCTGTTGGTCCAGTTTTCTCGATGTTGGGAATACAAAAGTCCGATCCATGGATGAGGACGACTCCAGTGTCGTTTGTTCAGTCAGTGCCGACATTGAGGTCGCTTCCTGGAGCTTCTTCCCCTCTGTGCTACTGTTACCCGCCGATGGGATCTCCAAGGGGGCTCCAAATCTGCGGTGCAGGGGCATAGGCTCAGAATCCCCCTGAGTGAAGGAGGCGCTCTTACGGAAAACTTTGGTCTTTGGCACGTCCTCTTGAGTCGTGTCTGAAGACGCCGCTCTTTGGAGAGTTGAGGGTCCGGCTCTGGATTTCCTCAGATTGCGATCCAGAGACCCAGTCCTCCTCTCGTCCTCCATGCCGAGCGTCTCAAACAAAGGTCCTCGTAGGCCGCTCATCTTTTTGTCCACGCTGCCTCCCCTGAGCAGCCGCTGCCTCATCAGTTCCAGTTTCAGGGCGTAATCTTCCTGGCTTAACTTTGCCGCTCCAGGGCTCGGGCTGCGATTTGGTAGTTCCATAGAAACGGCCTTTTTCAGGCTCTTGTTACTGGCCTCCGAGTCTTTAGTTGAATCTCCTTCCTCTGGGTCGATATGGAGCAGCAGTGCTGAATCAGCAGAGCTGCCTCTCCTCATAGTCGCCCGCCTGGCTTTTGTCTGCGACTCCTCTGACTCCACACTCGATCCTTTCTTCAGGGGCGCTCGCTTTGTCTTCCCCAAACCCTCCTCATTTGTTTCTTCTTCCTCATCCTTTTCTCTTTTACTCATCCCTCCTATCTCCACGTTGTCCTTCCTCCTCGTCCCGTCAGCACCCACAGAGCACCTCGGAGTCACATCTTCATCCGCTGGGATCTCATTAAGGGACACCCTGGAACCAGAGAAGACCATGGAAAGCGGCATGGGAATAAAGGGGAGCTCGTCCACATCCGCATCCGAGTCTGAGGAGGACGAGGGCGGAGGGGAACCTTTTTTTAAGTGCCGAGCCACGGCGATGGAGACATGGTTGGAGGAGTCGTTCAAAAGCTCCGGGATGGAGCGCATAATCATCTTGGATTTGTAGCTGATAAGAGAACGCTAAAAAAAAAAAGAAAACCAGGAAAGAAAGTTCAATTACACTGATTTATTCTGAGTCAGTGGGTTGCTGCTTGCAGAAAGAATTAGTCTCAGTGAGAGGATTTGTTCTTCCACATGATGATATTTCTCACTTTTTAAAACCCGTCCCACTTAACTCTCAAGGTTTTGGACTCCATATTCAGTGAGGGATCTGCAGCCTCTCAGTTTCTAACTTTAATACCCATGTGGTGATCTGAGTCGGTAGGGATGCTATGAATGTTGCAGACAGATGCAGAGGCGGAAAAACACCAGGACAAAAAAAAGAGCCTGCCAAAAAGTGGTCTTTACTTAATCCTGCTTTAGAGGTTTCATTTGGACCTCAAACCCGCCCTGGGGTTTGTTAAATCTTCATTTACAAACCCTTACAAATCTGTTAATTGCTATGCCGACTGCTTGGAATATGCATGAATCACATTAAAATAAGAGGCTGTAATTTGCCATGAAAGTAACTCACCTGCCAGCGCCTCCTCGACAAAACTTGTTTGAGCATTGCCGTGCTGATACTTTTGTTTGTTGGCGACTGCAAGACGAAAACAGGAACGTTTATTTATTCTTATTATTCTTGTTTGGGAATAAATACAAAACAAATCAGGACTCACTTTGAACCAAGGATGGCGAAGGCACTCGATGGCACTGGGCCTCCTAGGAGAGGAAAATATAGACATGCAAAGGGATTATGCTTGAGGCGGGATGAGCAAACCTCTACTTTATTTCATGTAGCTCGAATTTGAGGCCTGCCTGAACTAACACTCTGCTCAGTTTATGGCTAAAAATGGCTGTAAGAGGATGCTTACAGTCTGTCAACCACCAGGAGTTTGATGACGAAACCCTTCGCCTCCTTGCAGAGGTCGGAAAACATGCTCTCCTCAAACGCCACGTTGTAGTTGCGGATGTTTAAGGCGGTGGCTCTGTCGTTCTCCCCGGCAAAGGGAGACACACCAGTCAAACTTTAAAAAAAAGGAGATTTATTGATGAATATTTTGTTATTTTTAAAAGATAAAACTGCATGATAAGAAACGTCTGAAACGTACCAGAGATAAGTGATGACGCCAACAGGCCTGTGGGAGAGCAGAGGAGGTTAGAGACAAGACTTTGTTATTTGCAGATAAAGTGGTACCTGCAGTGAGTTCTCACTCTTCTCGTTTAGGGAACAGGTGGCTCACCATATGTCTGTTGCCGTGGAGACTGGAGTTTGATTAACAATCTCTGGTGCGACATATTCGGGCGTGCCGTATTTGCAGTAGAGCTCCTCTGATGCGTCGAGTTTGACTGCATTACCAAAGTCACAAATGCGGATCTGGTCGCTCCCAGGGCTCGCCATAAGAATATTTTCCGGCTGGAGAACCGAAAAAAAAAAACGACTTTAGGGAGAGGAAAGCAGGAATAAATCTGATACAAGGATGGAAGCGGAGTGGAAGGGTACCTTTATATCAAGGTGGGCGATGTTTTTTTGGTGGAGGTAACGAAGGCCTTCGAGGACCTGCATCACACTCGAGCGGATCTGTGAAGAAACAAGAAAAAAGGGAGTGAATTTAAAAAGTCATGTTACATAATGTTAGCGCAGTGCAGTCAGCAGGAGCAAGAACAAACCTCCACTTCCTTCACTGTTGTTTTTTTGGCCATCCTCTCCAGCAACTCCTCGTGACATCTTCATACAACAGTTAAAGGAAGAAAAAAGAAATATATATATATAAGGCAACAAAAGCTGCGACTTTGCCTGCAGAGTCCAAGCGGTAGGTGCATGAAAAATGAATTATAAATGAGCAAAACTCCCACACATCCCCATCTCTGGTTAATTCCACTCATCGGGGATGAGTCAGAGAGGAGAAGAAAGCTGTGCCGCGCTCCATTCATGCCTCCAGGGGTTTGCAGAAGACATTAGGATTAATGCTCTGGATCTTTAGAGTCCTTGAGATGCAACTAAGAGCACTTTTGTTCCACAATGAAGCGCATGAGATTTAAAACAATACTAGAGGAAAGGTAGCGATTGTTTGAATTAAAGGTGCCATCGTGTTTGGCCTTATTGTGAAACCTCAGTAACAAGCGGTAAAGGATACAGCTCTGTTATGAGCACCACCACGTTCTTCTTCTCGAAGGCGTCGTGGAAATAAAGGATTCTCTCGTTGTCCAGCTCAGACAGCAGTTCCATCTCTCTGAGGGCCACAGCTTTCCTCTTCCCCCGAGCAGAAATGAACTTGGCAGCGACCTCGGCCTTCCCTTTCTTCTGATTCACCCTCTTCACGTAGGAGAACGCTCCCCTGTGTTGAAAGAGGCGACATTGGCATCAAACAAAAGGCTCATTTGGATCGATTAAAGTAATTTTTCTTCTATTTGACACTTTTTCATTTTCTGGCTTTTTAAAATCATCAATTCAGCAGGAGAAAACTCATTTCAGGGCTAAAAAAACACTATTATCACAGCATGAAAGGCTGTTTTTGACCCTTTGCCTGACTAAATAATATCAGGTCAGATGTCCTCTCAGGCTTTTTAGAGCAGATTAGAAGAAATAGAAGCAAATAAATGTGGTGTAAAAATGTTAAAGGCTTATTTTTTTCCATTATGGGTTAATTTATTTTAACAAGCACATCAACCTAAGGCTAATAACTCTCTTGTTTCAATGTTGAAAAATACCTCATTAACTATTAATCAAAATGTACACACCTTAACAGCTGTTATTCAAATATAACACATTGACGGCTGTTATTCAAAAATAACACAACTTGAGTAATAACCTTGGAGGTGTGTTATTTTTGAATAACACACCTCAAAGGCTAATATCCAAAAATAACACATCTCAAAGGTTGTTATTCAAAAATAACACACCTCAAAGGTTGTTTTTCCAAAGATAACAAACCTCTAAGGCTGTTATACCAATTAACACACCTCGAAGGTTGTTATATGAAAATAACACACCTCAAAGGCTGTTAATCAAAAATAACACACTGTGAAGACTTGTTTATTAAAAATAACAAACCTGGAAGGCTGTTTTTAAAAACAACACACCTCAAAGTCTGTTATTCAAAAATAACACCCTGGTAGGCTGTTATACCAAAATAACACACCTCGAAGGCTGTTACTCAAAAATAACAAACCTGGTAGGCTGATAACATACCTTGAAGGCTGTTTATAAAAAAAACAAAAAACAAACCTGGTTGGCTGTTATTCAAAAATATCATATTGTGAAGGGTGTGTGAAAATAACACACACCCTGTAGGCTGTTCTTTCAAAATAAGGCACACTTTTTGGTTATATAAAAATCACCCACACCTCACAGTCTGTGTTTATGTCATACAAAATCATGACTGATTAGCAGACACTGACAACCTCTGTTATCTATTCATGCTATGGGATCATTTGGAAGTTTTCAGGAAGTTCTTGTATGTACAAAAGCACTTCCTGGTGAGATGTTTTTCACTTAGAGGTGGCGCTTATACAGGAAATGTGTAGACAAATTAACTTCAATTTCCTCTGGGTGTTTTGTTGTTTTTTGAAGCATAAAAATCAACATTTGATTTGCATTTAAGCCTCCTGTGAGCTTTTGTAACAAAACAGCCTCCTCAGAGTTTCCCGTCTGCTTATTTTCCGTCCAATTTGCTGTAAAAAATTCATTTTAATGTCTGTCTACTTGAAGTCAGACCCAAACAATCATCTGCGCTCTCCGGCTGGTGACTCATCTCGTATCCAGCAGGCGCAGCTCGCGTCACTCCCACAGCCCGACCCCTCAGCGCTCTAACAGCCATTAAGTGACGGGATGAGTGTTTGCCGCTCACACACGCCCGTACTCACCTCCCTATCTCTTTGTGGACATCATAATAATCTGTCAAACGCCTCATTTTCCTCAGGATGCTCCCCTCGTCCTCCATGGGCTCCTCTGCTTCTTGTCGCTCTGTAGGGACCAACACATGAGTTTTATGAGTGTGTGTGTGTGTGTGTGTGTGTTTGGCTGCTATTGTGTGCCAGCAGAATGACAGATGGTTTCATATTGTACTCTCTAAACACCTTGTGGTCCCGCCCATATGCTGTAGATTTAGAGGTACTATTTGCAGCACCAATGAGCTTTTTATGGAGTGGAGTACATCAGCAAACACATTAAGTTTTAACAGGAAATAACAGCTGAAAATCCAGGTAAAGCATGCAGGTGGACTCCGCAGACCTGTGTGCACCGTGAGCTCGGCTTTGCAGGAGTTGGAGCCGGCCAGGTTCTTGGCGGTGCAGGTGAAGACACCAGAGTGTTCAGGGCGGGCGTTTAAGACGACAAGGGAGTATTCAGGATCATCGTAGACGAAGGTGAAGTGGGAACTCTCAGCGAGAAGCACACCATCCTGCAACGCAACCATGATAAATCGCATTATTCTTGTTTTTAACCATTTCCTGCTTCCTAAAATCTCCAATAAACATGACTCAGACCTTGTACCACAGAATATCTGGGTCTGGTTTCCCTTCGACCTCGACGGCCAATCGCGAAGTCTCCCCAACCTGCACATCTACGTCCTCCATGATGGACTCAAACTTTGGAGGCACTGTAGAGGAAGTGGAAAAAATCCTAAAACTTCAATAATCAAAGCTGGTAAGTCTGCACAAAAGCAAGTCTGTCTGTAAGTCGAGATCTGGACTGACCTGCCATGGCGAGCTGCAGCGTGCACAAGTCGCTGCCAAACTGGTTGCTGGCGGTGACCACCAGCTGACCGATGTCTGTGCTCTTGACTCGCTGCAGCTTCAGGGTGTGCTGGTCATCGTCTGGCATGCTCATTTCACAAACTCCTAGTTTGTTGGCCAACACGACACCTCTCCTGAAGCCAAGAGAGACAGTGCGAGCAAATTAGAGCTCGGGATGAAAAACAAACAAAACTGAGTTGATTTTTATCCAAAGTGCTTCACAACTTCAGCTCCTTTTTTCACTTGAGTGGTTGTCCTATTTTGAGTTTGAATTTGCACTGGAATACATGGTCAAACAACAGCAGTAGGTATTGATTAGGGGCGTCTCATGTCTCTAAATCTACATTTCAATTTCGCTTTGACCCTGAATTTTATCCAGATTTTTACCGAGCACTCACATCTACATGACAGTTTTAGGAAAATTCTTAGAAGCATGAAAGCACTTCTCAAATATTTTAAAAATATCTTGACAAATCCTCACATGTTCTTAAATTCACAAGTCTTGACAGAAAGAATCCTAAATTTTCTTTGAATTTACCTTGACAAGTCTTTTAATGTCCTGAAATCCACAAAGTTTCAACAACAACAATAAACAAATCCTGTATGTAAACAGAAAAATCTACAAAAACTTTAAAAAAAGGAAAAAAAAAACATTTTGAATGTTTCCATTTTTAAAAGATCCCAAAAAATCTGGAAATGTACCCTAATAACTCTTGAAGCAGCCAGAATTACTCCAGAATCATTGAAGTGTCAATGAGTTAATGCAATTTTCCAGAAAAAAGATCTTGAAAATTTCTTCAAAAATATTTGAAATTTACCCAGACAAATCCTGAAATGTTCTGAAATTTCACAACAAAATAACCCTGTAAGTTTCTGACATGTAACATTTTTATGAAAGAAAAAATCTTAAAAACTAGCAAAGTTACCAAAAAAAGTCCTGAAAATGTCTGGAATGAAAGGTAGTAAATAAAGGATTAAATAAAAAAATGTCATCCCTCTCAAAGTGAAATTTCTAATAGCTATAGTAATATTTCCAAAAATTGCGTGAAAATTCCCCCAAATTCCATTCAGAACTTCCCTGGTATAATTCATTAATACTGCTTCTTGAATTTTCAGGGAAATTTCCTTCAAATCTTTTGATAATTTTTCATCTCCCTCTATCCTGCAGACACAGACAGTAGACTAAGTCTTCCACAGTGTTCATGTGCTTAAACTGAAGTTGCCAAATTCAATCAAATTGCAGCTCAGCAGGGCGCCTCAGTCCTGGTCTTTAGAGGTTTGGATAAGCATGTTTTTTTTTTCTAAGTTCATGAAACAGTTCTTGAAGTGAACAGAAATGGGATGAAATCCAGCAGAGCTCCAGCCTCTGAGCGGATTCTCCTGCAGCCGTTAGTTTGATAAACGCTTCCTGCTCGGTCACTGGGTTTAAACAAAGACTCAGACATTCAGCAGCTGCTTGTGTTTAACCTCAGACACTCTCTGCTTGTTTTGCAGGTGGCTGATTCATTTAGACATTAGAAAGAGTCTGAAAGCACGACATAAAGATGAAGCAGGTTACCTTTTCCAGGTCACAACTGCATGCACGTGGTTCAGTGTGATGGTGATGCTCGCGGGTTGGTTCTCAACCACATAAATAACGTCAGGTTTGTCTGTGATGATTGGTGCTTTCCTTAAATAAGGTCCTACAGGAGGAGGAGGAGAATTTAAAATTAACCATAAATACTCATATTAGGCTCATATTAACTAATAAAATACTGTTTTGGAGCAGCTACCTCTGTCCAGCAGCTGGACCAAGTCAGTCGAGGGTGATGGTTTACTCAGAGTCTTCCCAGTAAATGTCAGGACTCTGAAGGCGTAACGGACTCCCTTAGACAGGGAGGTGAGGGTGAAGCTGGTCTCTCTCAGGTTGGACGCCACCACAGACCACTGGATGGAGCCCAGAGGCTGCTGCTGGACCACATACAGCAGGGAGCCGGCATCTGCAGGAACATATACGGTGTTCATTAACTAAAGAGGAAAATTTTAACCATGCAGTAAAGAAATTTAATGATGTTGTTTCCTATGGTGGCCCTGAAGGTCAAATGCACAAAGATTTTATAAGTAACAAAAAACATTTCAGTAAATGACAATTTTTTTCCCTAAAGTAAATATTTTTTCAGACACAAAACCATTAACAGAACAGCAAAAAATATTTTATATGTACAAAAAAAATTGAGGAAAAAATAAAAAAATCATCAAAAGTTGTAAATGGAAAAAAAATCTTAACAGAATTTTTTAAAATGTAAAGAAAAAAATTTAATAAAAAACACACATTTTAATAAAAGCATAAAAATATTACATGAGTACAAAAAAAGATGAGAAAAAAACCCCAAAACATCTAAGGCTGTAAATGGTAAAAAAAAAAAATACCAACAGAAGTTTATAAGATGTAAAAAAAAATTAAATAAAAAACATACAATTAATAAAATTAAAGCATTTGAAGCATTTAATAAAAGTGTAAAAATATTTGATGAGTACAAAAAAAGATGAGAAAAAAATCACAAAACATCAAAAGTTGTAAATGGAAAGAAAAATTTTGAAGAAGTTAGTAAGATGTAAAAAAATTGTGAATAGAAAAAATAACTTAAATTCAAATAAAAAACATACATTTCATAAAGCATAAAAATATCTCAAATATAACATTTTTTAGAAATATGTTTTGAAAAATTAGCAAATTAAATTTTTGAAAAATAATTAGTGTTAATGATTTCTATTTTCTTTAAAGTTTTATTGCTAAATGACATATTTTTTGTGTTTAGAGTCTGGCTTTTGACACTCATTTAAATATTTTTTGTGGTAATGAAATGTTTTTAGCATTTACCCTTCAGGGTCACCGTAGCTCCCCAATGTTCTCAAATGAGGTTTAACTTAGAGAGAGGCTTTGAATACTTCAGACTTGAACAACAATAACAAAAAGTGACACATTTGGCTTTAGAAAAAAGTATCACCGTAAATCTGATGAACGTACCGAATGAAGAGTCGAGCCTCTTGGGTCTCTTCCAGCTGAGAGTGATAGTTTTTCCTGTGATCGCCTCGATCACTGGAGGACCATCAGGAGGGTCAGGAACAATATCTGTTTTCACATTAATTAAAAAAATTCATGTTTAATGTTTTTCACTCCTTATCACTCTGATATCAAACTTGAATCCTTCATCTTTACCTGTGACGTAGAGATGTGCGTAGCAAGCGGCTTTCCCCACTTTATTGGAGATGACGGCTTTGTAGACGCCCCCGTGAGCGTGACAGGCGCTGCGAATGACCAAACTGTGGACATCCCTGTCTGAAGGACAGACACAGAGTTTTGATTTCCTGATCCCAAACTAAAAAGAAAAAGGTTCAGGTGTGTTCACGATGGTTTCTGTGCTTACGCTGGGTCATTTTGCGCTCTTCGCTGCTCTCGATCCTCTTCCCGTTGTGGTACCAGCCGATGGTGGGGTACGGGAGCCCCGCCACTTTACATTTCAGCACCACTTCTTTGCCTTCGATTACTTCTGCGTCAGATAGAGGTTTGACGAAGTCCGGCATGGTTCTCTTCTCCACTTCGCTCTCCAGGACCTCAGGTTCCTCGGGGATGGACGGCATCTTCTCCAGCTTGGTCCTGGAGAAAAAAACGAAGAAACAGGAAGAATAAGTGGCGAAAAACGACGACCTTTAAACTTAAAAAGTGGCGAATGGGTCAAAATTCTGATTACATTTGAGAGGAGATGGCAGCTCGTGGTTCTTGCATGTACAGCTCAGCGGTGCACTCAGACTTTCCGTAAATATTTTGAGCGATTGCGGTGTAGAAGCCCTCCGTCTCGCTGCTAACGTGGGCGATAACGAGCGAGTGGCGACCTCCCTCCTGGAGGATTCGGACATTATCGCTCTCCTCCACTCTCGTCTCTGAAAAAGCATCATCAAACGATCAATTTCTCTGCGTCTGGATGAGAACATACAAGACTCAGACGGCGGAGGTTCTTACCAAAGTGCATCCATGTGACTTGCGGAGGAGGCGACCCGCTCACTTTGCAGTCAAAGCGAGCGGTGCGGCCTTCGATGACCTCTAGGATATCCAGTTTGCGGGTGAAGAGAGGTTCTCTGGATGGGGTGACACTCAGGTTTGCACTGGAGGTCAGCTCATCTGCAGATGTAATCACAAATTTCTTAACGTAAGGCGTTTTTTTTGATCGGTACATTCGGATAGAATCGTGGATATCTTACCTTTGGCAGTGCTCAGCTTGCAGGTGTAAGTCCCGCTATCGTCCTCGTGTACGGAGTTCAGCAGCAGACGGCATCTGAGGAGAAGAAGTTAAGAGGTATTCGTTGAAATCGTTGAAAATGAACTTTTAACTCACAGACGTCACCAAAAACCAGCGAACTCACCTCTTTCCGTCAAAGTGCATCTTGCAGTTGAGCAGCGCCGGCTGGATCAGCTTCCCGTTCGACAGCCAGTCCACGTCCACGTCCGGGGGTCCTGTCATGTAACATTCAAACATGGCCGACCCTCCGGCCTTCGCCGCCACATCCTCCACCTTCCTGATGATTTTGAGCGCCAGTTGTGCTCCAGCTGACATGAAAAGCAGAAAAATAGTGATCAGCTAAAATATCACGACGTGTCGTAACCTGCTGTGTTGTTTTGATTTACTCACCTTTGACCTCCACCCTGCACTCGGCCTGCTCGCTCCCGTACTCGTTCATGATCCTGCAGACGTAAACTCCTGCGTCCGACCTCTGAGCCGAGCTGATTCTCATCTCGCTGCCTCCTTCGCTCGTTTCCCTCACGGCGAAGCGCCCCGCCGTTTTCAACGTGACTTTGTCCTTCAGCCTGGAACGGAACAAAGTGGCTGTCAGAGGCGCTTAGACTCAGGTGTGTAATAAAGCGCTGTGTGTGTGTGTGTGTGTGTGTGTGTGTGTGTGTGTGTGTGTGTGTGTGTGTGTGTGTCTGACAGCGGGTGACCTTGGTTAAAATATTAGCTTCAGGTGTTTGTGAGGATGTGAGTGTGGGGTGAAGCTCTCGGGGACGGTGTCTCACCAGTAGACCATGGCTTTGGGGTGTCCTCTAAATCTGACGGAGATGATGATGTCCTGACCCTCGGTCACAGTCTGATCACACGGGGCCATCTGTCAAAGCATCAACACAGATTTATCAGTAGGGTTCAAATAAGACGTTGACAAATTTCTGCCAATTTCTATAAACCAAATCAGTCAAATGTAGAAAAAAAAGAAAAACAAATAAAGAAAAATAAAAGAGACGGCCTTATAAAACGTTTTTTTCTAGTGCTCTTATGTTGAAATTTTCACTCTCTTGCCGCTATTTGCTTTCTTGACTGTGTCATAAGAACATGCTTTTATTTTGAAATGACAACTATGCTACTTCCTCAATTTCTCATTTAATAGAGTTTTATGTACAAAATCATCAAAACTTGTAAATCAAAAAAAAAAAAAACTTAACAGAAATGTATAAGATGTAAACAAAATAAAATAAAAAAACATACGTTTTATAAAGCACAGAAATATTTTACAGATGAAACATTTATTTTAGAAATATATTTTTTAAAATTAACAAATTAAAATTTGAAAAATAAACAGTGTCCATGATTTCTTTTTTCTTAAAAGTTTTATTGCTAAATGACATATTTTTTGTGTTTAGAGTCTGGCTTTCAACATTCATTTTCATATGTTTTGTGGTAATGAACACAGATTTATCTTAAAGGTTAAAATAGGACTTAAATGAATTTCTGCGATTTCTAAAAAACAATTCAGTCAAATGTCAAGAAAAAAAGGAAAAACAAATGAAGTAAAAACAAAAGAAATTTGGTTGAAATTTTCACTGTCTTGCCTCGAATTTGCTTTCTAGACTGTGTCATAAGAACACGCTTTTATTTTGAAATTATGCCTGGCTTTCTTTCTGTTCAGTATCCCTAGGAAATAATGTGGTTAAAAAAAAGCAGACATTTTCTTTGGTTGTTATATCATTGTGAGATGAAAAAAGAGGTTTTAAACAAAAAATAAAAAAACTCGATCTGACCCAAAAACTCTCAAAATAAACTATGCGTAACTCCGTGACCCCGCCCCCAGAATATGGTCACCTTAGTTTTACACCTGAATGAAATTGAATAATATTAATTATGCTTTTATATTCATGACATGTCTTGTAACTTCTGTTTTAAAGGCGTCTGACCCTCTTCTCCGGAGGGCTGCTATAGCTAGATACCTAGCTAGCTGGTTCCTGGATACATTGATTTTCATTGCTACCTCCCTCCATGCACCAATTTGAGGCATAAATATGAGGAAGTAGAAACTGCCAATCGTGTTGTTGATGGTCTTGTTTGTTTTCAAAGTTTAACTGTGTTTCAAAAACGCCAAAAAAACTCCTTACTGGAGCTTTAATGTAGTTCATAATGCCCCTCATACTGTAGGGTGACCATACGTCCTTTTTAACCCGGACATGTCCTCTTTTTGGGGCTGTCCAGTCTTGTCTGGGGGAGTTTAAAAAATCCTTCAAATGTCTGGGGTTTTGTACACAAGTTTTGGTTTTGTGTCCCTGAGTTAGAAGTGCATAAAAGACACTTGATCCGACCCAAAAAACTCTCAAAATTAACTTTGTGTGACTCCTTGACTCCGCCCCCATGTAATCCTGTCCTCTTTTTGGGAAGTCAGAATATGGTCACCCCATCATATTGCATCCTTGCAGCCATAGTAGCCTCATTTTTCAGCTCCTCGCTCATGTTTTTCTTGGTTGATAACCGTCTTGTCTTACTCTCCTACCTGAAATGATGGCGGTTCTGTGAAGTGGACCCTTTTAGCGGGAGCCGGCGACTCCCCGAGCTCCATGGCCTCCTCCTGGGGGCTCAGATACTCCTCGTCTGACTGGATGGGACTGCTCACCTCCAATGCTGGCTTCCCACATTGCGTTTGAGTCGGCTCTGGAAGGAGAAGAGACACATTAATATGACGATGTTTCAAGCAGACGCTGGCTTCAGCTAATTCACTTAACTCCGCAGTGATTTGCACACTTCTTAATTAAAGAAATTCGGCATAAATCTCTTTGAGATACGGTCAGCAAGTCGACGAGGAGGCTCTTTAAACCTTTGGAGTTTACAGTCTCTCAGGGCGCTCATGTTTACAGTCTCTGCTTGCTTTTCTGGAGGTGGCTTTCGTTGCCAAGATGAGCAGCTGGCAACACAGAGCGGTGAGTTTGAGATGAGTGGGCCACCTGCCCCCCAAACTCACACAGAGAGCGTGGAGGGAGTGGAGACCTCTCTGAAGCCACAGATAATGAATTAATCCCTTAATCCCTGACCCAATCACTCGCCTATTCCCGCTGAGTTCCAGAGCAGACGCCGCGTGTGGACTCCTGAGAACGAATTCACCGCCGGGTAGAGAAATTTAAAACACAGACACGCTACAGCACCTCTTTTCCGCCTCGTTCTTCTCGCTTTCTGTTAAATCTCAGACTCTGGTGTGAGTAGATAACACTGTGAAATGAATCACATCCATCAGAGGAGCAGAATAAAAAGTTGTCAAGCTTTGAGGAGCGAACGGCAGCAGGGTGTAAAAGGATAAAAGCGAGTCTGAAGAGATCAACTGCGAACGCTTAAAAAATAAACCAAGAATCGACTCGCAGCAATAAAACCTTGAGAGTCAAAACACAGAGAAAGTATTTATGCAAAGTTGTGAAGTGTAAGCACTTAGTTATTTGGTGTAAATGTCATCTTACCTAGAGTCACATCTCGGAGCTGCGTCTGTGCTCCAGGGGAAAACTCCCGGGAGTATTTACGCCAACCTGCCAACTCTTACACAACCGCAGCACAAACTGAGCCAGTTAACTTTCTCCTTCAGCTCCCCGTCACTGTCATGGACAAACTCAGGTCCAAAAAAGGCCGGAGGATGTTCAAATGTTCATAAAAACAGATTTTAAAATGTTTCTGGAGCTTTCAAAATGCCTCATTCTTGCCCGATCATTCAGCTCGTAGTTGTTTTTGCTGTTGCTTCATGTCTACTTACATAAATTGAAAACTGCAGCTAGTTTCAACCTCTGTAATGCTGTAATGCACCATAAAAAGCTGTCAGACAAACAGCGCTCGGCTCTCTGATTGTATTTGCACCAATAAAAAAGGGTGATAGGGTGGATTCAGCATGAAATTGGTTCATTTCTATGCAGACGAGCCGCTTTTGTATAAACAACCTGCTTCAAAAACGTCACAGGAATAATAACCTGCATTGAGAAAAGAGGTGTGGAGTGTAAAGATGGTTGTAATAGGAACAACTCCGGAGTGGAAATCACTGCATGGGCTCAAAATAATGTCCAAAAAGTCTCCTCTGAGCCATCTAACAAACCAAAACTTGACTTTTTTTTGGCAAATGCTTTAAAGAGGAGACGGACCAAGATTTTCAACCTTATGTGGCGACTTCCAGTACAGAGTCTCCAGATAACCTGAATATTTTCATGATTTTATGAACTGTAGATGATGAAATCCCCTAATTTGAGCTCACGCAGTCTCTCACAAAGTTGTGAATTTCTTCCTATCTTTATTTCTTAGAGGCTTATCCCCCTCTGGAGCCCGTTTTCATGCACTGTTATGTAGGGGTGGGAATCACCAGTGGCCCCAGGATACAATATTATCACGATACTTGGGCAACGATATGATATAATTGCAATTTTTAACATTTTGGAAATTTTTGGGCAAATCTTGGTCAATGCTTTAAAGAGGAGATGGACCAAGATTTTTAACCTTATGTGGCGACTTCCACTACAGAGTCATGTCTGTTTCTAATGCGGTACCGTCTGAATCTTGGCCATCCAGTTGAGTTTTCAGTCTTGTCCCTTTTCTAGAGAGATTTTCTCCACATTCTCTGAATATTTTCAGGATTTATCTGAACTGTAGATGATGAAATCCCCAAATTTGAGCTCACGCAGTCTCTCACAAAGTGGTGAATTTCTTCCTATCTTTATTTCTTAGAGATCGGGGTGGGAATCACCAGTAGCCCCATGATACAATATTATCACGATACTTGGACCACGATACGATAATATTTCGATTTATACAATTTTTTAAACTTTTTAGCTAATTCTGCATTTTTCTTTCCTTTTTGTTTGTCTTATTTATGCTGTGTTTTATTTTCATGTAGCACATCTTGCAAACCTCGGCCAACCTCACTGGACAACCAGTTTATTTATTTTCCATTATCATAGATTTGACTTCATATTAGCAATTAATTTGAAAAAATCGATACTTGATTAATGAGACGATACGATATATCCCCAGACAGAATATCACGATACTTTGCTATATTGATTTTTTCTCCCACCCCTACTGTTATGTTACTAACCTGTTGGGAATTAGCCTTTCTTTCCCCAAAATCTCAACTTTTCTGAATAATGTTGCATCAGATTTAAATGATTTCTCCATGTTTTCAATTAAAGAAAGGCTCCAAATTATCCATAAGCCTTTAAAATCTGTTTTTGACAACATTTCATGCAACATCCCGCCTGTTTAGAGAGTCGTGTTGATATAATTCAAGCAGCAGTGTCAGAAAACAAGTATTCATTACATAAGAATCTGCTGATTTGCTTTGGGAAAGCCTCCTCAGAGAATAATGGACGCCGCCAAACGCATAAAAATCCAATTTGATTGATTGTTTTATGCATAAAGCACAAGAATACAATGTTAATCTCCTTCACCATATTGAGTTTGGCATCCTCTCGAGCTATTCAATCACTCTCGCCCTCAGTTTTGCCTCGCGGTGCCAAAAAGCTCCCCGCTACAGCAGCTACAGTGACTCACATAATCTCCCACCACATTTTCACAACTCAGACTCCCGGCTTAAATCTTTTGGAGGTGAAAAAAAAACTCTGTGATTGTGGCAGTAATCTCACACGGGGGGACATAAAGCAGACTGCAATTACCCCGAGAGAACAAGAGGGCGGCTAAAAATACTCCTGCAAGTTGGACTCCACTGGCCTAATATGGAAACACAGGCCCCGTCCTGCTGCTGCTGCTCACACTGTGGCGCAGCGAACGCTCACATTTGTTGACAAAACCGGTGGAAGCGCAGGTTGCATGTACATGAGCTGAATCAACACTCCGGGAAAGCTTCTCTTACACACGAACACGCCGCACACGCACGCCTCCTCAGCAGAGTCCTCTTCCAAAAGGAATATTCAGTCTGTTTACTCCTGAATCTGAACGCCACGGCCGTCTCTAAGACTCCAGGGACCTTTGTGTGACGGGGCAGGTCTGTGTGTTTCTGAATCGGCACCGAGGGGGAGCTCACCGCCTTTAAGAATTAATGGGTTGCCATGGTAACTACGGCTGCGAGGAGCCACGGCCGGGATGCTGAGCTCCGGCAGGCCTTTGTAGTCTTTAAGAGAGAATGTCAGGCGGAGGAGGGCTGGCAGCGGATTAGAGCGAGTCAACATGTTCGTGCGCTCCAAGAAGAAGATCATTTTTTATGAAGATTTATGTAACACGCTCAGAAATGTGTCACTGTGACAATAAACCTCAGATCATTCCTCCTTATCTGGCGCCGTCTCACCTGATTTGATGTAGATGGTGGCGCTGCAGGATGCTCGTCCCGCTGGGCTGACAGCTGAGACGCAGTACGTCCCGGCGTTGCTCGGCCTCATGCGCTTTATCAGCAGACTGTGGCGCTCGCCTTCAGACTTCACCACATGAAACGCGTCGCTCCGTATCTCCACGCTGTTCTTCCTCCATGTCACTGAGGAGGCAGAGAAATTACAGAATCACACAAACAAGCAAGTGAACAACACCTCCCACTGAAAAAGCTGACAAAGATGTGTAATGGATAACGCCGTCTGTTTTTGTTTTTGTTGCCCAAAAACGCAGCGACGTTTAAAAGATAGGACCTTAAAGAGAATTTTTATTTGGATTTTCTGCTGCGAGACGACAAAAAACAGTCAGAAAATGCAAAATTGTTGAATAAACAACATCTTTAAACCTTACGAGTAGGGCCGGGCGATATAGGAAAAAGTTTATCACGATATATTTTATTTTATATCAGTCGATATTGATACATCACTTGTCAATCTTAAATGTTCCCTGTTACTCTTAAATGAAATTTAATAGTGCTTATTGGTTGCTTGTCTTTTGCAATACAATAAGCTACTGCAGCTGTGAGGTCTTTGTCATAAGGGGTTGCGCTAGAGTAAGCGGACTGAATGGTTGGTTCAGCGCGGCGCGGACCCGGAGCAACTCCCCTTTTCATTGGTTATTTGTATAGTCTACCAAAACATGGCAAAATGCTGACTAAAGAAAAGCATATTGACCATGTTTCATATCAACAAAATTGATTTTTGATATGTATAATTATCGTTTTATCGCCCAGCCCTACTTACTAGTGTCAAAAATAAAGAAATTTTAAGACAAAATCCAAATAAAATATTCATGAAATAAAGGGGAAAACTTATAAAGAGTTGAGTTGTAGGGTAGTACATTGCATCTTCATTGTTGTACCTGTAGGGGGCGGAGTCCCAGTTATGATGCACTCCAGTCTGACCTCTGCCTCGCTGGATGCGCTGATGTCCTGAAGAGGCCTTTCAAACCTCGGAGCCTCTGCCGGTTCCTCGTCAGCTGAGAGGTAGGAGTCATCGGAGGATCCTCCTGAAGTGGACAAGGATAATACTGCCATATCAGACAATATCTATATTTGAGGTTTAGACTGTGTCCCTGCATAAACGCGTTTATTTTGTTCAGCAATGTGCACTTTTATGCAACCGTGTAGCTCTTTCCAGTGTCATCTGTTTTTGCCAATTAAACCAGAACTGAAATTTGGACTCATTTGCTTTGGACATTTGGGGCTAGCCACCTCTGGGCCATTAACCGGCAATTTCCACCGCATCTGGAATGTCTACGAAAAGGCCGTATCCGCCGATGGTAGCTGATCGTAACCATTCAAGCTAATGTGTCAGTTTCCACCGGCTTCTTTCCGTTCCGCTGCAGATCGCCAGACTCCACAGCTGATCACAAGAGGTTTTTTTTTTCCTGCCACCGAGCATGCTGGATAAATTCAGCATTCACAAACGGACCTGGTATGAATTGGCGTACAGCGATCGGAGCCGTTCCGGATGCGGTGGAAATCTCAGGTAAGACAGCCGCATCATAAAGAAATTTAATGTTCGAAGACGGTGGGAAAAACTTGATTTGGTGGAAATTAGATTCCAAACAGACAATATGAAACCAGTCTTACCTTCTTCTGGAGACCTGGGTTGAGAAGATCGTCCTTTCTTGCTTTTGTGAACTCTCCTGGTCCGACTGCGCTCCTTGCTCCTGTCTGGATCACACTCTGTCTCCATGGGCTCGTCCTCCACCAGGATCGTGGGGATGTTCACCTTCAACGCCGGGGACGACCTCCCCGCCTCCGCTTTTCTCCTTTTCACGAGAGGGCTGATGGACGGGGTTGGCGATGGGGTGAGTCGGGGTGGTTTGGTTGGATACTGGGACCCTGGTTGCCTCACGGTTATCGGCGACGCTCTCTTCCCGCTTGGGCTTGGCGATCTTTGGTCTGATTTGTCATCGATCTTGGTATCCCTCTTTGGATCTGTCCCCAGATCTCTAATGGGGGACGAGGATTTATGAGACGCGGCAACAAGTGTGTCTTTGTCAGCCGCCTTAGAGCTTTGTAGGGTTTTCCTGTGTGCCAAGACGAGAGAGGTGTTAGGTAACATGTAAATGCTCATGTGGCGCAGAGTGGATTCAAGTTTGTTAACAAGAAACCGAATTATCAGGAAAGTACGAAATTTACACGAATATGTGAGAGACACAAAACTGGTGAAAATGATGTTTTCCAAACCTGGTGAGGCTTGTCCTTGTAGCTGTTGGCAATGGTTGCCCTGGTAACTGGTTATCTGGTGCTGTCTCCGTGGTAACAGAGATTTTCCCTGTGCCTCCTCGTGATGAGTTATCCACCGGTAGATTTGGCTGTGTCATCTTACCCTCCTCAGGGCTCTTGCTTTGACTCCTCAGATCTTTGCCCTTGGCCCGTTGGGAGTTCTGCGGTTCTGAAGCTCTGGCGTCCCCCAGGGCTCGCTCCCGGGCCTCCAGCTTTTTGACCACTTGCGGAGGAATGGGCTCTAGTTTCCCAGTGGTCTGCCTCTCTTTCTGGGATAGCTGCTCGGTGGAATAGGCCTTCTTCAAGCTCGGTTTCCCTACGAGTTTCTTGATCCTCTGCAGCTCTTCCGCGAACTTGCTCTGGTAGCTCTGGACCCTCTGGGAATAGCTCGTCTTGTCCTCTAAGGACGAGGCCCGTTGCTTGAACGCCGCTCTCTTCTCGGCCACCCCTTGCAGGAGTCGGCCCTCCTCTTTGCTGAGGCCTCCCGTCTTCTTTCCACTGTCGTCCGAGTCGAAGGAACTCGCTCGTCCTGGTCCTGATCCTGATGCGCCACCCGGCAGGTCGATGCTAGCTCTTTTCTCCTCGAAAGCACGGACTTTATCAAAGATCTTGGGTGCGGCGCGAGCCATTTTGGGCGTCATGACTACACTGTTACCACCTGATGCTTGGTCTGTCTTAGACTGAGGATCTGAAGGTTTGGCTTTGTCCTGGGCTTGGTTTGGGGAGCTGATGCCATTTCTGTGTGAAGACAGGGGGATATTGGAGGATTCGGCAGCAGTTTGAGTCCTAGAGGGGTGAGGATTGGGAGGTGTGAAGTTAGAGCTGTAGTGCAGTTGCTGTAGGCGTCGGAGGAGTTATAAAGAAGCAGATCAACCTCCATTTGTTTCGTTTTGTCTTGTGTTTTCATATTCACCCGTGAGTTCTTTGTGTTTCGTCTGTGCTCTTTGTTTCTCATTTTCAGAGAGATCACACAGTGTGAAATGAAATGGCAGAGAAAGGGAACAGAAATAAAACTGTTTCCTGTTTCAGACTCTCAAAGAAGAACTCAATAAAACAATGGCGAAGTGGAAGACACTCAAAAGACGGTCGTAATCTGAAATTATTGGCTTGCAAATCTGCAGGTTTACAACAGTAGCTATTACAAAAACGCTAAAAAAAAAAGAAATACTGCTGCATTTACTCCAAATACAAAAACATCATGCCTAAAAACAACCTGTTAATCACATGTTGATTAATTTGTGGGAGCATTCATGCCAACATTAGCATTGAATCAAAGCCAGCAACCCATGCATGCCACGGCAGACCTATAAAGATAAGGTGTTAATCCAAAAGTGCACGGCTGCTCTACAAAACATGCAGTGGCTAAAAAGAGTATCACAGTTTTCAGAAGTGCTGAATAATATCGAGAAGCAGAGAGTACCATTGTGTCCATGGTAATGGCTATAAGAAATATTAGCGATAGTGGCTTTTAAAGTTTGTAATTATTAGTAGACAGAAACCGAACCACACTCACAGCATAGAAAAACACAGAGTCAAAGGAAAGTGCGACGTCAAATTAAAAGGAATGGGCACAACACTGTATGAACTTTTGAAAAAGAGTAAAAAATAAACAAGTTTTGGCAACTTGCAACAAAAGGAGTATAATTTTTGCAAGTTGGGTCTACGTAGGATTAAATGTCTTTTGTGACAGTAATCTTTTCAATTTGGGTTTGTGGCCAGTCTTTCTTGATTTTTAGTTGAATCCTTCAAAAAAAGAAAAAAAAGCCATGTGCTATAACGGCATGGAAAATGTTCTCCCTCTGTAGAGGCTGAACATGCTCCCATAGTAGTCGCTGCCGACAGAAACACTTTCCTCTGACCCCTGAACAGGCCGGGCCAGGTTAGCGTGAGATGCTCGGATCAGTGGTTCCACTCCAAGGTGACGGACAGGTGGGCCTCCCTCAGAGGGAGCGCCACCCAGGGCTTGCCTGGCTGGGTTTGTCGGGTCAAAATGAGATCCTGGAGGTCGGGAGCCGAGAGTGCGGAGCTCCCGTTCCACTACAGGGTCGTAGCCACCGGGGAGGGTGGCTCTGCGGTCTGGGGCATCTGGGTTATAGTCCATCATCCCTCCTCCCTCACCTGGAGAAAGAAAGAGATCTCAGATGTTTTTCTACAAACGTTAAACCTGACTGGTTATGAAACAAACTAAAATTATCATATCGCCTCTGGAAAGCAAGACCATCAGCATGGCAACTGGCATCCCTCAAACCGAAGGAAATTGACAATTTAAGGACTGATTAAGTTTGCAATTAATAGTTATTTGAATTGGGATTGGCTCCATATTTTGTTATCTTGTAATCAGGAAGCATGTCATTCAGCAAAACACACAACCATAGAGCTCGATGGCAAAAAAGGACAGAACTTTAGGGCCTGTGTCCACCAACAGCATTTAAAAGTTGTTCTGTTGCACTACACCGCCTTTACTGAAAACTTTAGTCTGTTTTTAATAGCTCTGTATGCCTCGTGTTTACCTTTATTTGCTTTTATTTGATGTTACTGGCGACATATCATTAACATTACCCACAATTAATAAGTTCTGTGGCAAAGTGAAGGAAACTTTAGGGCCTGTGTCCACCAACGGCATTTGAAAGTCGCCCTTTTGCACTACACCACCTTTATTGAAAACTAAGTCTGTTTTAGCAGATCTGTATGCCTCATGTTTACTTTTATTTGCTTTTTTTGATGTAACTGGAGACGTATCATCTACGTTACCTACAACTAAGGAGTTTGTGGCAAAGTGAGGGAAAATTTAGGGCCTGTGTCCACCAACAGTGTCAGCCTTCTACACTCTACAACGTGCTTTAGTGTTTGGACTGATAAATGATGCAATACGCAGCTCAATGACGATTCCCCCCTTTTGCACCTGCTCTACCAAGTGAACTCAACCAGCATTCTATACAGCTCCATCTCTATTCTGATTGGTTGATGGCAAAGACAAGTGTCTTAGTGTTCCAGAAGTTGAACCTTTTGAATCTGACAGTGATGTGTTGCAGGTACGGGATGTTGAGTTTTGAAAAGCCTGAACTGCAGTGATTTTGCGTTGAATATTTGTACCACAAGACTAAATGCTGTTAGTGGACACAGGCCCTTAAAGAACCTTGAGTAAATAGAAAGTCCTCTTTTGAATTGAATTTGAACATTTATCCATTAAATTGATCAGTTGAGCTCCTGTGGAGAGTCAAAGGGCTTCTGTAGGACGTTCTAACTGCCCAAGCAGAAAATGTTGCTGATGGACACAGGCCCTTAAAAGGACACTGAGTAAACAGAAATTATTTGTTCTGACTTGGTGTCTTAAAATTACACATTTTTAAATGAAATTACATGATTGTGCTTAAGGAGAAAGTCACCAGGCTTCTGTAAGAGAAAGGAGGTGGACCAGAGGAGATAAACCTCAAGCAACATAAATTAAATTTGCCTACTTTAATTTTTTTAACAGCGAAGATTCCGTCTGCATTTTTTCTATTTCAATATCATAAAGCATGCATAAAGAGATTACTTCATTAACTGAGAGATTGATCGATAGAAAGAGAAAGAACCCTGGGCCGGTGGAAAACGATCCTGACGTAAGACTCAGAGCAGGAGAATCATTAAGCATAAAAAAGGCGGCACATCGGATAAAGAGTCTATTGATTCTCTAAAGGCAGGAAATGAAACAGAAAATGGAAAGGCTACGTCGGGGGAGGAGCGTGCACCACTTAAAGAGATCCTCCCTCATCGCAAATCAGGTAATGATTGACATTTTAGTGATGAGCAGCGGAGACAGGAATGCTTTGGCAGCGAAAAGACAGAGCAGTCAGCATGTTCTCGTTAACGACAGAAACCTTGAAGCTGCTACGGCATCGGGGATATAAAACGACAGGCTCCTGCTGCACTCACAAATGATTCTGACTCAGCGGCACAGCCAGAAAACAAACTGTATCACTGCTTTCAACAAGACTTCTTACAGTTCAGCTTCTGTTTTTATTTCCCTGCGAGTCAGTTTTGCAGCCTTCCTACTTTCAGGCGGATTGGGCCTTTGCTGCCGTCTTGAAACATATTGAGAAATATGGATTTTTCCTGGTGTTTTGTATCCAAACAAGGTCCGTCTGGAGTGACAGCAAACCAAATCTCCTGCAGAAATGCCTCAATTTTTCAAGACAAATGATCTCGTTTGTGTTCAACAAGACACTGTAGTGTTTGTATGCAGCTGAGGCATCCAGAATCAGCTCCTTGAAGAGAACAAATGATGTATCACCTCATCCCTCCCTCATTTGATATTCTCTCTGTTTCTTTGTAGCCCGTCTCCAGAGGGATGTGATGAGGCCCGCCAACACGAAAGCGTAGAAAGTGCAAACACCGTGCGGGAGCGAGGGGAGAATATAAAATTTCTCTGTGGTAGAGGAGAAGGGTGTCAATATTTCTGATCTATATTCAGACATCCTGTTGCCTGGTTAGGAAGCGGTGTGAGGGCACGCCGGTCCTGTGACGGCAACAACAATTTAGCAATCGAGTAAATACTCTCTGGAGGAATCCTTGACAGGAAAGGGCTTATTACACTCATGAATCTCGAATATGTTATCTTTCAAGACAACTGAGATGTAAAATCATCATTTGTTAGAGCCAGGAAGAAACACAGAACAGAGCGGCACTCTGATAGTATCAAATTGGACCAAATGGGTTCCTGGGCCAGAGCTACAAACAGTTACTCCTCCATTTTTGGACAGATCTGGACGACTTTGCTTCTTATGTTGGAAAACACAAATCTCAGCACACCAAAATGATTAAATCTTGGCGTATAAAAATGGACCATTAGCTAATATCCGTGTTACTTTGACCAAAGACTTTGAGTAATAGGAGTGCATATTCAGCGTATTTGAAAAAAGAGAAACTGTACGGCTGCACCTGATAAACACTTTCATCATGATTAATATAACCCCCATTTGGTCAGTTATCAAGATTTCTTTATGGCAAAGGAAGCTGAAATAGTTCCCACAGTGATGGCCTTGGAAGTCTGGTTCAGACAAACATTCAAAATAATTAAATGATGGGGGGTAGGGGGGTCTCATGGAAGAAATTAGGGGTGGAAAATGTGGGGGGACTCAATGATCATGAGTCATTATGATACCTGATAAAAATGACCAAGGAACAATCAGTTAAAAAAGGAGACGATCAATACGATACGACAGGATATGATACAATATGATACGACACGATACAATACGATGCGATACGACAGGATACCATCAGACTGTTTGATCAGACTGTTTAACAGGCCTGAAATGAGATGTAGCACACACACACACACACACACACACAGGTGCTAGCAAGGTGGAGCGCTTTAACTTTTAGGTTTTTATCTTTTTATCATCAACTATTTATTTGTTGTCATGGCTATTTATTTTGATGATATCTCATGTGTGTCCTGTCGTTTCTGTTTCTGCTGTGACAATATGAATTTCCCCCTTAGGAAATCAATGAAGTTTTTAATTCATTTATTAAATGCGATACGACAGAATACGATACGATGCGATACGGCAGAATACGATACTATGCGACAGAATATGATACAATAGGATGCGATACGACAGAATAGGATACAATATTATACAATACAATACGATACGATATGACAGAATACCGTACAATACGATACAATACAACAGGATATGATACAATACGACATATAATATAATGCCGTATGTTATGATGCATGATATGATGCAATGAGATACACTAATATATAGGACACGATACAATATGATACAAAACAAGACAATGCAACACAGCATGATACCATATTATTATGGGATGGCAACAAGGTGGGGTTAAATCACTGTGTTACCCAAGATTTTGATATATAGTGAAATGATGTAATGTGCAACAACACGCTATGATATAATACGGAACATACGATATAATGTGATAGGATATGATACCAATACACTGCCCACAATAACTATCACCATATCACAATGGGAGCCTTGGAAACACAAGTATCCTGAGACCCAATGATCCCGGACACAGCAGTATGGCTGCAGGAGTATCTCGCTGTATCTGAAGAGTCAGACACGAGTCACATGTTTCTGTGTGAATATTTCGTCCCTCACCTGGATGATTTAACAAAGTCGATCTCTTTCTCTCAGTCAATCAGTCAGATTAGCTGTTGTCTCTGCTTCTATAGACTTCACATCAACAAACCTTAACAGCCTCTCTCTGAATCTTAAGCAGCTCTGACTCAGCTGATCAACACGGCTCTGCCTAATCCAGCAAAGTATACGTACACAGTATTGTGAGGAGGTTCTCGTCCTTTGCTTCAGCCTCATTTCTGCAGCAGAATCATCCCCAGATTTTCAGCCTGTATATTCCCTACGGAGCCCCACGGTAAGATCCAGACCTGAGACAGGTTCTGAGCTGAAAACTAGGGCAGTGTGTCGCTCTGTTGCATCACACCAGGAGGGATTAATGCATCCTGCCATATCGGATTTTATCCAAAGCACCGCACGGGCCAAGCTGGTAACAACCTTCCATTAAATCTATCAATCGGCGTTGAATCATAATATTGTAGCAGTGTGTGTTTGGCAGCGATGTGGTGCTGCAGTAAATCTTAAAAAAGCTGCAAATTATGAGCTTTTCTCTACACCAAGGCGCTCATTAAGAAAAGAGGAAATGAAATACCTGGATGTCCTCTCCTCCCGGCCTTGTCCTGGTGCCTCCCGAGCCCCTCTTTGGTTTCCATCTGAGGTTCTGTGGTCTCATCCTCTGTGGTCTCAGAGTCTGAAATGGACAGATATAAAACACAAAAGTGAGGAAACAAGGAGGCCCGAATTCAGGAGGGGCCATTTGAGGCTGAAAACAATCCCACAGTCCGGATGAAAATGACATTTCACATTTGCTCAGCGCCCCGAGAGTGTGATGGGTTCTTGAAAGGAGCTGAGGGAACCCCCCAGAGTGAAATAAATGGGTTGAAGCTCAAGCGTGACATGAAGCCAGCTGCGGCTTATAAAAATACATGGCAGATACATGACGGGTTGGGGAGGGGGTTCATAAATGGTCTTTCCCTGAGAAAAGATCGGTTTGACTTGAGCAGAAGGGGCGAGTTTAGCGTCCAAACGTTCCTCCTGGTGTTTCTACTGAATGTGGTTTAAAATTCTGTAAACAAGACCTGTGAAACCTGCTAAAATTTTTACTCACGCTCTCCAGAAGCTAAGAGCCTCTTCACCTTAGCACAGTTACAATCCAATTTAACTCTAGAGGGTCACTAAAAGCAGCGCCACTTCAGAAAAAAGCAAAATAAAGAAGCTTTTCTGGTCGTAGATGTTGATGTTGTTGTTCATATGGACGTCATGTCGCCTGTTTTCAACCTGGAGTCGTTAATTTGTGTCTGAATTTGTGCTTTTTGTACTAAAATATAATACAGAACACTACAGATCCTCTGAAGGCCAAAAAGCCCAATATCTATGCTGTGCAAACAAGATATTAACTTGCGCAGAGCACAAACTTGCTTTTCTCTTGTGCCCAAATATTGCCATTGTGCCAGAAAAACGTGATCTTGCGCACAAATCGTTATATTGTAGCCTTAGTTTAATATCCTGCAAGCAAACGCCAGTATCTTGTGTGCACAGGTTAGTTTTTGTTGTTGCAAATTATCTTGAACCTGGAAAACAGTCATCTTGTAGGATCAAGTTATTCATCTTATGCAAACAATGAATTAATCATGTGGGAAAAGCCAAGTATCTTGCATGATGTAATTATCATGCAGGAACAAGATGATTATCTCACATTGAGCAAACATAATAGTTATCTTGTGTGGCAAAAATAGTTATCCTATCTGAACAAGTCTCTATCTTGTAAGTATGTGCTGATGTTTGTGACAAAAGTGAGTTATCTTGTGAATCGTGATTTCCAATAGGTTGAAGCCAGCAAGATAATTATCCCACATTGAGCAAACATAATAGTTATCTTGTGTGAACAAGCTAATTATCTTGTGTGGAAACAAGAACCTTGTGTGTATAGTATAATTATCTTGTTAAGACAATTATAATCTTGTGGGAACAAGATTAGGACTTTTCCAACTTAACTCCAATAAAATCCTAAAAATTCAAGTTAAATATGTAGGTAACAGATTTAATAATGCAAAAAAAAACAAATGCTTAAGTTTTTTTTTTTTGTGTGATTTTTTTTTTTTTTTTTTAAGGATTTTTCCAACTTAACTGCAATAAAATCCTAAAAATTTAAGTTAAATATGTAGATTACAGATTTAATAATGCAAAAAAAAACCCAAATGCTTAAGTTTTTGTTTTTTTGTTTTTTGTGATTTTTTTTTTTTTTTAATTTTTAAGGATTTTTCCAACTTAACTGCAATAAAATCCTTAAAATTTAAGTTGAATATGTGGGTTACAGATTTCATAATGCTTAAAAAAAACCAAATGCTTGAGTTTGATTTTTTTATTTTTTTTTCCAAAGGATTTTTCCAATTTAACTCCAATAAAAATCTAAAACTTTAAGTCGAATATGTGGGAATCTTTTGGAAAAGGACTGTAGAAAAAAAAAGCTCAAATCTAGTTTGGTAAAATAAAATAAAAAATGACTTTTTTTTAACCTGGTTCTTTAAAAAAATTTTTAAATAACACCAGTCCAAGTGGAATAACATGAACTGCGTTGGTGCAAAAGTGAAGAAAAAGCATGCAGTTTGGAAAATCAGGTGGCAAATGGGGGGAGTGGTCACAAAACTGTAAAATATGACAAAAACAACACTGAATATTGATTATTTTGATACTGATTTTATGAGGAACATTCAACAACATAAAGAAAAAACAGAAATATAATAGAGGTGTTTCAACTTTTAAAAGAAAAAACTGTGGCTGATATAAAAACAAGGGGAAAAAAACATGGTAGAGGGAGAAGAAGCAGGAACCACAGATGGAAACAAACAGCCGAGACCACGCTCACATTACATCAGCAGGATGAACAGATGAAGTCAGGAGGAGAAAAAAAAGAAAAACAGATGAATCGAGACAGGCAGGTTTTACCATAGCTTTGCTTTCGGCAGGAGCGGAAAACTTCGCTTCCATAGTGGCAGCAAGAGAGGGCAGACGGGAGAGCACCGTTACTATGGAAACCAGCATCTCGCTCACCCACACGACCAATCCTCTTCGTACCCATTAAGAGTCTAAAATCGCCAGCCGAGCTGCTGGGCGGCTGACGGATTATGTTTACTGGTTAGAGAGCTCGAGGAGGAGGAGGAGGAGGGAGAGGAAGAGGAGGAGGAGGAGGAGGAAGAGGAGGAGGACTAAGACAACCGCTAAACAGGTTGCACCTCATTGCGCCTCACATCAAGTCAGATCCTGATTAGATAATTCCAGAAGGTCTGCCTAATGATAAGAAAGCCAATGAACAATCACCATTAAGTCATTACATCGCAGCGGCGGCGTGGATGTGGGTCTGCAGATCCACCCGTCTGAATCTGATTAAGTTCTGCGCAAAGAAATCAAGTCGCAGATGTAATTATGAGGGGGATCTATATCACTGTGTGGCTCTAGATTGCACAAATATTACCAAATATTAACCACGCCACACGGTATCCACCCAATAATTTACGCAACAGTGTGATTACACAAATATTGCTCTGTGGGGGTGGATGTACAACAATAAAACCCACTCTGGTTGTAAGCAGGCAAGCAGTAAAAACATGTAAAATGCATTACAGTGACTTTAAAATATACAAGAGTCATTAGAGGGATAAATCAAAGAAGAAGAAAAGCACATGCTGTACACAGAAGCAGAAAGAGAGAGAGGAAAAAAAACTCAAAAAGCCAGAGTAGATTTAGCGTCTTAGCAGAAATAGATACACTAGAACAGCGAGGAAGAGGGGGGAGAGCTCATACTGACAACACACCATGGGTGAATCGGCCAAATGTCCGTGTGGAATGCCCAGTTCTCTGCAAGAAGATAGAGTAAAATGTGTTATTCATCAGCGAGGACGGCCAGAGACTTTGCTTCAGACAAAACACAAGAGTGCGAACTCCAAAAGAGCCCAAACACCGACAATTAGATTCAAGCTGCATGATATTTGACTCTGAAGTGAAGACGGAGCAGTCGCGCAATTAACCGCTCTTTAAATGTCACGCTTGTTTAGTCGTGGAGGCGCCATTACACCCGGGGTTTGTGCTGTCGCTCTTAAACGAGGAGGCGTTTGGCACAGAGGGACCAGGGCAGCAAAGTCATTTCAGGAACTTAAAGAACATGGATTGTACGACTGTATAAATTTCGGAAATATTAGGATTACAATAAGATACGATACAATAAGATAAGATAAGATAAGATACAATAAGATACAATACGATAATACGAGATACAATAAGAGAAGATGAGATACGATAAGATAGGATACAATAAGATATGATAAAATAAGATACAATAAGATAAGATAAGATAAGATACAATAAAATCCGATAAGATACAATAAAATCCGATAAGATACGATAAAATCCGATAAGATACGATAAAATAAGATAAAATAAGATACGATAAAATAAGATACAATAAGATATGATAAGATATGATAGGATAAGATAAGATAAGATACTATAAGATACCATTAGATATAATAAGATACGATAAGTTACGATACCATATGATACGATACGATATGACACGATATGATATGATACTTTCTTCATTAGTAATCCCAGCGCTTCACTGTTGAAATAAGGTCAAGTTTAATACATGTGAATGTCTTCACAAAAGCTAGTTTGTTTTCTTGAAGTCCAAATGGACGATGGGAGGCTTTGCAAAATCTACAAGGTCCTTCTGTAGGTCACGAATACACTGTTTGTGTTGATAAAGGCAATTTAGGACAATGAGTTCGTTGAGAACTAAGTTCAAAATGCTGTGAAACCTTTCCCTTAGTAAAAATGCCCTTTGATTTGACTCACACAGCTTGTTTTTAATCACTGAAACTCAAATTTCTGACTCGAGTGCAAATCTAAACAATGACTGGTATCCCTGATGTTAAAAAACTCTACTAGATTAATCCATGCTTGTGTTTGGAGGTTGCTGATATGGCTTTGACATTATCAGTCAACTAGGAAATTACTGCAAAACTCTGCATTTATGTTGTAAATATGGGTTAAAATGCCTCTTGAGCACATGTTCGCCAACCTACAAGCTGTTTTCCAATGATTTTCTCAGTTTTTCAGCCACTTTAGGGTGATCAGATTGGTAAAAACCAAGCGCATAAGGTCAAGATGTTCTCTAAATGTCTAACTTTAGTGCAAAACTCAAAGATCTTTGGTCGTATTTCTTTGTTTTTGCCCTGAAATATTAAAATAAGCGACAGAAATAGACTCTTTGAATGGAGGAGCATAAATGTGATGAGGACGGTTTGAAGTATTTGAACTTTCCGACTAAAAAAGGTCGTGTTCGAGTTGGCGTCCATGCTGATGAAGCACTTGATAGTTGGTTGGAAACTGCTTCTCGGACAGTCTTGTCAATCAGCACCAAGGAGAGCTCCTCAGAGTGACTCACAGCTTTGCAGTCGATAGAGAAAAGAAAAAAAAAAAAAAGCAAAAGTAGTCAAAGTGCGAAGTCAAATGACTCACTTCACACTCATTTCCACCCCCACGCATTCGCTGCGCACTCCCCATTGGCTCGTGTCTCTGTGTCGGGTAGTTTGATTAACTGTTGCCTGGTGGTTACTGCTGTTTGACAGACGACACTGGGAGCTTCCCTCGCCATCGTCGTGATCTCCATTGTCGTGGCCTCCAGGCGGTCATATCAGCGAGAGCCAGCCGCCAACGGGATCCTTTTGAAAGAGGCTTCAGAGATACTCTACGCTTATAATCCAAATCCTAACAGTGTCATTCTGCCAGCAGATGAAAATAGGGGGGAAAAAAGGGCTTTTGGTGTTGATGTAGGATTCATGGGAGCCAAAAGCCACCGTCAGATATCAGGTTCATCCAGTTCTTTGCTCACTTCGTCGCCCCTGTGCTTGGCTGCCCTGATTCTCATGTCTCCATGGAGTGTAGCCTACTGACACACTTTCCATCTGCTCCGATTTTCCAAAGAATCACTTATTTTTTCACAAAACTGTTCAAACCGTGCGTACAGATCGATATTTGACATAAATCTGCGCATTAACCGACTGTTTTATTGATTAAAAAGTACGTTAAAAGCGTTTTTGGCGTGTGTCTGAGCGAGGGTTTAAAAAGAGCTTTCTCATTGTCTCTGCTTGGCGACAACACTTTTCTAGGATTGATTTTCTTTGTTCTGGTGTCCTGATTTATCCTCGATTTGCAAACAGATAACAGACAACAAAAAGGAGAAGATAATGAGCATCGCCTCTTTGATACTCCCTCCTGCTACTACAAAATTAGAGCTCTTACTCAATTTTTAACCTCCAAAAAAAAGCTTAAAAATACTCCTTTTATTTACTGCAGATCAACATAATTGCATGTTTTTGTAATGTAAAGGGTGTGGCATTAAATCTCTCTGCATAAAGCTGGAAAACAATCTTATTTAAGGTGCAAACTCACCTGAAATCTCTTCTTGGACCAGATTTTCTTCATCTCTCTTGAAGTAGAGCTCCCAGTCAAGCGTGAAAGATTACCTGTGGCGTTAGCTCACAAAAACATCCCTGTAAAAATAAGCCAAGGGTGTGGCTTCAACAAGAAGAAGATTTGGGGGAAAAATCTGAATTCAGTGCGGGATTCAGCTGCCTTTTTTTCCGTCTGTGTGTGTGTGTGTGCGTGGGTGTGTTTACTCTCCGGTCTGGCAGCAAGACGGGGGAGAAAGAGGGAGCGAGAGAGAGCGAGAGAGAGGATGCAAATAAGCCGGAGCCAGGTGTCTTTGTGTCTCAGCGTGCATCCGCTGATGTGAAGAGCATCGCTCTCTGACGTAGACGCCGCCTTTCGAGAGGGGGGGGTAATTCTCAGCTGGTTTGGTCTGACTCCCCTCCCCTTCGCCGCCGCCTCTCCGCTCGCTCTGCCTCGACAGAGAGCGCACTCAGAGCCGGAGAGGAGGTGGGGGGTTGGAAGTGAGAGCATAAGGGGCGTGCTGGTCTTGATTGCAGAGATGAGAGTGGGGAACGAAAGGAGGAGGAGGAGGAGGTAGAAGAGAAAGAGGAAGAAAAAAAAGGGAAAATGAGGAAGAAAACAACCGGCTTTGAAAGAGCAGGAGCGAAAAAAAATGAAAAGGAGAAGCTTGAGAGGAGGAAAGAGACACAGAGTGGAGGCGAGAGGTTGGGGAAATTATTCACGTGGGCGGAGAAACTGAGAGGGGAAGCAGAAAGAAGAGGCGCAGATGATACGATAAAAAGAAATACCAACAAATTCAAGAAACGAGAGAGTCAACATCCTCCTCTCCCGCTCAGTCCATCCTTCTTTTTCTTGGTTTCCCCTCTAAGAAAGCAAGCAGCCCTCCGCAAACCCCTGATCCATCAAATATTCATCTGTATTCCATGTTTGTTAGCTTTAACCACCGATAGGGTCAAGGTGAACACCGCCTGGAGCAGAGAGGGCGACTCGGGCTGAGATAGCAAACACAGTTCCCCCCGGCAGGATGACAGAGTGATGCATGGGACTGATTTCAGGGGCAGCAGAAACGCAGTTTGACCTCAAATCGATGTTTGTGTATACACTGTACAAACACACCATCCTTAATAATAAAAGACATTTAAAGCTCCTATAGGGAACTTTTATGTTTGTCAGTAATCTACTGTTATCCTGACGGCCTCGTTTATGTATTCAGCTCAGACAGCGGTAAAACATGTTTTTTTATATTACAACCAGCATCAACCTCAACCACAACGCTGTAATGCACCATAAAAATGCTGTCAGACACGCAGCGCTTGACTCCCTGATTGTATTTGCACCAATAAATAAGAGTGATAGGTTGTTTCTGGCATGAAATCGTCTCATTTCTATGCAGATGAGCTGCTTTTGTATAAACAACCTGCTTCAGAAACACCTCAAGAATAGCATCATATAAAAAAATGTTGGTGGCACATGAAATACTCTGTCGTGGAAATCACTGCATGGGCATAAAACCACATTTAAGCGAAGAGTTATTTTTGTTGTGTCTGAATCTGGCAGTTAAATATGATAAAAAAGATCCAGCAAAAAAAAAAAATGCTGCTGGTGGACAAAGGCCCTTAAAAATACATTTTTGTCCTCAGTATTGCAGATGGAAAGGTTCATGATTTCTGCAAAAATGGATCTATTAGATTTTGAATTAAATTGAGGAATCCTTGCAGTGTAAGGCTACCAGAGCAAAAAAAAAAAATGCTGCTAATGGACACAGTCCCTTAAAAATACTTTTTGTGATTGGTTTTACAGACTGTATCGGTGGTAGCTTCTATGGACCAATTAGATTTTGAGATAAATCAAGGTATCGTTGCTGTTGAATGTTTTGAGAAAACCGGCCCTGGCAGGACACACTCTAAAAATGCTGTTAGTGGACACAGACCCTTGAATATACTTTTTTTACCCTCAGTATTGCAGACTGGAAGGATAGTTGCTTCTGCAACAACTGCTCTAAAAGATTTTCAATTAAATTGAGGAATCCTTGCAGTTATATATTTGGAGAAAACATGCCCTGCCAGCACACACTCTGAAAATGCTTTTAGTGGACACAGGCCCTTGAATATAGTTTTTTGTCCTCACTATTGGTGTAAGGGTTGTGACTTCTGCAACAATGGGCCTCTTTGATTTCAAATAAAATTGAGGAATACTTGCAGTTATATGTTTGGAGAAAAGAAGCCCTGCCAGCACACACTGTGAAAGTGCTGTTAGTGGACACAGGCCCTTAGATATACTGTTCCGCCTCACTCTAGTGGACTGTGAAGGTTGTTGCTTCTGCATAAGCAGGCTAACAACATTTTGTATTGCACTGAAGAATCCTAGAAGTGTTAGCCTGCCAGAGCAAAAACAAAATTATGCTGCTAGTGGGCACAGGCCCTTGAATGTACCTTTTTGTCCTCAGTATTGCAGACTGTCAGGATAGTGGCTTCTGCAACAATAGGTCTATAAGATTTTGAATTAAATTGAGGAACCCTTGCAGAGGTAGGCTGAGGGAAAAGACACTGCCAGAGCAATAAAAGTGCACTTAGTGGACACAGGCCCTTAAATACGCTGTCTAATCCTCATTATTTCAGACTCTGGTGGTGGTTTTAGCTTCTGCAGAAATGGGCTGAGCTTTTTACTACATAAGATACAACAGATACAACACAGCATGTGTGATTTGTCAAGCAAAACCTGACAAGAATTCATCACTACTTCCCACCACCTCCCCTCATCCTCTGAAGCACGTTAATTGTCCTTTCAGACACATCTGTGCTCCTCTCAGCACCTCCGTCAAATGAATCTAAGAATAATTACACAGATCTCTCCTCTCTCAAATTAACCACCCTGGAGCTTCAGCTCAGATTTCAGCACAGCTTTTCTACCCCCTCTCTCTGCTGAACAATGTGCTTAAGTGAGGCATGTTAATGCTTATGGCCGTGTAACACAGGATCAATATGTGCGATTTACTCCCAGCATGAATCAGGAGTTGCTCAGGGGGTGTTTGATTCCAGTCCGTAAGTCTGTCCGCTGTCTTTTTGGGTTGCTCACACAGCTACAAGTGGTGTTTTCTTCAAACCCGACTAGATTTAAATGTGAAAATCATCCCTTTCCACTTGAGACACATCCAAATTCACAGGCTCTCGATTGTTATTTGAACAAACCTCCCTCTCTTCACCCTCACAGGCCTCCTCCTCCTCCTCCATCCATCACCAGTGAGAGGCACTCGGTCTGCCAGAGAGTGCAGCGATCAATACCAATGCTTTATGCGTGATACGGGATACACCCCCAAGTAACAGTTCAAACGCCGCCCCCTGGATCGATAAGCTCATCATAACACGAGATTCCAGGACCATCATCCGGGTCCATTTCAAGCTGCTTGGAAATATCTCTCATGTGGTTGTTTTTTTATGATTGCTAAAAGCCAAAAGGACTTGGCTTGGACCAATCTCAGGCTGAGTTATCGTTAAATATCAAGCATTAGTGGAGGATTATTAGATTTTATTGGCGCGTGTCATTTGTCTTCCTTTGGATCTGCTTTTTTTGACATTTCACAGGCCCTATTGTTTTCTGTAATACTTACTGTAATGATTCACACGCATATTTTGGCAACCGCACATGGAGGAGTCTTTAGACAAAGATTGAGTGTTTACAAAGACTTTGGACAGGTACATTTTGGAAGCCTGCTACGGTTTAATTAGCTTAAAACAACAAGAGAATAAGGAGACTTCACGGAAACCCATCGATTTTGTGACAGAGTCTGTCTGTTCTGTGGAGCAGCCCCGATGGATGCCTTCCAGGCGCGCAGCTTTATCAGCAGCGAGTCGGCCCCTAATCTCCCCGCAACAGAATACAGATTCAGCTGCTGTTACATCACACTGTGATCACACTGTATCTGCTCCTCAGCGCAGAACAAGTCTCGTCATATCAAACCAGAGCTTCCTTATCATGCCGGCGTGCTTTATATTCAGAGTCAGTCTGTGAAACAGCAGGGTGCTCTTGAAAACCTGCCCCAAGAAAAACCTGCTAGTTATCGGAGAACGAATTATTCCTAATTGTGCAAACGATTTTTTTAAGTCGGCATCTGTATTTACTCACAGTATTGATCAACAAATTTAGCTTTAATCCAATCTTACAGTGATTTCTTTTAACTTTTCTATTTGGTGTACATCTGATAATGATGGAGTCTAATAACAGATATCATCTTTGAGACGACTCAGCTTTTATTCAGCGTCAACTGAAAAAATATCATCTGTATGAATCTGTTAAAAAGTGGTAGCAAAGATCAGGCACTACGATCTAAAAAACAAATCACCAGCATATGTTTTTTTAACTTTTAGCCTATCACTGCAAAACATCTCTGGTTCAAAGGAAAATCTAATCATCTCATTTCTGTAGAAACCACAAGCCTCACAGTCTGCAATAAAGAGGACAAAGTACAGTATTTAAGGGCCTGTGTCCACTAACAGCATTTTATGGACTCAGTGTCTGCTTTCTCTCAGCCTTTCACTGCAAAGGTTCTTTAATTTATCAAAAAATGTAACTGACCCATTCTAGCAAAATCCATAACAGCCTGTAGTAGTCAGGACAAAGTACAGTATTTAAGGGCCTGTGTCCACTAAAAACATTTTCTGGACTCAGTGTCTGCTTTCTCTCAGCCTATAACTGCAAAGGTTCTTCAATTTATCACAAATTGCAATTGATTTTTTTCCTCATCGACTGGTGTCTCTTGGCCTACTGAATACTGAAATTTAGTCAAAAATTTAGTGCACACATTTCTGCAGAGAGGAAACAAGCATAGTCTACAATAGCAAGGACCAAGCATAGTTTTTCAGGGCCTATATCCACTAGTAGCATTTTTTTTCTTTTCTTTTTTTTTGGTCAATTTTCTCTCAGCCTGTTGTAGCTGTTGTAAATCTAGTTGGCCCATGTCTGCAATAGTCAGGATATTTCAGGGTATTTAAGGGCCTGTGTCCACTAGCAGTGGGTTCTGCAAACTCCCTGCATCCCAAGTGCAAAAATGCCATTTGTGTCAGCTGTTTGGTAGTAGCTGTGTGGTCAGTTGATATTAGATCAGCTTTTGGCACCCAACCACACTCATTGCCACCTCTAACATTGGCACCTTTGAGGGTTTAGTTCACAGGCATGGCTTTTTCCGTTTGTACAATCAACAAAACTACATGGAGCAAAGGGGGCCCAGACTTAAAATACACCCAATCTTCAGCCAATCAGTGCCGGGAAACTGAATGTTTGGTTTTGGATCTTATATCAAATAGAAATAATTGAAAAAAAACTGAAATTGCCTGGAAATTTCCACGTTTAAGGCACCACTCCATCTGAGCAATAACAGAAAACCATAAAACGGCCTAGAGCAGGGTCTTCATCACCCTCTAGAGACAAATGCGACCAACGGTATGTCTATCCAGCTTGTGTGGTGAGCTGGTTTGGAAATCCCAAATGACAGCGGTCGATGTTGACAGTCACACTGCAACCCGATCCTACCACCTAATCCCGACCAGATCCCTGAGGGTCCCTGTGAATGACCGTGTACCAGCAGGATGGAACACAAACACACACTCTGCCAGGCCAAACAGCGTTCGGTTGAGCCTGCCTCATGAGAATTGACAGCCTCATTAATTGTGTTGCGCTGCTGATCCACTTGAAGGTAATATGGTGGGAATGTGAAATCATTGAGCAGCTATAGATTATCTCCACTCCTGAGTGCCGATGTAAGCAGGCTGCAATCCAGACAAGTGGATTGGGTCAATAAGACGTGCTTTGTACGCTCTATATGGTCCATAAACAACACTTTTTCTGGAAACATCACCAGGATTTACTGGTTACAGGGTAGAGTTTTAGTCAAATGGACAGGTCAGTGATGTAAGAGCCTTTTTCAAGTCGTTTTCAAGAAAAATAGGGGATAATTAGAGTGTTTATTGGCAACCATATCCATATCTGTACGATTACAAACAAGATTATTGTGTTTTAAAGCAAATCCTACAGCGGGAAAGCTTTGTCCCTGAATAAAACAAGGGCTTGAGGAGGCCAAAGCCGGCAGGAGACACACAATGAATCCAATTAGGCCGCCACAATGGCAGCCTCCGGAGAATTACCTTGTTTTCATTTCCATTACAGCTGTTCCACTCAGTTGAGTCTGCATTTTATAATTCCCTGAAACACTGCTATCTTCTCTCCTTCCCTCTCGCTTCAAGGAGTCCCAATAAAGCGGTGCGCGCTATTGTGGAGCGTGTTTTGTTTTGCTCCCACTCACCTCTCTGTTTCTTGCTCCTCGGCCCACTCACGCCCTCCCTGACGCCCCTCAAAGCTTTCCGAGCATCCAGCAGCTCCTTCCGAAACATCTTCAGATTTTCTACTTCTCGATTCTTTCACCGCTAAAAGCGAGGCCTTCTCCCTCCACCTCCATCTCTTAAAATTATTTCTTTAAAATGGTTTCTTCCTACTCGGACGAATGGTCGCTCCGAGATGGCCGCTAGATCCTCCAAATTTCATCTTCCTCAACCCATGTCTGTCCTTCTTGCCCCTGTCTACCCCCAGTCCTCCCGAACTTCTGCCAGCTGCCAACTTGAGGGGTCTATTTCCAGTCTTGCATAGTACAACCCCTCCATCTGTACTGTACTCTCCCTCTGCACCCCCTTTCCTGAGAGCCTGCCCCCCCACCCTAGTTATAGCTGGAGATTAAACACATGCTGCTCAACAACCTTTGCTGTCCTCTGAGTGTCACTCCGCTCGGGCTGCGGGGAGTTTTGAAACTCTAGAAGGAGGAGGCAGACATGTTGTAATACGGCATTAATGTTACGCTACAACGGCACATACATTATGGAACAATGAGACAGCTAAGGGGACATCAGCCGAAGCGTAGGGCGGCTATTTTCGACGTGGTGCTCGTAAACCCTGGAGCTGGAGGTGAAAATAACAGCGTAGCCTTGGATGGGATAAATAGAAAGTCCAAGACTGTGGAGCTAAATGAAAAACACTGATGCTGCACTGGTGTGAAATTCCTTTTAGCCTAAATATGAGTGTGTAAATATTAACTAAGTCTGTCCCATGGATAAACATGTCGTATGGCGTTGCTGCAATATATCGTCCTCTTGGCTTGTGTCTTTATCATATCACAGTGCCGAGTGTTGTTAGTTTAATTTAAAGGTAACAAAGGTATACCATATTCAAAGGTATACCGCGCTCTACAGTATCTAATTCTTTCTAATGGGATTATATCTGATCTAACAGTATCATACCCTGGAGTGCTATAACATAACCTATCTTATCATGACATACCATGATATTGTATCTTGTTTTATTCTGTATCATGACATGCAATGTCCTATATTGTTGTATAGTATCGTATCCCATTATATCACACCATATCATATCATGTTATATTATACTATATCATATTATATCGAATCGTATCATACCATATTTTCTCATCTCAGAATGTATCATATGGTACTTTCTCGTCTCATAATATCAAAACATATCGTACTTTTGTGTATCGTAATGTATCTCATATCGTACTATTTGGCATAGAAACGTATCGTATCAAATCATACTTTCTCATCTCTTAACGTATCATATCATATCGCACTTTATCATCTCGTAACGTATTGTATCATATGGTACTTTCTCACCTCATAATACTGAAACATATACTATTGTGTATCGTAATGTATCTTCAATCATACTATTTGGCATAGGAACGTATCACATCATATCATACTTTGTCATCTCGTAATGTATTGTATCATATGGTACTTTCTCGTCTCATAATATCGAAACATACCGTACTTTTGCGTATCGTAATGTATCTTATGTAGTAATATTTGGCATAGGAACATATCATATCATATCATATTTTCTCATCTTATAACGTATCGTACCATATCATAATTTGTCATCTCGAAACGTATCGCATCATATCATACTTCTTGTCTTATCCCATGTCATCTTGGACTCTATTGGATCATCTTATCGCTTCATAGCGTACCGTCTTGTATTAAATCGAACTGAATCATATCGTAGCGTGTATGATGGTATCATATTGAACCAGACTGTAACCTGCTGTATCATATTACACTGTATTTTATTGTTTTGTATTAAATCCTATTATATCCAGTCATATCTTTGCCATATTGTATCTCATACCGAATCAAACTTTGTTGTATTGTATTTTGTCATATCTTACTGTACTGTACCATACTGTCCAAATAAATCTGTATTGTATTCTAATGTTTTATTTTATATCATATTTTACTGAATCATGACACGCTATATCATATTGTGCTGTATGCTACCACAAATTCTTGTGTCATGTTATAAATTATCATATTGGGCCATTTTGTGACCATATTGTGTCTTTATACCAGGATATATTTTGTGTCTTAGCACCTTAATTTCCCATATCTCTCTTGTCCTTTCACTTTTTTAACAGTAATTATTATTTTTTTTACTTTAAACTGTTTTCCATCTTAACTTACAATTAGATTGAATTAATACGGCTATTACGGCCAACACTTATTGGCTTATGTTGTATCATATTCTGTTTGCAGTCTGGTTCTATAGTGGAGGTATCTGTCCTGAAACATCTATCAGCCTGTCACTCCTGTATAGATTTTGAAGATGCTGAAACGACACCTCAAACAAACGATCTGATTCAAACAACTCTCTTGTTGACAGTGATTTACACCATCGACTCCAGCGACAGAGAAGACAGCATGCAGCGACCCAGAAACCTAAATACGCCAAATTAAAGTCAAACTCTGCCTGAATGAAGCAGTCTCAGTCGGAGAGACTTTGCATCCTCACATTTATACCTCCTTTCCTTAGACCCTTCCTTACCTCCCTCCTTTAGCTGTACCTTCTCTAATTTTCTTGGAAACCATTTCTTTCTTTAATTGGTAATATCTGGACTTCATAACGAGCTTCAGTGACTGAAAACCTCTTCAGCTCGATCTATAACAGGCCTGCAGCCCCAGATTAAAAAAAAAAAACCTCCCTTACAGGTGCTCTAAGGTCCTCCTGAGATGTTGTTTTATGACTACCCGCGAGTCACGTCAGATCTATTCACACTCCTGCGTCACAAAACAACAATCGCCTTCAATAAAAGCATCTTAAAATACCACAGGTGAGCGATGAGCTGCTTTCTAAGAGGCTCTATCAAAGTATTTTTCAGCCTCTCTGTCCTGACAGGAAGTTAATCAAAGCCGCGCACCGAACCACAGCGTGACGTCAGTAAAGTGGTCTAGACTTGTGACACAGAACTACCCTGGTTTCTGGTTGGTCTCATCTCTCGGGGTGAAATCTTAAAGTGGCAGACCTGGATGTGGGCCTGACTCGGTGTTCAAAAGCAGCCATTAAACCTGCACGCACACACGTGTGCAAACACACTGATACACATTCACAGCCCCATGCCGCCCCTGTACGCCCTCCCCTCCTTCCCCTCCTGCGTCTCTTTCATCACGCTGACCGTGATTGAGTGTGACAGCGCCGCGTCTTGACCGTGGCGATGCTATAATTATCCGTGATGTCTGCCGGTGCAATCGGAGAAGGGGGGCCGGCGGCATCCACACATCACTCGAGCGCGAGCCCTGTGGCCAGCACGACACATACTGAACCATAAATAACCACGGGGGGAGAGAGAGGGAAGCAGGAAAATGGAAGGAAACCAGGACGTAGTGGTTTAAGAAGACGTGTTTTAAAGCTGTTCGCCATTGGCCTAAATATCTCACATTATTTACATGAAAAACAAAGAGGCTCAGGGAAAGTACGCTCACATTTCTGGGCAACCATGTATTTGACTGTGTCCTCTTAAAAACGATGTTAACAGCGTCTTAAAATACCTCCTAAACACAACCTGAGGCTCATACGATGCATAATTTAAAGGTTGGGGTTGTTGAATGGTTTTGTAAGGGCTTAACTCGGGTGTTTCTGCATCTAGGTCAGGCCTTCGCAGGGTCAAGTCTGATGCATGCCAAATCTCCCAGCAGCAGTCAAGTCTCAGCTCTGCATTCGTGCGACTTCACTGTGACACAAGTTCGAGTGTCACATCCACGGCTCGGAGCGGAGAAACAATGAGAGAGACAAGGGCAAACATGTCGAGTTTGGACAAGAGGAGGACAGGCGAAAATGAGTTTGTCACAAAACCTGCTGCTTTTATAAGACGATGAGGTGAAATATCCGCCTAAAGACGGAGAGATGGTTTATGGGAATCATGATGTTTGGAGTTCAAATCCAGGCGAGTGAAACAGAGAGGGTGCTGAGTGATCCGCCAGCTGGACCGTCCCTGCCAGCTCCCAGTGTGAGACCTGCTGACATGTGAGCTCAACCGTCAACTTCCACCCTCCAGGCCGAGGCAGCAAGACCGATCAGATCTACCCGACTATGATCTCATTGGAAATTGTAGTCTATATTTGACACCGTCAATCAAATCAATGATGCAAACCGGTCGGACATATTTATAACTCTCATTGTGACGCTCAATATCCGGGCAAAATGCGGTTTAATGATGTGTCTCGGCCTGTTGGGTTTTTAATAAAGCAGAAAATCACCACTTAATGGAAGCGGGAGTTTGGCGCCAAGCCATTGCTCGACTTATTTACTGATCAAAGTTAATAAATTCTGCTGCAGCTGTGACATATGAAAAATAGAGCTTACGCTAGAGGCGCATGGAGGAGACCTGCGCTTGAAAAAAGCCACAAAAGCCTCTCTGACAAATGCTCTCCTTATCTCTGCAAGGCTATGGTGACAAGATAAACAGGGTAATAATGGACAGCCCATTCCGATCCATCACGCTAAAGTGGCGTGGAGCGAGACACTAATGCGTTTTCGAATGTTAGAAATGCATGTTTATGTTGCACTGTATTTTAGTCAGAGCTAACCTTCCAAAGTGCTTGATATTTAGCTGGATTTTATATCATTACCGGCACTAAAAAAAACAGTGTTTTCCGCACATTACAGCAGACCAAGTATATTCTTAGCTGTGAAGGTATGTTGTAAACCATCATGTAAAATAAGCTCCTCATGTGAAATACAAACCTCCGAACACCGCTGTTTTTAACTCGATCTGCAGCTGGTGGCTGCTAACGTCTTTCTGCATATACTCTTGGATTGAGGCAAAATGCAGAATAATTTTCAAGTCTCACCCACATGAGATTGGATTTATACATCTCTTGTGATTATGTCAGACAAGTCTCATCTATATGCATTTTATGCTATTAGTGGAAACAGGCCCTAATCCATTTTTTGTATCTGCATAATTGACAAGTCTCACTCGTACGGAAATCATGCCATTAGTGGACATGTGGCCCTTTCACGTCTTTTCTCAAAACCTCATTGACAAATCCCGTTCATATGCAGATTATGCTCTTAGTGGACACAGGCCCTAACAGAACTCTTGCATACTTCACAAGCACTACCTGCACACAGATCACTTCATTAGCAAAGTTGTAAAGATCCTTGTGTATCTCTTATCATTACATCTCGTCTCATGCATTTACGGATTATGCTATTAGTGGACACAGGCCCTTATACATTATAACCAACAATCCTTGCTTACACACAGACCATTTCATAAATGGGCATGGCCTTAAATACATCTTTTTTGTCATTATATCATGAACAAGCCTTATCTATAGGCAGTTCACATCATCAGTGGACACAGGCCCTGATAAGTCTCTTAGTATTAGGTCATTATCAAGTCTTTTCCTGGCAAAGATGATGCTTCTAGTGGACACAGGCCCTTATATTTCTCTCACATCAGATCATTATCACATTGTCCAGATGGTAATGATGCCATCAGGGGACACAGGCCCTGACAAGTCTCTTAATATTAGGTCATTATCAAGTCTTGTCCTAGCAAAGATGATGCTTCTAGTGGACACAGGCCCTTATATTTCTCTCATGTTCAGGTCATTATCATGCTGTCCAGATGGGAATGACGCCATCAGAGGACACAGGCCCTTATATTTCTCTCATGTTCAAGTCATTATCATGCTGTCCAGATGGTAATGATGCCATCAATGGACAGAGGCCCTTATATTTCTCTCATCATCAGATCATTATCATGTTGTCCAGATGGGAATGACACCATCAGTGGACACAGGCCCTTACACATCACCTGTTATCTTGTCTTTATCTGTTCCAAAGCTCTTGTCACCTGTTATTATAACAACAATTTCAATACGGTGCAAAAAAAAGTGTGCTCCAGTAAATCAATAGTAAAACATGATCTGCCTTGTAATATGAATAAAGATTAATGACATAACAAAATATATGGGGGGTTAATGCATTTAAGTACAGTCCAAACCCCGTCTGCTGTAGCATTTTCGTGGAAAACACTAAAATGAATTACGTTATTGTAAAGTCAATACAGTGATTGATTTCTTTGGAGTTCTGGAGATGTGTATGAGACATCAGGATAATTTGGAAGATGGGACAAACGGGGCTGTTACTCTAGCGTTTCAAAGAAGTGATTTATGTTTGCATACTTTGCTGTGTGAATTTATGACAGTACAACCACATAAAGGAGGACTGCCCTACAAAAGCATTTTAGTATTTGAAATATGAAATCGCTGTGGTGCCAGAGATGGGCCGGAGTTTGAAAGAATCTAACTCTATATCAGGAAATCCTGAGTATCACTTCTGTAGTATTTACAACAAAACAATTAAGATCTCAAACCTCCCAGCTGACATCAATCTGCAGTCATAAATACCTTATTATTGTATCACACTACTGTTTGCATTATGTTACAACAAACAGCAGCAGCTGGTAATGAGGGCTCTCCATTACACCCACTTATGTCCGCAGGTGGAGACCGCCCTAATGATTTGTTTGGTCTCGCGGCCAACATTTTCACAGGCTAATTTAAGTTTCCCCGGATCACATTAGATGCAGAATACTTGCAAATGTAAGAACACGCTCAGTAAACACAACAAACAACTCCAAAGCTCAGCTGTGCAGCTAATAGAAAGCGACGGCAGGTGCACCAAAGCGGAGACTCCATTTGCATTCGGGAGCTAATTTTAAGCGTCTCCTGTTGCTGCTCTGCAGACGAGGAAGGCAGGGCTACTGTCTGATGATCAAAACACAGAGGCTGGATTTGCATTGTTTAGTCTGGGTGCACTCTCCCAGACTCTATCAAGGGATACATATTAATTAAAGAAGAGAAAGGCAATTAGTTGAACAGATTTAAATGCTATCTTTAGTCCAGGTTTTCAAGTGTTTGCTGTAAATCAGCCGCTGCTTTTTCATGTAAGAGGCACTAAAGGTGTAAAAACTAACCTTGAATAATAATCTTTTAAAAAGAACCCTCTTGTGTAGGTCTCTGCAGGTATTTACCTTCACCCAGGTCCATGACAGCCAATACAGCGCTGCAGCTTGCCTCTCCCAGCTCATTGGTCGCCATGCAGGTATACAAGCCGGCGTCACTCGTGTGGCAGTCCCGTATCCAAAGACCCCCGGAGTCCTGGTTCTCAGATGGAGGCAGGAGCTCATCGTTGCGGTACCAGGTCAGAGTAGGTTTGGGAAACCCAGACACGGACACCCTCAGCCGGATATCGCAGCCAGTCCCCACCGCCGCTTTACGGAGTTTACGGTTAAAAACTGGCGGGGCCGGTTCTTGCGCTGTAACCTCAGCATCGGGGTTCTTGGTGACTCTGGGCCTCTTTGGATTGGTGCTAAGGCTGGGGCTGGATCCAGGGTGGTCTGACATGCTGATACTGTTCAGGACTGTCCTCTCAAGTTGAGCAGCAGTTATGGAAAGACTCCATCGGTCCAGATTGGAGCGGAGAGGATGTTTGACCTTAGCAGTGACAGCGAGGACTGTAACGACAGGAGAGCATCAATCAGAATGAAACAAGCGATCGAGGTGGAGAGAGGAGAGCAGGGAGAGGAGCAGGAGGAGGTGCAAGAAGCTAAAAACTCACCGCAATCCCACGTGACACCATTAATACTGTTTACAGTTTCTCAGGAACTATTCCGTGTATCTCTATGGGATCAAAAGTGTTTAAAAGTTTACTCTTTTGGCGATTTTTCAAGGGTTTCCAGGCATTTCTACACCTGCCACAAGGTTTACAATCCAGCCACAAATATAGGTGTTTGATCAAGGATGTTTGATGGTAAATCTGCAGTGATATACCGGTGAAAACATGATTATTTATCATATTGTTGATGGTATTGTTGATGGAAGTGTCCAATAAGAGGCAACCAAAGACCAACAAGAGACAAGAAAGTTCCCTGCTTGTCTGCAAAATAAGAAATAATGGTCCTCAATGTTTGGAAACAAGCTAAGAAGAGATTAATAGCAGTATGATGTGGTCCTCTGTCTCATCCCAGACAGGAACTGCTTCAAGGAGTGGCATAAACAACTGTAAATAGTAAAAAAAACACCTGGAAGAATTAGAGTAAATATGTAAATAATTTCTGTTGTGTGTTTGTTTCAACCTCAATATTTCTTCTCCTGATAGCCAAGACTAAAGAGAATGATGTGCAGGTGAGAAAAGGCTTGGTCTCTGTAGATTTATGTGTTTTTTTATGCAAAACGTTGGTATTAAATTACGTTTTTGCTTTTTGGTTGACTTTGATGGTTCTGAATCTACTGTCACATTCATTTTACATAATTTTTGCTCCATAAACCAACAGAAGAGGTTGTCCTGAAAAAAAGCTGGGCGTTCTAAGGGTTAAAGGTGGTCTTGTGGACCCCGATAAGTCACTTTCAAATGCAAAAACATGAGTGCACTGGGTTTCTGGCCTCCATCTAACACCTTCAGAGGGAACGATGCACAAGAGATCAAAGGATACACCAGCGTTTGGATTTGCTTCATACGCTAATTAAAAATTCCACTTATATGCTGATGTGTAGAGTTTCTAAAAATAGACTTTCCTTGATAATACAAAGAAATCCAGCTCACCTCACTCTCACCACCACATCCCCGCAAAGTCCGAGTGAAGGTAACAGGATCCATTGAGCAAAAGGTCTCATCTCAAATCATTTGGTGTCTCTGTGTGTCCTTTGGCGAGCTCGGACAGGAGGTGTAAGTCCACCCTAGATCATGTAGCATTAGCAGCGACAGCCATGGTCCCTCTCAGCCTCGGAGGAGAGGGAGAGAGAAAGAAGGGTAGATCCTTGTTTGTAAATGTCAAACCACTGCGGCCTTCTGCTCTAAACGCCCTCAATAACTTGAACTACATTTGAAGAAACGCACTTTTACCTCTTGGAGCTTGTCAGGGCTTTAACCAGCTCATGTTATCTGTCTCTCTCTCTCTCTCTCCCATCTCACTGCCTCACCCCCAACTCCCTCAGGTTGGACGCGACAGCTGCACCACCACGGATAGGTCACATTTCTTGGACTGCCATGTATGACCCACACACACACACACACACACACACACACTCCAAGCCCTTTAGATAGTGTTATCAACCAAGCTGTGTGTGTGTGTGTCTGAGAGTGTGTGAGACAGGCAGAGACAGCATGCATGTGACAGTTGGAGAGGCTATAAAAAGAAAGTCCAAGAATACGGTTGGGACTAAGTGATTCATGCAACTGTTAGCTAGTGATATAACAATACAATATACAACCCCAGTGCCATAAGTGTTGATAAAAATGTCAATAAAAACTCAGTTTTGTGGTTTGTAAATCATTTAACGCCTAAATGTGTCCGTTAATAATAGTTTTTAGATGATTTGAGGCCTATGCGGTTACTTCCACTACAGAGTCATACCCAAATCATGGACATGCAGCTTCAGTTATTGGGCTTATTGGTTTTCACATGTGATATGGAGCCTCTGCAGTAATTTCGACGACAGAGTCATCTTATTTTAATACAGTGCTGCCTCAGAGCCAAAATGTCACAGCTATCCTGTATTAGTTATTGTCCTTCTTTCTTTTGTACAGATATTTCTCGAAAGTTTTAATGACATTAAGTTCTGTAGGTGTTTTTTCAACACTTTCACTGCTCCTACGGAACCAAGGCTGGGTGATTCAAAATGCAAAAAAAAATTTTAAATCTACTTTAAACTTTATCAATTTAAAAAACTTCAATTTCTTTCACCTCACTCTAAATTCATAACTTTTTATGAATGACTGACCTTTAACTTTCAAGGGTCTCCAGTGAGAAAAATAAATGAATAGAAAACTTTCATTCCCCCGTTCAAATATCAAGGGGTTATTGTGTTTGTCCTTCAAAAATTCGGAACTGGATGAGCCAAAAAAATATATGAGGTTACTTCTCTTTTTAAGTTAAGGTTGAGGAACAAAATTCAGCTTTTATGAAAGAAATTTCAGCAGAATAACCGACAAATATTTGATGTAATTTTGTTCTTCTAACAAAGTTTGCTTACCTTCAAACTAGTTTTTAGGAAACTTTTTCTTATTTCATTAAAATACTGCAACGCGAAGCTCGCTTCAAGCTGTGGGTCGAACTTTAAACTAGCCGTGCAGTCTAAAGTATCAAATAACTACATTATATAGTAATATTTAATAATCTTTCTGGCAACAGCCTGTATTTTAATTGATGCATTTTCCATACTGTGCTTCATGGAGGCCTAAACATGCTGCTTACTTGAAACGCTTTTATGAAGAAGTGATGTTTTGTCGCCATCTAGTGGTCCTATTTATATATGGCAGAACTTATATCACAGCTCAGTTTTGATTCCCATTTAGTGACTATAATATCTTACTTTCTCTTTTGCAATCAAAATATTTTTAAATTAATTGCAAACATTTGTAAAAATAAATAAAAAAATACATTAATAAATAAATAAAATAATAATAATAATTACATTAAATAAAATACAATAATAATGATAATAAAAATAAAAATACATTTAAAAAATAATTAATTAATTACAAATAAAATAATATAGATAATAATAAAAATAAACAAATAAATAAAATAAAAATAAAATAGTTATAATTATAATAAAATAATAATTAAAAAGTGTATTATAATGATCATAATAATAATTAATAAATAAAATATAAAATAAAATATGATATTAAAATAATAAATGAAAATAAAATAATAATATTCATTATAATATGGTAAATGAAATAAAAATAAAATAATAATAATAAATAAAACAATAATAATAATAATAATAATAATAAATAAATAAATAAATAAAACTTGTTTTTAAAGATCTTTACATGTGTGAGGCTAAATTTTGTTTTTCTTTGCATGTTTGCTTTAATAAAAGTAAATGTTTACGGTAAGGAGTCAAAGATAAAACATGTTTGATTTACACATAAGCTTAAGGACTTGAAAAAGGAGGAAGAGTCAACAAATCTCTGTCAAAAATCCACCCAGAAGCTGTGATATCAACCGAACAGTTTACAGCCAAAATTAAATTTGACTAACTCTTTCACAGCTTTATAAAGTCCTGAAGTAGGTAAAGTTTGACTAAATGACAAGCTAACTGAGGAGAGTGCTCAAAATGTCGTTTCTGCGGCCTAGCTTACTTTGGTAGTAGCTGTTTGCTAACGTGTAGCAGCTGTCTTTGTGTCTTCACCTGTCCTTCAAATATTTACATTTTATCACAAAAGTAAATCAACAAGTGGGAAAAAGTTGTTTACTTTGGTTTCAGATGCTCTCTGAGGGTTTTATCTGACGGGAAAATACCTCTAAAGTTAGTTAACAGTGATAATTCATGGCTTAGTTATACTTTCCCAAACAGCCACTTAAGAAAGCCAGTTCACAAAACACCACAACCCTAAAACATGTGCAAATAAATAAAAATACACCACTTACCTGCATGATTTAAGCCTCTGCTTTAGTGTGAAAGAGATATGATGAGAAAGTTTGTGCCACAGATCTGCAATAGCAAGTTTCAGCCACAAGGGGTGCTGTTCAGTAACATTTTAAAGACATTAAAATAACATAATTCTCCAACAATAATGTTATTATGAGTACTAGGTGTGTAAAATCCACCTAATAAGTAGTGCAAAATCCTGAAAATACTACTAAGAGGACCTTTCTTAAGCCTAACTTTAAGAAACATAATGTTTGATTTATTGAAGCTTATGTGCAGAAACTCTCGGCTTCTTGTGTCCTTGGAGACACATTATTCACAACAATTTCTGAGACAGACTCAAGGACAGTTAGATAAAGACAGCACAGAGCGGTACAGTAGACAAAGGCCTTTTATTTAGTGGGAAATCAGGTGTGTGTGTTAGATATGATGTCCACAAACTGCAAATGATAATAAAAAGGAGATATGTGTGATTTAATTGGACCAGATTAATCTAGATTAAATGTGTTGGTGTTTAAAGCGCTGGCATTTCTACTCAATATTGTGTGAAACTTCCACAAAACTCTCAAGGCCACTCTTTGCTATCTTCCCTTTGTGTATTGGCAACAAAATACTTTGCCTGCAGGTTTCAGTCGGACTCAGATAGCTGCAAAATTAAACAAATATGTGTGAGAATCAGGAAAGTCACTGCAGAGAGTCAGTTTACTGGAGACACGGTACAGTGAAATACAGTCATGGTGTCCTGCAAAGTTTACATCCTGGTTTCTATTTGGATCCTCTTTTTCACAAGAGCCTTCAGAGGAGATGAGCTTCCCAGGGAGGCGGTGTTGTCCTGGTTTAAAGTGCGGGTTCTGGAGGGTCTGGATTTAGAGGAGCCTCCTCAGACTTCCACGGAAGATCCAGATGGAGGTGCATCAGAGAAAGAGGGAAGGCGTGCACCGCCGGGGCCCCCCAGGATTCGGAGGACATGTGCAACGAGGGTCAACCAGCAACCCAACCAGGAAACAACAGAAGTTATTGTCTTCCCCAGTTCAGGTAAGACATCAAAATATCTGAAGTCAAAATAGAGATATCGAAAACTAAATATCTTTGTTTCTTACATCATATTTTACTTTCAGTCTTCCAAGCCCTGACATCTTAGCCAGTTGTGTATCACATGCTTATCCCGGTGTTCGTGCAGGGGCACTCCCTGACTTCAGACAGGGGTGGCTAAACCTCGGGTACTTCCTTAAGCAGGGGTGGCCAGATATGTCTTTGCACTGGCAGCGCCCACTTCTTGATCCTGCCCTAAATCTTGAAATAGATTGACGTTTGACAAAAGAAAAAATAATGTTTGTCTTAAAAGGGACAAAAAAAGGACAAAAATATTGCAGATAAATGTGTTTTGATGCACTTTAATGCACTTGTTCTTCCCCACTAAAACTCTCTTTTGACAATAATGTGTTATTTTTTTCAACAATGCACCAATTTAAAGGTGGGGTAGGCAGGATTCTGTTAAAGAAGTATCATTTTTAGTGGTGTAAAGCGCTTTAACAAAGTAAGCCAAGTGTCTGTAACAGAAGTGTTTCTTGTCAAACGGGACCCGCTGCATGTTGTAGCGCTGCTAAACTGTTGACCTCGGGTCCTGGACTATGTCACTATATCCTAGTTGTAGAAGTCCTGCAAACATTGTGTTTGCTGGTAGTCTGTTAGCATCTACAGTAGCACCAATGCTTTTTACTTTCACGTTGACTGGGCCCCATTTGTAATTATCTGAAGTATTTATCTGCGAGACGGGACTGTAGGGTGGCCAAGATTTCCAAAGGGTTGTGCCGTCAAATGCCACCACACTGGCTACGCCCCTGGGTTTACACACACTATAAACCCAGGGGCCTCTTTGGTCTAATAAAACACTAATTACCTCCACTGTCTGTTCTTTATTCTCTCCTTTACAGACTCCTCCTGTTCCCCGTCTGACTCTGCTCCTGAAGAAACCACAAACAGCCACTTTACCTACTACTTCAAACCGTCTTTGGACCACCACGACATCCTGCTCACATCTGCCCACTTCTGGTTCTACGCAGGTCAAAGAGCTTCGTCCAACTCCTCCGCCCAGCTCTTCATCCTCACTTCAGCTCAGCAGCTCCTTCAGGCGGCAGAATCAGCATCCACGATGAGCTCAGACGGCTGGTTCACCTTTGACCTTGATAAAAAGCTGCTGGCTTTTGTAGCGGAGGGTCCTTTTCTGCTGCAGGTCCGTTGTCCAGACTGTGAGTGCCATGCCAACGAATCGGACAAGACGCCGTTCCTCCATCTCCACGTTCAGCCTCGTGGTCCGGTTAGATCTCCCCGCCAGGCCCCTGTGACCATCCCCTGGTCTCCTTCTGCCATCAACCTCCTCCAGCGGCCCTCCCAGGAGAGACCCCAGTATGGCGACTGCCACAGAGCGGAGATCCAGATCAGCTTCGAGGAGCTCGGCTGGGACAACTGGATCGTCCACCCCAAGGTGCTGACGTTCTACTACTGCCACGGGAACTGCTCGGCCTGGGATCAAACCAGCGTCATGCTGGGGATCACGCAGTGCTGCGCTCCGGTGCCGGGGATGATGAGGTCACTGAGGATCACCACGACTTCTGATGGAGGGTACTCGTTCAAATACGAGACCCTGCCGAACATCATGCCTGAAGAGTGTACGTGTATCTGACCAGAGGAGAATTAAAGGGCCACTTCACCAAAATTGATCAAATGTGTTGTAATTTGGGTGGAATTGCCCTTTAAAATCAGGCTTCAAACTGACATTTCTCCATTTTAACCCTTTCTACGTTTGTTCCTTTTAATAAGCAAGCAAATTACTCATGTCTGTACTTTTAGAACTCCCATAGTCTTACCAGTAGAGGGCAGTGTACGCCCACATTTGTCCTGCTTTATTTTACATTAGTTTCATCATATTGACTGAAATCTGCTGTTCATTAGGGGAATATAATGATATTAAATCACTGTTTTAAACACGGACTTGTCCTTTTTTTAATTCCAACTCAAACCTTGTAAATCGCTCTTTTTTCTGACTGAGCAGTTCAGGTTTTAGTATCTTTAACGGGGAATTTTACGACATTTTTCACAATTTTAAACTCATCAAATGTCCAATATTAGACTTTTCTTTCTTACACTACATAGAAAAAAACTGTTATCCTCTTTTATTTTGGGTTTAGGAGCTAAATGCCCAAAAAATTCTCATCTTTAGTGACCAAGAATGCAGTTCGTGGCCAAAAATACAAGAGTTTGTTTTCTATTCAATACATTTTCTGTAATAAAATCCTCCTGATACACAGGGTGTGTAAATTACTGATACAATGGGCACTGATGCATCCCTGATGGTTCATGGTTTCTAAGAAGAAAGTCAAATTTAACTTTTCAATATGTTTCTGTGTTAAAGGGATATTCCGGCGTGAGATTAACTTAGGGTCAAACACACCGTAACACCGAGTTAGACACCCCCTCGAGAGATGAATGTTGCAGACCGCTTGCTTCTCTAGTTAAACCAACTTTAGTAACGACCGCAGGATAGAAATACACAGCTTTCTGAGGAGCCACGCGCTCAACCAAAACGCCACTCTATAACCACAAATAATGCTCAGAACAGCACCTAACTTCATCAACTGGACATATAGAGTACTAGACAGTGGTGTTTTGGTTTAGGTTTGTTTATGGCTCCTCAGACTGCTGTGTATAACTGTCCTGCGGTCGTTACTGAAGTTGGTATAACTAGAGGAGCAAACGGTTGGCAACATTCATCCCTTGACGGGGTGTCTAACCCCTTGACCGTTACTTAATTTCATGCCGGAATATCCCTTTAACGTCTATTGTTACATAGGGTACAGAATTACCTTTATGTGTCAACTGGCGCCCCCTGCAGGTCATATACATTTTGATGTTACTGAAATATCAGCATTAAGCGCTTAAATAACACAAAATTACACCTTTTTATTTCTAGTTATTATAAAATAAAGGTGAAGCTTTTTTCTTCTCAAGTCTAAAAAATCAAATATTCATTTGTTTTTGTTTTTAATGCCAATTTAAGTCATTTTTTTTAATATACAGAGATTCAAATTGAGGTTGGTTAGAGTTCTGGAAAAATATTGAGTCTTACTTTTTTTGCCAAACAAACTTCAGACATGCAAAAACTTTCCCACAGAACAGACCAAAACATAACGTTCAAATATATTTATTTTCTCTGAACACAAAATAATCTCTACAGTTACAAAAACTACAAAAACTTACAATAGAAAAAACAAAAAAGGCGTTGAAAAAAGTACCATATCCGAACTGGATCGTCGTACCTTGTATGAAGTAGCAAACATGAACTTGAGATGATTACAAAAATACAGCATCCAACAACTCTTTGGCAATCTGCAGTAACATTATTCCAGCCAAAGACCATAAAACCAGAGAACACCGAAACACGGAGAGAACGATAGAACAAAAGTCTCATGATGAATGGAGATTGTGTGTGTGTTTACATGGCGCAGGGCTGTGCGTCAGCAGCCAACTGTCATCCCCTCCTCAGCGATTTTTTTGTCCGTTCCCCCCGGATGCTTGAAAGCTGCAGCGCCCGTGTTTGAGCGCGACGGAGGGGCAGTGGCGCACGTCAAGGATGGAAAATATGTCTCACTGGAGAAAAATGTAAATTCGAAAAGACAAGGTTGGAAATGTCTTTGTTGACGGTCGCCCTGGAGACAGATGTTTTCAGCTGTTTCACCAAGAGAAAAAGTGATAGTTTTGAAACTTTCTGCACTAACATTATGAATCATTTGTTTTGTACATTAATCAGAGATGGAACAAAAAAAAAGAAAAGGCTGACTAAACTCCAAGAGGCTATTTTTCAGCAGTCATGTGAAACAGGTGGCGCTCAAGATGCCAACTCTTCCTTCTAATCTAGAAAAAAGGAAAAACAAAAATCAAGAGCTTTGGTCGAAGAAAAAGGAAAGTAAATGAATTAGTTGTACCAAAAAAGTGGGTTCTTGGAAACCTCTTGGAACATTTCCGGTCGATAAAGAATTCAAGCATTTCCCAGGTAAACATTTTGGCCGATTTGAACGAACGAACAGGCGACGAAATCTGTCTGGTGTGTGTTTTTCTCGCTATTAAACAAAAATAATCCCTAGTATCAAATCTGTTTGACTTAAGCAATGAGAAATGAGCCTGTCTAGTACAGGTTAAGCCGCCGTGGTTGCAAAAGAAAAAAAAAAAAAAAAGAAAATATCCTACTGCACGTGCTTCAGACACGACATAACCCCAGGCTGTGTTGTTGGAGATCCGCTGCGCAGCCAACATGCGGGACTTTTTATAAACAAAAGAGCCACTCTTTTTCTTTTTTTTTTTTTTTGTGCGGAGGACAACAAGGGTAGACTCGGCCGGAGGAGTTTAAAGCTTTCCATAATCCATGCGAGGTCTGAAATGGAGGATTACAGCATGGCCACAAAAACATAGAGTGGGCGTTCAGGAAAAAAAAAATAAAAGGGTGTAGACGAATTTTGAAGTGAAGGCACGGTCGAGGTTTTTAGACGTCGGTCTGCGAGTAGAAACTGAAGATGTGGCAGGCTTTCAAGTTTACAGTCGTGAAGAGATGAACCTCGGTCAGCTTTCGGGCCGACCCCTAATACTGGAAGGCACGTTTCTCTCATCCACATACACTCACACATACACACACTCAAACACACTCACACACACTCACACACACACATTCAAACACACACACACACTCTTGGTCTCCCTCAGTGGTCTGACTGCACTCCCATATGTGCTTCCCCCATGTGTTTAAGGCCAGTAGGAATGGAGGCGCAGACGTTTGAGGCGGGAAGCACGCTCAGGCACGTATTCCTGGGGGAGGAAGAGAAAAACAAGAAGGATATTCAGCACGTTTGCTCGCTTCAAACCTGAAATTTTAAAGAAAGGGTTCCTCTGTGGAGAGGATGACGTGCGCTGACTTGAGGTCTGAGTCGATTCACAAAATCTTAGTGATGGAAAAGAGTCACATGTGGAGGTTTAAAGGACTTACTCTGAGCGGTAAAGTTTATTTTCTTACATCAATTCAATAAAACTGTACGATGATGCAAAACATGACTCGTGGAAAAAACTATTTTTATAGGTTGGCAATATTTCGGGCTTCCTGATGTTTCCGCCAGAAAATCAAGAGGAATATCCAGACCTGGACGAAGTCTTCGAAAAGTGTTTGAGCTCGTTTTAGTCGCGTTTTCAGATGCATTTTGGTGACTCGGGAGTCTAAAAAGTGATCATAAAAGGTCTCAAACAGGGTCAGAAAAGCTTGGAGCTTCTATCCTCTCATTTGGATCAGCAGAGAAGGTCATCTCAGTCGTTTGGATTCATGGTGACATAAAAACTTTCAACTATTTTACAACTTCTGTTTTATTAACGTTTGGACCGATTTTAAAGGTTTGCATATTATTTTAGAGTGCAAAGACAGGGTTTGACACCAACTTTCACACTTTTTTCAAGTTGAAAATTGATCAAATAATGTTTCTCTTATGGGTCAACATAAGTATTATTATTTGAAATCAATTTTAGGTCAATTGGTCACATGAAATGGAAGTTATTGAAGGGAAACAGACTTTTTTTTGAGAACATCAACCGGTAATTTGTTGACAGTCCCTTGTTTAACACCTGATGTTGATGGCGAGGGTGCCAAATCGGTTTAACCGCACTGTTGATGCTATTCCAGCTTACGGAGAGTGAATGTCTGTCACAGAAGTATTTACATGAAAAAACATTTGTTGCCTCCCCTTTTTTTTTTTTTTTATGCACACATGTGACCATAAATACACTTTACAATCCGCACACATCTATTCTAACATCTATTGTTTAGCACCAGGACTCGTCTCTTCTTCTTGTCTTTCTGGGGTGTCTTACCTTTCTCGCTGGTCTCTCCCTTCTCTTGGGCAAAGTTGAGTCGGTTCTGCTCGGCCGCCGTCTCTGCAGCCGTGTTGACCACAGGGCTGCTGCTCCGTGAAGGACTTCCTTCGTCCACCTGGTACGCCAGATCGAGGTGCTGCTGCGCCCGCTTCAGGTGCCTCCTCAACCGCTCCAGCTCCCTGGAAGACTGCGTCTCGTCCCCGAAGCTCTCCCGGCCTGAGTCTCCCATCGGCAAATCCCTCATGTCTCCTCTCAGCTTCTCCTTCTTCATGGTGGCGTGGTATCCTGGTGGAGCTGTGGGCATCGCGCGTGACGAAGAGGGACGGGAGGAGCCGCGGGAGGTGAGAGCGGCTCTCCTGCGGAAGGTGTCCCTGATGCCGCCGATCCCCAGGTGGATCATTTCGAAGACGGTGAGGAGCAGGCAGAGGAAGGACACCACGTACATCACCAGCAGGAAGATGGTCTTCTCGGTGGGACGGGACACGAAGCAGTCGACGGTGTGTGGGCATGGCGATTTGGTGCAGACGTAGAAGGGGATCACCTTGAAACCGTAGAGGATGTACTGACCGAAGAGGAAGGCGATCTCAAAGCCAGAGCGCCACAGCAGCTGGCATACGTAGACTTTCATGAGGCCGTCACGCAGGATCCGCCGGCGACCATCGTGCTTTTTCTCTGCACCTTCATAAAAAAAAAAAAATAAGGAAGTTACGATCTGATGTTTTCGCACAAAAAGGACTTCTCACCTGCTCGGTTCTTCTTACTTTTCTCTGCTTTGTCCGCCTTCTCCAGTTCGATCTCCTCGGCAACCATAGGGTCTTCCTCTCCGTTGTCCTCCGCCTCCTCGTAGTCTCGGACCGCCCCTCTGCTGACGATGGGCATCCTCTTCTTCTGCTTCCTGATGGGCCGGTACTCGGTGTCTTCGCTCCTGGCGATCTTGTGCATGGCGAATCCCAGATACATGATGGTGGGGGTTGTGATCAGGATTACCTGGACGAAAAAAAGCGAAGGTTAATCTTTCTGGAACACGATGAGAACAAAAGGTGGAGAGCGGTCCTGCGTCTCACCTGGAAGATCCAGAATCGGACGTGTGAGAGCGGCGCAAACGCGTCGTAGCACACGTTCTCACACCCGGGCTGCTGCGTGTTGCAGACGAATTTACTCTGTTCATCGTAGTAGATCGTTTCGCCTCCTACTGCCGTCAGAACGATGCGGAAGATGATGAGCACTGTCAGCCAGACCTTCCCCACGAACGTGGAGTGGTTGGAGATCTCGTCCAGCAGGCGGGTGAGGAAGCTCCAGCTCATGGTTCTGAGGTGACCGGGGAGCTAAACCAGCTCTGCAGAGAGGAAAAACAGAGAGAGACGGAAAAGTTAAATCCTATTATGCCTGTTTTTGTTTTCCTTTTTCTTTTTATAGCTCACTGACCGACCGCCGTATTGCAAACACATGGCCTTTTGAACAGCTTTACTGCTGTCTGTTTTTCTTGAGGTTACAGCTGAAAAAAAGCAAAGTGTCGACTGTGCTTACAAGGATGATCTGGGAAAAAAAAGAGGAAAAACAACCACGAGTATTCTCTTCATTTTAATGTTTATTTGATGCATTAAAGACGTCGGCTAACAGCATTAACCTTCAGACGTTCATGTTAATTTTACTACTAAGTGCTAAAAATTCTCCTTTGAGTCAGATATGTTGTATAAAAGCAGGTGGTAATGCGAAATTGAACACTAGACTCTCTCTACACAATATCACAACTACAATCAGACTATACTTAATAGACTTTTGATGCTTTGTCCCCTTTGTTAGACAAGCTTAGCCTACTTGTGGGTCAAATTAAGGTTAAAATTCAATTGGTCAATATATTGCCGTTCTTTAACAGAAATGGATAACAGCACCCATCTAAGATCCTCCTCATTGTAATTTTTGAAGTATATCAGGATTTTCTTCTCTCCAAGTCAGCTTAAACCAAAACCATGCTGAGATTTTCCTTCTTTTCTTGAGTTTTCTTCCATTTGTTTGAAGTCTTTCACCCAGCTCTCAACTTTATACCTCACTGTCTTCTTTTCTCTGCAACTCTTTACTACCAATCTAAAGTTTTGAGACTAATAAATTAATTATTTATAAATACTATCCATAACTCACATTTCTGCCACAGTGTCAACAGGCGATCTGTTATCTTTAATTAATCACCACTGAGATGGGCTTTTGGCCAATCAGAACCAAGTATTTGGCACAGCCAGTTGGGTTTGGATAATCCATAAATATCCCAGACACGCCCCTGTTCTTAATAAATGTGGTTGTGGTGTTGAAATCGAGCATTTTGGACAACACCCAAAGTCAGATACCTCGTTAATTATCTCCTCGTTCTTGTTGTTACAAGTACTTAACACCCTCAGTAGCAAAAAAAACTTTGATGTGTAAATATTAGCTGCTATAAATTTGCCAAGTTGTCAGTCAGTTATCAATAACCTTCAGCTGAAATCACATTTTAAAATGTCAGTTAAAACTCATGTTTATCAAGTTCTCATATGCTCATAATTGCTTGAGACGATCAAAAAAACAACTTCTCCAACTTTAAACATCAGAAATGAGCTTTTTTATCTGTTTTCTGTGATACTAAACTGCACAATTTTGTATTTTTTACTTTTAGAACCAAAAATAGTGGCATTTCCAAAAGTCACCTCTTTTAAAAGACACTTCACTACCTGAAAAATCAGTAATCTATCCTCAAATCTCCTCATTCATGAAAGTTTGCACATGCAGGTTCACCTCCCATGATACGATCTTGCATGCAAGTCTGCCAGGTCAGACAAATAAACATCCACATTCTTGGTTTTAATCAGACTCAGGTTTCTGACACATGCAGGTCTCCACGTGCACTGCAAATTATTTGGCTCTTACAAGACAAAAAAAAACAACTTGGATTTAGAAGTGTTGGATAATTTGTTTTGTTTTAAGACTTAATCTCTTATTTTAAGTGTTTAACTTCACACTTTAATCTTATATCAAGCACAACCTTATTTTTTTGTTTCAAATAGGCAGGAAATCTTAAAATAAGTTAAAGTCTCATCAAAAGGAATCTTGTTTAAAGATTAAGTAAGCCTTGTTTCAAGATCAGCCTGCTTGGATTGAAACGGAGTTTAGTCATTCTTCACTAATACTGGGTATGTTTTCTCTAAATTTCTATTATTTGTTTGACTAATCATCTTAATTTGCGAAAAGTAAGAAAACAAAATATGTAATTGCTTATTTTTACTATATGACATATTTCGAGGTTGTAAAAAAGTAAAAATTTAAGTTATCTCATCTTAAAACCAGCATTTTCTCCTTACCTTATACTTATATTAGGTACATTTCACTTGTTTAAGGGCTGTTAAAGTTAAATTTCAAGTGATCTGATCTTCAAACCAGCATTTTATGCTTACTTTATGCTAATATTTAGTATATTTTTCTTATTATGGCGGCTGTAAAAGTTAAATTTGAAGTAATCTAATCTTAAACCAGCATTTTATACTTATTCTATGCTTATAGAATGCGCAAAAACTTGGGGGGGGGGGGGTCGTCCGATTACCGATCAATCGGCCATTTTAATTTTTTTTTTATCAAGTTATAAAACATATATACTGTAGATATCTACAGTATACTATGTACTGTAGACATACTGTAGACTTCTGCTCTACACGCCGACAGGAACATCGACTGATGAAACTCGGACCAGAAATTTTCAACTACCCCCCGACCCCCACCGCCGCCGCCGCCGATCGGTGCGTTGCCTCCGTGTCTTCTCTAACACATTAATTTACACATTTTCGGTCCGGTCTCATCTGGAAACATGCAGCTGCGTCACTATGAGAAGAAAAGTAGCTCTACTGTTGTTTATTCTACCGTTACTGGCACGGCTAACAGTGTATCAAAGCTAACAGCACGTGGAGAACTCTTAACTTTAGCTTGCATATTACACGGTGCTTCACCGATAACTCGGCATGTCCGAGACCAGCACAGCAGGGAACATCGTAAAGTGGGATGAAGTGAAACTTTTTGACTTATTGTGTACTTCACAACCTGGTTTATTTACCGTTCAGGCAGACCACTCTTTCCTCGTGCGTTCGTGAGCCTCCTGCTTCAGATCTGTCTCTGCTTTACTGTGTGTCTGGTAGTTAGCGGATAAGGATTGTCATCAGGTCACTGCGCCATCTACTGGATAAATCTGGGAACTTTTAAAATGGCAGAACATTTTCGAAGGGGAACCCAGTCTTATTCTCAGCATTTTATTTCTGAAAATATCGGCGAAAATCGGCGAGTTTTGGCCGATTACCGATTAGTCTCTAACGGGCTAAAGTTGCCCTACTTAAAACCAGCATTTTTGGTTTATTTTAAGCCTTCTAAATACATTGTAGACAAGCTTATTTCTAGATTTAACCATCTTAATTCAAGAAATATTGTCAAGTGAAATTACCTTGCTGCATGGACAAATAATTTCACTTGTTTTTAGTACATTTTTCCTCAGATTTATTGGGTTTTTATCTTGCTTTTACCCCTTTTTTTAGCAGTGTGCAAACCACTCTGCACTCTGCGATCGAGCCTTAGTGACAGTTTTGCGCCCCCTCCTCGCTCTTACACCTCCTCGCCATTCAGAGCCCGAGCCGCTTAATCAAACATCAAAAGCATCAGCCGACAAGTGGCAGCTAGCTGTGAGGGGACCTGCTGCGGCTTTATGAATGAGGCTTAGGAGTTTATTTCCTGCCACCTTGCCAGGAATTATCCCTTTAAAGACTTTAAAACAGGTATTTGATAAACTTACATGACTGTGACATAATAAGAAGGACGGAAAGCGGTCCTTTTTACCTTCAGTGACCTCTATAAAGTCACTTCTCCTTGGATTTGGGTCTAAATTAGCTCTGTCAGAAAACAAATTCAGCACTTAATCTGTAAAAAGTACCTCATATTTCTTCGGTTAGACCTCTACATGGGTAATTCCCTCGACGAAACAAGCAAAAACATGATTTTTCCTGACATTCACGCAACATCAACTTGATTTCTTGAACACCAATGCTAAGACTTTGACTCCACAGCTTCTTGGACGCATCTTCTCTAAATTTCATTTTTCAAAAAAAGGGTGTAACACGGAAGATTACCAGAATTTCATGACTCATTTCATCAGTAAAAGGCTTATGCCATTACAAGCATCTTTAGGCATGTCTCTTCAGATTAGTGCGCTATTGTGCGGCCCTCCCTCGCCAGGTTACTCATCCATTCCTCTCTCCGAAGCTGGCATCTTCTGACGACTTCGGAGAGGCTGACTTGCCCGAGCCTGACCAGAAAAATGCTCTCCCCAAAACCAGAGCCGTCATGGTGAAAGTTCAGAGGCTCGACAGCTCAACCAAAACTATGATAACATGCTGGAAGCTGGCCTGACTTGGCGAGATCCAGACAGGGAAATTATGGGGCCTGGAGACGTTTCTCAGATCTGAGAAGTCCTCGCCATAAAATCGACCACTTATCACACTTGGAAAAAGGGGTCTACTTATTACACTTTGACCTGTGCTGCTTCTTCTGGGTGAACTGCCTGAGAAAAGAGCCAACTTTGTGACCCTGGTGGAAGCTCAAAGGCAGGAACGAGCACAGCTGGGAGGTGACATCTGTTTTACCCCAACATGCAATTACAAACCCCACCTATATGGTCGACTGTGGGTGTTAAATCAGGGGTGTAGAGCGCATAAACATGGAGGAAACACTTCGAAACACAAACAAACCAACAAGGAGGCTGATCCCACATCGTCTCTACCCGAAGGTTTAAAATTTAAAGCCCCTCTGACGTCAAACAAGACGAACTGTCCCTTTAAACATCATCCGACCTAGTGATGACAGTGTAATGTTTCAGAGTGATACGATATTCACAAACCTCAGTCAAAGCCTCGTTTCGAGGACATGACCCCGTTCGCACCGACCATAAAGCATCTTTCCAGTCGTAAATCCTCACCAACCAGCCCGACCGCTAATCTGAAACTTATCTGCATACAAGTGAAAATAGGAAACAGGACTGCCAAAACAAGACCGTTTAACTCGGCCTAACTCGGGTTTGGACCATTTCAACAAAACTATCAGACACCTCAGAGTTTAAAGCCACAATGAGGAAGTTTGGCACAACACAGAGCCAATAAAAGAAAAATCTGACATGATAACAAGACGATAGACGAGTCCAGGAAATATCCAGGGCCGTGTCTGGGCTTTTTTTCTTGGTGGGCCAACTGGGGCACCCTCTTTTGTTTGACTAACATGATCACAACACAGACCCGGCTGCTCCCTCCGCTAGCATGAATGTTTACACCAGTGTGACAGTTATCTTCGGTGCTTAACTTCCTAAAACTGGCGCTGTGTGGCGCTGCTGCTACTTCTCGCTTGCTCCCATCAGTGTTAGTCATCTTTTTTTGACAAACAAAAAACCTCTTATATCCATTTTCTCAATGCTTACCGGCGAGTCCGCCTTCCGCTAACACGTTGCCTTCGATCGATTGGATTGGTTGGATTGATTGACACGTCAAGATAGATGGGATTAACTGAAGATGACTACTCTGACGGATAAAAACAAACACCAAATCAAATTAATAGAAAATTTTGCTTTGAGTCCAGGGCGAGCACGGCCCCCTGATGCCCGCCCGTGCCCGCCCGTGCCACCGGGTCTGTCACAACATTCTCATTCTGATTGGCTAAAACCCCAAAACAATGGTAATTTAATCGTAAAAGCAAAAGTGACGCCGGGAATGACCCACAAGAGATCAAACATGTAAAAAAGTCCAACACATTTCACCTTTGGCTGTTCACACTGTGTCAAAAATGTTTTTTCTCTACACTCTTGGGGTTTGGTCAGAAGTGTTTGTGGTGAGAATTCAGATCGTACTGATTCCTCTTAGGATCTACAATTTTGTCAACAATTTCAAGCAGCAACAAAAAGTGCAAAAGTTCAATGAAAAGTAAACTTGAAGGTTGCTTGATACAAACCTACCAAAGAAAGCTGATTTCAACACACGTCCTGCCTCTGACCAGTGAATCTAAAAATAACTGAATATTGAGAAAAAGTTTGTCTCATTCCAACTTTAAATCAACAAAGTAACCCGACATATGATGTTTGGAACTTTTTGAATTTTTCAAGCTGTTTGCACTCAAAATTTTCACTTTTTAATTATTTTTTTGAACTTAGTTAGCTGTAAGTGTATTTTTACAAACATCCATAGACAATAGAAGGTGGAAATAAAAAACAAAAACAATCGTTATATCAAATAAATAGGTAATGTCCACTCTAGAGTATAGAATTACTGGTACAAATGTCAATCAGAGGCAGGATGACGGCATTTTGATATACAACCGAAGGGTTTTACATCATAAATATTGTCATTGCAGCAACAAAGGTAGTACAGGTTCCCATCTTTTAGTGAAAGTGGCTTTCTGAAGCCTTAGGGCAAATGTGAGCTGCTCCATTTGATAAATATCCCACAGGATTTGAATCCATGTATTGTATGATGGAGGTTCTGGTTTCAACCATCTGATGGTTTTAGACTTCAAGGCCACAGTGAGTAATATACTCAAGAGGTATTTATCCGCTCTTTTGTCCAGGCCTTCGGGTATTACTCCAAAATTTTCACTTCTTAATAAGTTTTGGGAGATTATCAGCTTCTTTTTTGCAATATTTCAAATTTTCTTCATGTTAATCATTACTAGTTTAGGATTTGGGGATGTATGGGACTTTGCCACCCTTGGCCAGCTTTATGGACAGCTTTAGACATATTGTTTAGTTGAAGAAGAAGAAGAAGAAGAAGAACTTAAAACTCAAACTGAATTTTCCTTTAGGGATCAATAAAGTGTCTTTTCTTCTTAAACATGACAGATGACGATATTTTCAGTGTTTTAGAGGTGGAATAAAATACACACTGATTTATTACCATCAATATAACAATGCAAGTAAACTATTTTGATGTAAACCTGCCATAAAAAGCTGATTTCAACACACATCCTGCCTCTGAACAGTGCATCTGAAATATAAAGTTCATATTGCAAAAAAAGTTTGTTTCATTCCAACTTCAATAAACAATGTAATCTGTCATACTATGTTTTGAACTTTTTGAGTTTTTCAAGCTGTTTGTATAAAATCAGGACATACATTTTTCACTTTTTAGAGAAGTTTGGGGAGATTATCAACATTTTTTTTTTGCAATATTGTGATTTTTCTTTTCTTGTTTAGGATTTGGGGATGCAAGGGACTTTGCCACCTTTTTGGACAGTTTTGGACGTATTATTAAGTTGAAGAAGAAGAAGAACTGAAAACTCAAATTGAATTTCCCTTTAGGGATCAATAAAGTTTCTTCTCTTCTTCCTTTTCTTCTTGAATATGACAGATGAGGATATTTTTAGTGTTTTAGAGGTGAAATAAAACGCACACTGATTTATTTTCCATCAATATAACCATGCAACTTTATACTGCAAATATCAAGAGCTGCAAACTTTGACAAAATACCTGTTTTACATCAGCTTAAGCTTTTTTTTTTCTGTGATATGAGAGAAATAAACATCAAAATCTAAAACAAGACAGTTTCAAGATGATTATATAGACAGGGATTTACCTCAATTCGCACCGACCAGACCTCAAAATTTAACTGGAATTACTTGTTTAGATTTTTCTCTCCAAGTTTTGACGGCTGAATTATTTGAAATCAAAACCAAAATTAAGTATCATCGAAAAGTTTCGATTCCTGTGCAAAAGCAGGTGTTTAGTTCTCCAAAAGAGAGTGAATCTCCTGACAGGTTTCTACATTTAAAAGGTTAAAGACTCGTCTCTTCTCCAACAAAAAGAGCTTTACAACCCCACACTTCTACCTCCTTTCTTTTGCAAAGGTTTGACCTGGACAAACATGCATCCTGCCCTCGAGTAAATGCAAACATTTCTGCAGCAGCAGCTAACCAAAGTCAGCTTGCACACAGTAGCTTATTTGCTCATATGGGCTCAACTGATTTAATGGCTTTTCTGCTCCTGGGAGTCACTGGGCTGCAGGAGGAGATGGAGGGGGCTGGAGAGCTTTTTGGGCAGAGAGGATCTGGACAAAGCAAAAAAAGGGACTTCACATTCCTACCTAACCAAAAGCAGAAAGCCTGGATTTTAGGGTTCAAGGGAGCAGACAGAGGGCACATGAAACCTCCATGCAATCTGTGCAGAGGGACAGCACCTCGAAATGTCAATCAGTGCACAGAAAGTACAGTCCTGAGAAACACGGAGAGGGTTTTCCTACAGATGGGGTGCCTGCTCTGTCTCAAGAAAAAGGGCTTCAAAGAGGTGGTGAACACGCTTTGCTGACTCAGACTGAATTGTTTTGGAAATTGTGGCATTCCTGGAGGAAAACAAAGTGCTGCCAAGCTTCAGCGGGGGAACAAAAATGCGGTGGATTAAAGGAGGAAGGTTAAAACCACTCTTAATAGGACACGGACTCATTAGAATAACAAAGGAAAATCAGAGTAATGCCACGGGGAGAGAGTGTGGAGTGGGGTTATTTTAGCCATACTGATGTGGCAGGAGGGTAAAAATAGCTTTAGCGGTAACTTTCGGGGGTTTTAAAGTTGAAAACACCCCAGTGTAACAGGTTATACCGCTCTCTTTTGGACTTTTTAAACTCACGAAGGCGAAATTTCGCTGCGACTCACCGCTTTCCGGCACACGCAGATCCCAAACTCCTTACGTGGAACCCACTTTGAGAGACTTGACGCGTAAATTATCCCCGGATGAGACAGAAAAAAGCTCCTCTCTCACTCGTTTAGAGACTCTGAACAAACTTTTCACCCACCTTCAGCGCTCCAGCTCGCGCGTGTTCTCTCCTCGCGCTTAATTGCTCGACCAGGTTTTCCTAATTAACGCGCGCGCTCTCATCGGCGTCTGCGTGCGTCCGCGTCCGAGTCCGAGCCCCCCGTCCGTCAGTGTGAACCCATTCAGCTCGCTTGACCCCATGTGTCGGCGAACAAGAGAGAATTCTGATTTCTGAATACTCCTCCTCCTCCTCCTTCTCCTCCTCCTCCTCCTGCACCTCCTCCACGTACCTCTGAAACTTGAGCCTCGCGACACTTTACCCTCGCGACAAAAGGCTAAAAGACTTTATAGGAGTTTTTTTTAGAATATAAAAATACAACTACAGCTTCTTTTAGAGCCTAGTCATGCTGCTTGGCTGCAAAAAGCAATAAAAACCCAGAATTTATGATGATAAAATATTGAAAAACTCATATAACTCCTTCTTGAGTACATTTTCAACTGGAAAAATTCCTACAGACACATGTGGAGTGAAACCTTAGGGGGGAAAAAGGGTGCTTTTAATATGAATTTTCACCAAATCACGGATACAACACAATATTTAAGTCTTAATATCATCGTCATGACGGTTCAGTTGAATGTTATCTGAAGTCTAACAGTCAGTACATTTCACAGACTGTATATACCATGGACAGCTTGGTTCCACCGTACGCCAGTATACCGATTTGAAGCCAAAAAGCTCTTGGTAATTCCGCGTTTTTTCTACCTTTCTTGAAACCAACATTGCGCAGTAGCGTTGTGCGCATTCGGCGGAAGAGTTGCTGTGATGACGCTCGGCTCAAACAGCGTATCCCCCGGGGGAGCTACGCAATCTTCGTACGCCCATAGGCTGTAAAGTTTGTCCACAGTCCCATAAGCTTTGCTGGTGGAGGCGGGATTTATGACCTATACTGCAGCCCGTCACCAGAGGGTGCTGTTCTCTGAAGCAGACGGCGTCCATTCTATATAAAGTATGTGGCTATGTTCATACTGCAGGTCAATTCTGATTTTTTAACCATGTGTGACACATCGGATATGTATCCGTTGTGACTGCAGTGTGGATCCGACCTGACTAAAATAAAAAAGTTTTTAGAACTCCGATTAAGACACCCAGAAAATGCGATTGGAACTCAATTTTCTCTTCCATGTAACCGGCGTAGTCGGAGTATGATCGGAAAATGCATGTGTGCTTACGCCACGCCCCCGTAACCCCGGAACCACCAGAGAAGAGGAGTACTGGTGTCTCATCTGCAGAAAAAGTAGCGCGTACATCATGTACGACGAAAACAACGCTGTACTGATGCTCCATCTTCTTGCTTGAAAATGCCCAGCAGCAGTTGTAGACACTTCTGACCTCTGACACGGACCTGTTGTTGTTGTTGTTGGGTCAACCAGACACAGCGCCGCTGAAAAGACCCATATCGCCCCCTAGTTTTGGGGATTTTAAGTATGGCTGTCATTGATGTCTGAATTAAAGGTGGGGTAGTCAGGATCTGAGGAAGTGCCAGTTTTTGGGAGAAATCTTAAATGTAAACTCTACCCCTCCCAACCAGTTTTGCCCTACTTTCTTGTTGGTTTCTACTGTCCGATATTGTAGCACGCTAACTTTGTTTTGGCTCGTGAACGACATGGGGGAGCAGCGTCCGCCCCACAACCAATCAGGTTGGGGGAGGCAGAGAACGGCTTTGTTTACAGTCAGAAAGAGCGGGCCACTCAAAAAATTTAAAATGTTGACTACACAGACATAACAAAACACAGCGATATTGTTATATTACCAAATGTCATCAATAACTAATAGCTGTTGACTGATATTAAAAGCTTTTTTATATATACACCACAAGAAAAAGATGCTTCTTTAACGGATTCCTGCCTACCCTACCTTTAATGATCGTGTCGATATCCGAAATGGTACTTTTGACAACAAAGATTATAAATATCTGTAATTAATAACCATTTTAGCTAATAAATGTTAGCTAGAACCTCTTAAGGATTCAGTTTTGACCCTCGAACCCTTACTTAGAAAACGTTCATGAGATTAAAGTTTGATCTTGGAGAGACGCTGTCTCTGTCTCTGTGCCTGACCTTGATCTTTTTCAGGGTCATGGCAGACACCTCTCACGGGGTCTTCTTCGCCCAACAATGATGGCTGAAATCTGTGCGGCTCCTCATTTACACCCATGTTTGAAGGATCTCCACCTGTGAAGATTTATGTTGCCAGAATCTGTTTACATTCCCTCCGTTTTGCTGCTATAAAAGTACACCGAGTGCTATGAAACCGTAATCTAATCATCCCCCCTTTCAGCCGAAGACCCGTGTTATCCTCTGAACCAGAGTTTGGCAGCTCACCGGCCTGACAGAGCGCTGCGTGACTACAGCTTTTAGAAGACGGGGCCCACCATCCAAGATTTTAGTTGAGTCCGGCGTTCAGCAAAACAACAGATTTCTTGCTGTCATGCACGCTGCAGCTGTAGTGCTCCTGATCGAGCAGAGGACCTGAAAATGTTTGGAGGAGGCTGTGGGAAGTCGAGTCAGGCCAGATGTGCGCGCCGGGCCAAGTCGCTGTGGCTGCATCCCAGCTTTGCTCTCACACTAACTATCCTTCCTCGCTTTCTTCTCTTTGCCTCTCGAATCAGATCCAAGTGAGGCATGCACCCATTCACCTGCACCTTTGAATCCCCACAGACAAAAATAATTAAACCCCGGCGTGTCGAGGAAGTCTTTATTTTTCATTTGCGCTCAGGAGTTATCGTTTCATTTCCGCACCTGGTCGCCGCTGCTGGGATTCGAGTCGGTTATTGTGGCTGAAAGGTGTGACAAGCTGGAAAGAGGCCAAAAATCGATACTGAGCATTATGCAATTTAAGCAAAAAAAAGTCCAAAAAGGGGGGTGGGCCGGTCTCTTTAGGGGCTTTAAATTCCTTTCTCCTCCCCTGCAGTGATTATATTAGCTGCCTGAATGCGGAGAGGACACGCCGAATTAAAGCGCTTTCCATTTTTGACTTGAATGTACACACATTATGTTTAAGTATCACCCTCAATTGCTTATTTCCTCCCTCGACATAAAAACCTTTCGACATGAATCCATGCCGCGCAACCATCATGACTCACAGATTTTTGAAGGCTGAGTTTCTGGGCTCATTAATTTTGCCCCATGCTGCAGTCCAAAAACTAAAGGATTCAATATTTCCTCACGAGAAGTTTACTCCAGGCAAGATGGATGAGGCGCTGAAAGAATATTTTAATCATCCGGGGTTGGAAATTACCTATTTCTCTTTTAAACATTTGCCGAAAACACAAGAGAAAACAAACAACTTACACATGGGGAGGGATGATAAAAATAAGAAGTGTGTGCAGAAAGCGTTTCCAGATGTCAAAATTGATCCATAAACTACAATTAATGATAAATAATGCAGTTTTATATACATGTTGCATTTGTTTTCATTTAATTTTAATCAAATTTAACCCATTTTGACCCCTTCGTTTGACCTTTTTAATGAAATGTTTTAATGCGAACACAAATTTTATCATTTTAGGACCAAATTTTACACCAAGTAGTGTTTACAATGTCATCTCAAACTCATGATTTCCACATGCACAACATAAAGAATACTTCTACGCAACTTTTGTCTGATGTATCCACCAGAACCAATAAAGACCAGACGACTGAATTATCAAATTAATGCAGTTTTGGTTATTTCAGGACCAAATTTTAACATTGTACGAAGTTGCAAGAGTCAAAGTATGAAAAAGTCATATACGAAAGATTTGCATGTGAAAAGTTAGACGCAAATACATGCCGAATAAAAAGTTTCTCATGTAGAAGTTGCAGATAAAAAGTCGTAGATACAAAAGTAACATGGAAAAGTTAGCATCGAGGATATATATGAATATTTGCTAATAAGAATGAACATCGGAGAAGTTTTTTACCAGGACTTAAAAAACTTAGAAGTTATGGAAAATTATGGAAGTTGAGAAAAGTGGTGAACGAAAGTTACGCAAGAAAGGACACTTACGAGAATTTTATGGATAGTGACTTATGAGTAAGTTACTTTTAAAAATTACGAATAAGAGAGTAAATGGAAAATGTTTTTATTTAGAATAAAATATTCATGAGATAGTTTTGTGTGAAAAGCATTCAAGGACGTTTCATTAGATAAGTGGCGTACGAAAATGTTACACGTAATACAAGTTACGAATGAGATACATTTGAGAAATTGCAGATTAAAAGGTACATTGAAATTTTTTGAGTTACGTAAAAGATACATATGAGAAAGTTATCAAGACATGAAGTTTAAAAGTTCGTCAATGAGAAAGTACATGAGAAAAGTTTTGATTTTGAGAAATAATGTTGGAGAAAGTTACGGGCAAAAGTATTTGTATGAGTAGTTGCATAAGAAGTTAAACAGCGAACAAAATAAGCTACGTAGATGAAGACATAATGGAAGCGAAAGTTGCTTATGACGAATCTACGTGTGCGAAGTTAAAGTTTAAAAAAAGTTAAAGTCGAAAATTACACAAGGATGTAACAGAAGACGTTTCGTTTGTGGAATTGCGCATTTCAAGTTACTTTAGAACTTTACCTAAGACATATTTTGTCAATGACAGTCAACAAGAGATCGAACACGTGGAGAGCTTTCACCTGATTTTGGGTGCAAAGTGTATCAGTCGTCGACTCGTGCTGAATAAAACCCTAAATTCATAGAAAACACAGACATTTTTTGAGTTACGTAAAAGATACATATGAGAACGTTATAAAGAGATGACCTTTGAAAGTTCGCAGATGAGAAACGTTTTTTTTTTGAGAAAAAATGTCGGAAAAAGTTATGTATAAAAGTATGTGAGTAGTTGATGAAAAGACACGCCGAAGACGTGAAAGTTGCATATGTCGAAGCTATGTGTGAGAGAATGAAGTGCAAGAAGTTAAAGTATAGAAAAGTTGCATGTCGGTGCATGTCGAAAATTACACAAGGACGTAGCAAAAGAGGTTTCGAAGTTTCATGTCCTTCATGACAGTAAACGAGAGATCGAACACGTGGGGAGCGTTCACCTGATTTGGGCTCGTGTTGAATAAAACCCTAAAATCCAGAACTGAGAGCCGCAGCTGTAACACATGAGTTCTTAATATGAAAGCTTTGTCCGGTTTTTCTGCACATATCCCATAAATCCTTTGATTCTCTCGGATCTGTTTCCCGTGAAACGGCTGCAGTTTGATATTTTAAAAGAAACCCAAATCCTGTTTTTGGGGGGCGGGGGAAGACCTCCATGTAAATCAGTTTTTAAGGTGATTTCCTTCAGCTGACTCCATCATAAAACCGTGCTTTTATTTATTGTGTGATTTAGATTTATGCAAAGAGCATTAAAAGTGCATGAGGAGTCACAAGTCAGTTGCGCACAAAGCTGCTCCTGCTGACTGAAGCGTGGACCGTGGGCTTTGGCGGCCACGTGGGTGCAATTGAAGGGGATCCAGTTTTCCCCCCTTCAGCATGTGGACGGCACATGTACGGCACCGGCGGGGGCTAAAGAAATATTTACACTGGGAAATTGGTTAACATACCTTAACACAGCTGAGTCTAGACTTAAATAGAGCTGGGATTGGCAGTTTGGCAACAGGCGGGAAAAAGTACGTCGTGTTACGGACAAAGTCTGCCAAGAACCAAACCTCCATGTTGTCATCTGTGCTGCTTTGTTCCTCCTTCTCTGTTGTTGCTGCTTTTAACTTTCGCCAGAATTACTGCAGTAGTTAAGCTGACCCAGTAAAGTAGAAGCAGCTGGTCAAGACAGAAAACCTACCAGCTATTGATCAGGGAACTGATTAGAAAGACAAAAAAATAGTCCCTGTAGATTTTAAACTAAACACTTTCATGTTCTAGTGCGATTTTTAGGTGTTTGGACGAGTTAATATCAAGTTTTTTGCACTTCAAGGCCTAAAAATGAAATTTCCAAAACAGAAAAGCAAAGTGACTCCAAACTTCAGGTAATTAGCAACAGGAACTTTATTAAAAACTACACCAAAAATAAACGTGCACTTTTTGGATTCACCACGCAAAAAAAAAAAAAAAACACACATCAACACGAACCTTTTATATTTGTTTTTTTGTACATCAGGTGCTTTTTTTTTTGCATATTTATATAAAAATAAAACTTTCTTCATTATACCAAAATGAAAAAAAGGCAAACCAAAAATAAATTAGCTCAAAGATGTTAATACGAATCAACAGCGGAGGGTTAATTTTGATCTTTACCGCAGCTTAACGCGACGGGACTTTGACATCCTAGTGGTTAGACGTAAAACTTCTCCTACTTGTGCGCTAAAAAACGAGCTAAAACATATCAAAAGACTTTTATTTTCCAATCAGGAAATAAACCGAAATGAAACACCTGATCTCAAATCTTAAAGAAATTACTAGTATTGTGCGTCTTCTTGCAGGATTGCACTGCAGACATCATGAGACTCCTAATTGGGGTGGAAAAGTGTTTGGTGACCCTCGATGACAAGTGTCTCGAACTCTGACCTCTCTGGAGCGCCTCGTGCTGAGCGCGTGATGTCGCAACCCGCTGCACCCTAAGACGGTGAGGAGAGGTTGAGTCAAGCTTAACTCAAAGCTACCGAAAGGCGAATGATGGGAGGACGATTAGCGATGTGTTCAGGTGCGTTTGGACAGGAATAAGACAGCAGCTGCAGAGAAAACAAGGCACACTCCATTTCAGCTGGAGAGAAGTTCAGTGGGTTGGTATCTGGAGGGCAGAATTATGCAACCAGTGCTTTTACAGGCTTGTGTACCACATGAATAAGCATAATCATTTCCAAGCTCTGGGCTTGAAAGAAAACATAATGAGAGCAGACTGAGCGCAGACTGCATGGAGAGAAAATAAAGACAAATTCACTCACGCTCACTTAACGTTTCCCAGCACCGACACGCAAACAACGCTCGCAAAACACACAAATACACATGCACACAGTTTTGTAGCATGTTCTGAATGCCCGTCCCCCCTTTACGCTGCTTTGTCCTGCAAGCGTGTGTCCAGTTTTACTCCGAACATGGCCTCCCACTGAGACCTGACCCAGGCCAGCAGACCCTGGAGGAGCTCGGTGCTCTCTGAGTGCACACACCATGTCCTCTCCTGTTTCACAGTCTGCAGGGCAAAGACAACACGACAGAGAGTGGAAATTAATTCAGATAACAGTGATGGTATAGAATAATAAAGCTGACCCTGACCTCCGGCTATTCTCTGTTTGATTATTCCGCGGATGTCTGTGGCGGTGTTTCAGTCACGGTGAAAAATACGAGCGATTACAGCAATCAGTCAGCTTGGTGTCATGAGTGTTTGCACATGTGGGGACCATCGAACACCAAACATGGTCTCATAAATACCTGCGGCCAGTCACCAGCCATGTAAACTAGACTGGCAGCTTAAAATAACCTCAGTTTACTGCAAAAAAAGCACAAAAAAAGGAACACGATGTTTGAGAACTCTGCCCTCTAGTGGGGAGATGGAGATACGGTGATAAAACGGTGATTTGTTATCATGCTGATTGAATTACAGCTGTTAGTGAAATAAAAGCGGAAGCACAAATAAAAACCACAATTTGTTCCAAAAACGTAGAATTTTTGAAGATTCACTGCTAACAAGATTTTCTTTATTTGTTCTTATGTTATATTAGCAACGCACAAACGCTATCTCAAACATTTCTATTTATGGAATAAATATACTTAAAATTTAATTTTGCTGTGACATTTTAGGTGATAGAAAAACGGCATCAAAAAGAATCTCTACAGTATCTTTACAGTGAAATTACGGTGAATTTACGGAGTTAAATTGTCAGCCTTTTTTAAAAACAAAAAAATTTTGTTCCAAAAACATGTCATTTTTAAGAATTCACCTCTAATGTGATTTTTTTAATTCATTCTTATGTTGGAACGATCTCAGCTGGTGCAACGCAAAAAATATTAGCAATGCATAAATACTATCTTAAACATTTCCATTCACGGAATAAATACGCTTAAAATTAAATTTTGCTGTGACATTTTAGATAATACAAAAATGGCAGCGAAAAAGCATCTTGTACATTTTACGGTGAATTTACGGTAAAATTACGGGGTTAATTTGTCAGTGTTTTTGAGTAAACAAATTAATGTCTTTGTCACCATTTTACAGAAAATACTTTGTCAGTCTCTAGATATATTAACGTATGTAATATGAGTCTGAAAAATCACATTTATGTTTTATAAACAAATATTTAATCTTGCAATCTGGCCTCTTTTTTTTTTAAATAATGGAATTAAGATGGACCAATTCAAACCCAAATATAATATAAATAACATAAAAATATTTCTTATTTATTTATTTATTTATTTTTTTAAAGAGGAAACACGTCACAATAAAAATTAAAGCTCCTGTGTGCAAACTGTGGATTTTGTCAGTTTTGGCGCCCCCTGTGGACAAAGTAGTCACTGCTCATCTCCTGTGAATTTTGCTTTTGTGTGCGATAAAATATCATAAATGTGATTCTCAGCCTGTTTAAGAAACTTAAAAAATCCTCACTGGAGCTTTAACCTCAATTTTAAAATCAGTATTTTTTTAAAGGTGCAGATAAAACGTGTACTAACCTCGTCGTAAAGCTGAATATCCACTCTGCACTGATCAGACGGCCAGATCTGGACGGAGCTCACGCAGCTGATTGGCTGCGTCTCTAAAACGGTAACGCCCCCGCTGCTTGGCTCTTTGTTTTCATTCGCTGCTGTGCCGTTAAGGCTCTTGGTCCACTGGTGGTCTTCTCTGAGGAGGTACAGGGTTTCCCGGGTTGCGAGGACCGTGTGCGGCGCCCAAATATCCTCTGGAAGAAAAAGAGTTTGACCTTTAAAATCTACGTACAGTAGATTAAGATTGATTTACGATCGCAGATTAACAAGAGCTCTAAAAGCTTTTTACAGAGTACTTTTCTGCTACATTATGAGTTTGCTGCCATATTTCAAACCTCATCTGCAGAGCGGCGAGCAGAGAGAAAAAGACAGATCTAGGCATGCAAAAATGACAGCAGTTGAAATTCCACAGCTGCGTGTAGCCTGCAGCTAGCTTGACTTTAAATATGCGACTCACAGTCAGTCAGAGAGAGAGGCATCCTGACGCTCCTGAACACATGATCCGCATTCATACCTGTCAGTGAGCGCGGTTAAATCAACATTCAGCCACATGGTTTGATGCTTCATAAGAGTTTATGACAGGCGCCTCAGAGGCTTTTACTCTTGGATTTCTTATTTCTGGTTACATTTGATATTTTTAAGATAAATTCAGGCATATGACCCCCTTTCTTTTCAATCCTAACGCTCTCAAGGACCAGGAAAGTAAAAAATAGTTGAGTAATTAGCACTCACAGCGGCACAATTTGCATCGACAGCAGTCATCATGCGGAACATGTTGAGTCATGACCTGCTCTTACCTCCAACATTTACAAACAAGACTCGGTTAGACGGAGGAAAACATAAAGCTTTTATACCGTGAAGACTGGGACGCTGCTTTAAAATGCTAATAAAAAATGATTTTAATGGTTTGAAATTTATATAAAGCAAATATTTAAAATAAAAAAGTTAATGACAATATAATTAATATTAAAACTGAAATATTTGATAATTTTGTGATAAATATGTGCACATTTCACCCAAAAGTCGTTGGGAGAGTTGGGAGTTGATGTTATAATACAGTTTTGCATTGACTTGCTGAAATATGCAAAGAATTCCCTGTTAAAGACCCTGATTGAACAGCAGCACATGTTGCATCATCAGGTTTTTTAGACCCCAGGATGGATTTCCTCTCTGTATGATCCAGTTTTAACTATTTTTGACCCCGTCTGTCAAAACAGCCATGCCCCAAGTTATGTAAATGAGCTGTTTTGTATTTATTTATGCTGGCTTTTAATACCTAGTAGTGTGGTGACACTTTTACTTTATTTTATTGCATTATATTTCATTCCTTTTTTTTATTGTTTTTATTTATTAATTTTTATTTATTATGTATTGTAAAGCACTTTTGCTCACCAAAAGGGTTGTTGTAAAAAGCTGTATAAACAAAAAACATTTATATTTTCATTTAAAACACAAAATTTAAAAAGACTGCTGAGTACCAGGCGGTAAACAAGTTAAAATCTACTGTAGAGTTTGGCATTTTTACATGGGGCCTTATGGGGATTGACTCTGCTATGGAGACATCCCCTAGTGGACACTCTTGGAACTGCAGTTTTTGTAACTCTTTGTTTTATTTAACTGTTTTTATTATTTCCTGATTCATGGGTTTGCTTTTTTGGGCTTGTTTTTAACTAGTAGTTCCTTATTTGGGCTTGCTTTTCTGTATGTGTGAACCCCTCGATTTGAAGTTGAAGTTATTGTTGAAGTTGAAGTTACCCCGGTCTACGCTAACATTGCTAGCTAAGGTGCCCCACCTCCAACTAACTAACTTCTGGCAAATCTAAAGAGGAAAAAATGTGGCGCTTAAGTGGGCTTTCAGGCTCTGAGAAAACCAACAATGTACTGACCTGTCAGTCAAACTAGCTACGCTCTAAATTAGCAAATAACTTTAGCCGTTATACGCTAAAAATAAAAAAATTAACTCCCATACATTTTTTTATCAGAACAGATACAAGTTGTTTCGACCAAACAAGTTTTTCGTACTAGGCTGTAAACGTGTTAAAGTGCGTGTTTACAGCCTGGTATTGTATTTTTAACATGGTTGACTCACTGCCCCTAGTGGACACTCAAGGAACTGCAGTTTTTTCCCAGACCAAGATCATATCTCACCTTGCAGGACAAAAGCCAGCATGTAGAAAAACTGCAGCTGACCATCCTCCACATCTGCCTGGATGTCGTCACTCACCAGCGACCTGTTAAAGTTAAAATGTTCATATTAGCATAAAAACCTCCTGACAAAATCAAAGATAACTCAGAGTTGTGGTGGTTCGCAGCCGGCAGGTGCTGCAGCGCTCTCACATGGAAGCACTTGAACATCACGGGGTGAGTTTCACAATCACTGCGAAGCAAAGGGGATAATTGACATAATAACAGCTGACAGGAATTGGTTGGGAAAACACTGGGAAGTGTGTTCTTCGACTGTGGTTAGCTGAAACACATGAAGGAGCTGCTGGGATTTGTTTTTACTTCTTTATTGTTAAGCTGTGGGGTCTGTCTCCTGAAGAGAGGTGACAAATTGGGTGGATTTGGAGCTGGATTTCTTTATCTTTTCCTCACGATAAAAGAAGAAATCCATCATCTTTAAATTGACTCATCCAAACCACAAGAAAGTTTATTTATTTGACTTTTCTTAGATGTTTGTAAGGTTGTCAAAACTGCTGAAAAAGCTCACAAAGCAAGTCTGATTTTAATAAAACAATTGATTTATCACAGCTGGTTCTTTCCTATGACGAACTTTGTAACTTTCTCCCCTTGAATCACCCCTTTAATAAAAAGATAACCACATTCCTATTTGGTTAGTGCTGTATTCTGTTTAAGAGAGAGAAAAAAAACAAAAACAAATAAAAGGAGTGATAGAAAACTACAGGAGGGGACACAACATGACAGGCATGCTTTAGTATTTGCTTCAACAACACATGCAACAAATTAAGATGTGGTTTGCCAGCTCATTTAGCGCTCCGCTTTTACGAAATTAAAAAGAAACAAATCAAAAAAGCTGATTGTAATCAACTAAACATGTGTCAGAAATGCTCTTTAACTTACACCTCCTAACCAAACACAAATGTGCACAGCGCTGTTCAGACCACATTTCTCGGCGGAGTCACAAATAAAAAAAAAAATCAAAGACGGACGCCACTTTCTCGCCGTGTAAATAAAGAGATCGTACCAGAGGTGGTGCTGGGGGGTGAGTCTGGTGGTAGAGATGGACTGGAGTTTGCTGTCGGAGTCGTGGGCCATCTCTCGGACGATTCCTGGAGAGAAAACAAAAAGGTTTAAGCTAATTCAAGCACTCAAAGGTGTCTGAGCCAGGTTTATATCTACTCAGCCTGGTTTATAATGGGAAGGGTGTACCACAAGGATCCACTTTAGGTCCTGCACTTTTTACTGTTTATCCTAATAATATGAATCTTTTTTTATGCAGATGACAATATTTCTATGATTTTAAAGCGAGGCAGTGAATACATTTTAAATTGTTTGTCTTCTTTTGTAAAGACTGAGATATTTAGATAAACTTAAAGGGCAAATTCGACTATTTTCATAACAACCCTTCAGTCCTGTTCAAGTTTTTCCAGTTTCGCTCCAGTTTTCCAGTTGTGCCGTTCCCGAACGATTTGTTCAAAAGAACCGAATCTTTTAAGTGAACGTACTCAACTGAATAACCTCCTCGAGTGATCCGTTCGTTTCTCACCAGTTGAGCTGAAGTGAGAAACAGCATTGCCAGGCCAGCAGCCGGCGAATGAGGGACCACATGCACCGACGCCTGAATCACTTGGTGAACGAATCACGCATTGAACTACACTCTCTCTGATCATTTTTGTCGGACAAAATTAAATTAAGCTATAAAAGTGTGTTGCTTTATGTTTAAAACCTAGTCATTGTTTCACTTCTAATTGGACACATGTGCGTACATACTAGATCTGCATTCATGAACAGAGACAAGTTTAAACAACGGCAAAATATTCGTAGATGCCTTAGAGTTGCCAAGTCCGCTTATTATAAACAACTTAAAGCTTGTTTCTCTCAGAAGTTGCTTAAAAAACTCATGAGTCGTAGGTACGCATTTTTTGGGCTTGTTTTTAATTAGTAGTTGCTTATTTGGGCTTGAAGTTATTGTTGGTTCGGCCCCCCACCAGTTCAGGTTCCTCATGCGGCCCCATGTAAAAATTAATTGCCCACCCCTGGTCTACGCTAGATTGCTAGCTAAGGTGCCCCACCTCCAACTAACTAACTTCTGGCAAATCTTAAGAGGCGAAAAAGTGGAGCTGAGGTTGGCTTCAAGGCTCTGGGAAAGCCAACAATGTACTGACCTGTCAGTCAAACTAGCTACGCTCCCAATTAGCAAATAATATTTGCAGTTATATGATCAAAAATAAAGAAAAAAAAACTACATTTTTATCGAAACAGAAACAAATTGTTTAGACCAGACAAGGTTTTCGTACTAGGCTGTAAAAACATCAGAGTGCGAGTTTACAGCCTGGTATTGTATTTTTAACATGGAGCCTTATGGGAGTTGACTCACTTTTAGAGACAGTCGCTAGTGGACTCTCAAGGAACTGCAGTTTCTGTACTTCCAAACTGACTTTACTCCTCAACACTCCAAGTTACTTGTCGGAGAAGGAAGTGCTGACAAGAGGACTGAGAGATTGAAGGTCAGGGATATCGGACACGCTTTCTTCGATTTGTTAAAGGACAAGTTACAGTATCCCAAAAATGTCACACCCAAACATTCATGGAGAAAGGTCTGAACACAAAAGCCAAAGTCAATCTGAGACTTCTTCTTCTCCTGCTTTTGTAACCGTGAAAAGAAAGCCAAAAGGTCTCTGGTTGCAGGTGTAAGATTTCGGCTCCATAGACTCGCTGGGTGAGAAAATGTTGGCGAACACAAAGAACCAGGTCACGCTCACATTCACGGACTGTAGCGTATCACTGAGTGTGACAACAATACCAGGCAGGGAGGATATCTGCAGTTTGGCTTCACAGTCAAGTTTGAATAGACGGACTTTAAAGGGATTAAAGGGACACGGAGGAGGAGAGGAGGCGAGGGTGGGTTTGAAGAGAGGAGGGGAAGAAGAGGACACACAAATCTTACGAAGACAACTATAAACTAGGTCTTATTAATATCTGTAAATGGGTCACATGGGTCCACTTTCATGTGACTTGTTATGAGAGTTTAAAGGAAATGTTATATCCCACAAACATCCTCCATCCTTTGTTTTTCCTCTTTTTGTGTGTGCTTTTTTTAACAAAACAACAACTGTGGATAGGATTTCTAGATCCAAACTAAAGGTCAGCAGATAAAAAAGATGAAAACTTCTCTGAGAGTTCAGGAAAATACTGAAATAAAGGTTCAGTTTAGCAATAATACTTATTTTTCCTTTCGGCATTTAAAGAATTTCTGTTTGTGTTGATTTTGGCGCCACTTGTGGACAAACGATGGAAATAAAGATGCGTTTTTATATGCTGATGCGATAAAACATGCTATAAACACATTTCTGTTTTTTTTATTTTAAAGCTCCTGTGAGGAACTTTCAGATTTTAATGACTTTGGCGCCCCCTGTGGTTAAAATTGTATTTTTTCCCTCTTTGCAAACCCTGTCCTGTCCACCTGTATGCTCTGTTTTTGTGTAACAACTTACAACATTTCTTGCAGAAATATTATACTGACACAGTGAAGAAAAGAGTAAAGCTTTAAAAAAGAAATTTGGCGAGGAAAACACAAATTAAAAAAACTTTTCGGGACTAAAACAACTGTAAAAATGTGAATTTTCAGAAGAAAAAGATTTTTCTTGAAAGAAGTTCAAACAGGAAAAAATGACATTTTAATTCAGATTTAAAGCTCCCATGAGGTATCTGTGATTCACATGGATTTAAGAATCACTTATTTCTTTGCCAAACTTTCCCTGTATTTGAGTTTGTTGTTCTTTTTTACTTAGAATCTCATTCATCTTTCTTTTTTTAGTCAAATAAACTCAAATGAAATGTAAAACAATGGTGTAGTTGACTACCCTGTTTGACACCTACCCCCAGTCCTGTAGTTTTGGCATTAATAATACCTCCTAAAAACCATCAATCATGTCACAAGTGATTTTATTTGCTTAAGTACCTCAGACAGATGCGACTGAATTAAATTTGGCATGTTTTATAACCACATGAAAAACTCCTGAGAGGACCTTTAATTTTGTTTTTTTTCTAGCAGGTGACCCTTATTCTTTCACATGACGTTTTTTTTAACTAATTTTTTTTTTTTTAAGGGTATCTGCAGGGTCTTAAAAATTTGAATTTAAGGCCTTAAAATGTCTAAAATCCTCTTAAAATCTCATAAAATGTCTTAAATATGATTCTGAAAGGTATTAAAAATGTATTAACTCTACTAACAAAAAAAATTACGTGCCATAGGAATAAAGATAGATTTGAATTAATGTAAAATGTTTTGATTTCCCCTTATGTCTTTTATACTCTTTATTTTTTTACCAGTATGAATGTTAAATGGGACTTAAATTGTATTCGTTACGATCTTACAAAAGCCTTAAAAAGTCTTAAATTTGACTTGTTGAAACCCGCAGAGACCCTGCTTTTATACATAGAGTTTTCTATAAGTTCTAGCTAACATTATATTCAACGAAAACCTCTTAATCATAACCGCTTTAATTTAACTCAAATTCACTTTGCAGAAATTTGTCAACAAAACACCTTTTTTGTTAAAATCGTCTCGTATCTTTATATAAAAACAAAACAATGACCTGATCCAGCTAAATCAAAGTCTGGAGGTTGTAATTTAAGTGAAAAAAGTCCGGTTCCTGCTCTGCTCTCTATCATTTTCCTGTTATTTTTGAACCCACACAGACAAACCCTCCTCAGAGAGCCAGTTTCAGTCAGACTTTAATGCTGTTTTCACTTTGTTAACTCCACGTTTGAAGTCGAACGCTCAGTAAGAAGCCAGAAATCAGCTCCAGTTTGCTTCAACATATTTTGGACTAAAATGGTTTGATTGCCTCGCAGTTTAATTTGCATTGGAGCGGAGTCAGAGTCTCTCACACTGCTGGGGGAACAATTCCACGTGTGGAGGAGGGACAGTAAACGAAGACGGTTATACAACGTGTGAACATGGACAGTTTGAACACGGTGCCATCCAAGATCGTGATCACTCGTAAACAAAGGCGACGGGCCTGAGCGGGTTGAGAACCAAGTTTGGTTGGGGTTCTGGTCTTTGTCAGTCCTCCTGTTGCTTGTGTTTCAGACCCAGACTGTTTGGCTGCCAAAGCTCCTGATGATTATCACATGGAATTAAACACCGGGGCATGATTTGATATGTTAGACAGCACAAGACAGGACACTGCGAGAGAAAGATTTCTGGTTTCCAAGCATCGGGATAATACACTCATCACTTAGACCAAATCTCCTCCGACACAGTTTGAGCGCAACAACAAAAACAAACTATTTCCTCCGGGAGAAACTCGCCAATAAATACAGCAACAGATTCTCCACAAGACCCCCTTTTGTCTGTGTTGGCTGCAGACTCCAGGAGTCTCATGTTATCGCTCATGTTTCAATAAAGTTATGTCTGACTCGGTGAGTTTCTAAGCCCCGGTTACAACCACATCCTCTCCTCCTTTTCCAGCCAGCGAGGCCTTCGTCATTCCAGCTGCGGTTTTATCTCTGCTTGGACCAAAGACGGGGATTGTTGTAGTAAAGCATTTCCCTGTTTCTGCTGAGTGAACATTACTACAGCTGATTTCGGGGTTCAGATGGCATTAAGGAGGGAATGTTCGCCATAACAGCGCTGAGTTTTCTTTGCCCCGAGGGATAATGGGAGATTCAAACACGGCATACTTCTGATTTCCACGGGGGGATGCACCTTGAGGCTGAGAACAAATCATGATGGTTTACATCTCCTTAAAGAAAGATGGAACATTTGAAAGCCAGAAAAAGGAAATAAAGCTCGAAATGAGCTGTTTATGGGAAAGCTACGAAGCCAGAGAAGATCACTGGTGGTGGAGGCTGTGAGAGACTGTGCAAGTTAAAGAGATATTCCGGTGTAAAATTAATTTAGGGTCAAACACACCATAACACCGAGGTAGACACCTGCTCGAGAGATGAATGTTGCCGACCTCTTGCTTCTCTAGTTATACCAACTTTAGTAACGACTGGACAATAGCAATACACAGCGGTCCATGTCTCCACGCGCAAACCTCAACCAAAACGCCACTCTATAGCCACAAATAATGCTCAGAACAGCACCTAACTTCATCAACAGTACATATAGGGTCCTAGTCATAGCACTAGCCACCAAACATCTTTTTAACTTTGGCTAATTTCTTTAGCAAAGAGACTAAACACAACTCATCTACTCTCTTCCAGCAGCCGCTTGTTTGTAGCGAGTACTTGGGCCAGTCCATTAAGGACTACAGTGGAGTTTCGCAGCTCAAGGAAGAACATTTATGATCATTTCTTCATGGAAATGCAATCAGACCGAGACACTAAGGCAGAAGAACTACTGCAGTGCAAAATGATTAATATGGTGATTATTACTTCAAGAAAATGATAAAGTAATGATCATTAATGTTCTTCCTTGAGCTGCGGCACCCCACTGTAGTCCGTAATGGACTGGCCTAAGGTCTCGCTACATTATCGTTTTAGTCCCAGATCCAGTGTTTCCTCATTTCTTTTAACTCAAGATGGCGTTTCCTCAGTCATTTGTGGGAAGTTGAAGAGTCCTCACCTGGCCGTTTGTGTTTAATGGGGGTTGGGAGGGTGGGTGGGGTTTGGTATTTGTATTTTTATTTACTTTGTTTTTAATATCCAGCTTGAATGGACAGCACTTTGAGCTACATTATATGTATGAAAAGTGCTTTACAAATAAAGTCTGATTGATTGATTGTGTTTAGTCTCTTTGCTAGGCGGTTAATTGATACCAGCGTCATGGCGTCAAAAACAGACATGACTCTGAAGTGGAAGTCACCACATGGACTCAAAATCCCGTCCAAAAATTTAATGAAGCAGTGATCTAAAAAATTCTGAAGACTTCTCAGAGTCTGAGGCAAAGTGGTCGACTTTTTCTCGGTCTGATGAATTGGAGATTCACAGAATCCTCTGGACTATAATTGATTGCAAACCATTAAAATATGTTTCATTTACATTTTAGTGTCAAAAGTGTCCTTACATTCTTATTGGAATTCCTGGACATGTTTTATGAACTTTCTCCAAACTTTTTTTGGAGTTGCGGTTGTTTTTCCCTCGTCTTTGACTGTATTAGACTAAAATCTGGTCAGACTCCAGGAGCTGTGGAAAAAAACAAACTTCTCTAATTGTGTAATCAGATGATTGTTGTTGAATTTAAAAGGCTGTTTTGCTTTTCTTCTCTATCTTGTTGTTAATATAATTCAGTAATGATGGAAAAACTTCCCCGTGTCCTATTTTTGATCATAATTAGGGGAAATGGAAATGAGCGGCAGTGTTTTTTCCACACGTGCCAAGATGTTTTCCTGTTTTCTGGGGCTGCGTATTGTCAAATTCATTTTCCATATTTTTCCAGACATTCCTGCTCCCGAGCAGGAGCCCCCCGACTAATAAAAGGTTTTCCTCTCTGCCGTTCGGTCCTCTCCTCGCTGCAGACGAGTAGGTCTGGGCAGGATGTACGCACGTCTGTGTGAACCCAATACAGAAGGAAGGGGGGGGCGACGCAGAGACCTGCGTCATGCAGCCCACATATGGTATAGTATTATTTAGCGAGGGGAGAAGCGTTCTGTGGCATGATGCCTGCCAGAGGAACATGTTGTTCTCATACCTGCCTCAGGGACCTGCATCTAAATTTGTCCAGAGTTATTTAGTGGCGTCTTCCCTCAGGAGAGCGCTCAAACCAGTGTAACCAGTTAGTGAAAAAGGAGCAGAAGGAGAGCGTTTCTCCCTCTGAATATTGAATTTCCCTCTTTATGTGTTTTTCCATACATTAAACAGAAGTTATTTTCCACTTTGCTCCCATTTGGCAGCCCTCGTCTTCAGTACCTGTCAACAAGCCAAAGAACCGCTTGCATCGGAGGCTGTCTCGAACCAGCAGCGTATAGGCCACGCCCCCGCTGCTTCCGCCGCCAAACTCCATATGTATGCTCTGGGACCCGAGCCCCACTTCCAGGTAGCTGAGCTCCATGATTGGGTGGCTGTCCCTCTTCTGCAGCCAATCGGAGAGCTGGCCTCTGCTGGGAGGAGAGTGCAGAAAAAGGAGAAGTGACTTTAGGATGGATTTAAAGGGTTTTCTCGACGCTGGAGGTGTGTTTGTTAAAGCCAGAGTTTACTCAGCACAATCCACGGTCGTAAATTATGTAATCCCTCATTTTTTACGGATTAACTTCAGAATAAAAGCTTCCTACGCGCCGCCAAGAACAAGAAAAGACAGCTCCTGCGGTCTGACTTTTCATCCCAGCGTGGGCTCCTGTCTCAGGGAACCGGGGTCTTGTTTTGATGAGGGGAGGGAAGCTTTGGTAACAGAGGGGAGAAAAACTAATAAAAGGGGCTAAAAACTCGCAGGAGGAGAAACAGGAGAGACTCTACGGTCTGCACAGACACCGAAGGGTCAATGTGTTCTCAAGATGTGACCCAGAAACCTGCGCAGGTTATGCAATGTAATCCGCATCCTAAACGGAGGGTGTGGGGCGAGACGCTCGCAGCATTCAAATCATAATTGTAGACTGCAGGACGGCGCCCCCTTTTGAATCCACATCAGGAGGATTTGATTACTCCTTTCATACGCTGGCATGTGGAGCGGAAATATCTCAGCGACCTGGTTTATACTTTCAAGTCGTGTTTGAAAAGTCAGACATTCGTCCACCTGCAGGAATCGGATTCTTCTTCTTCTGAAACTCTGTACTTTCTCTGATATTGACCTTAAAACTGACCCAAATAACAAGACAATGTCTCGTTTGAGGACAAATCAAACCTAATGGAACCAGAATAAAAATGGAAACCCACATATTTGTATCTCTGCGTTGTGTATTTCTCTAAATTTACTCATAAATCCTCTTTTTATGGCAAAAAAGCTCCTCGATGTTGCAGAAACATTCCGATAAAATCTGCCGGTCTCACGAAGCGAGTGGATTTTACAGCTAAATTTTATATAACACTGTTATATTTCAACAAAATGATCTCATACACTAACCTGAAAATCAAATTAAGTTTAAAAGAAGCTGATTTCATGCAAAACTGTTCTATATTTTGTATTTCTGTTCTTTGAGTAACTGTTACGTGTGTCTCTTGCCTCTCAATGGACCTTAACGAGTCAGCTGACAGCAAATACAGCCTCTTATTGGTCAAGCCTCTGTCTAGCATAGTCAGCTAACAACTTAAGTTACACAATTTCTTTAAATTTTACTCCGAAATCCTCTCTTTATAGCAGAAAAGCTCCTCGTTGTTGCAGAAACATTCAAATATATATATAACTGGAAATCTGCCGGTCTCACGAAGGGAGTGGATTTTACAGCTTAACTTTAAATAACACTGTATTATTTTAGCAAAATGATCTCATACACTAACCTGAAAATCAAATTAAGTTTAAAAGAAGCTGATTTCATGCAAAACTGTTCTATATTTTGTATTTCTGTGCTTTGAGAAACTGTTACGTGAGTCTCTTGCCTCTTAATGGACCTTAATGAGCCAGCTGACAGCAAATACAGCTTCTAATTGGTCAAGCCTCTGTCTCGCATTGTTAGCTAACAACTTAAGTTACACTGTTTCTTTAAATTTTACACATAAATCTTCTCTTTGGCCCTGTGGATGTTGCAGAAACTTCCGGGTTTTTTTCCCGTAAAAGTTGTCTGCCTCACGAACTGAGTAGATTTTACAGTCCCAGTTGTTTTTCCCCTCACATTGCTGTTTTTTTTCCTCTTTCTTTGGTTGGTGTATTTAAGTGTATTTTAGTGTTATGTTGGGGTAACGTTGGGGTATTGGAGTGAGGGGGTTGGGGCTAAAATCAGTGTCCGGGACCTTATTAGGAGTATGTTTCAGACCATTTGGAGTCAATTGGTACAAAAATTTTAGGAAAAATGTTGAAAAAAAATTATAAGTATTATGGTTACGTTGGGGTAATGTTGCAGTTAGGGTTAGGGGGTTAGGGTTAGGGTTTGGGTTATGGGCCCAACAAGCCAGTAATCAAACACTCAAAGTTCCTTTACATTCTGGCCTTGAAAATCTCAAACAAAACATAAAATAAGAAAGATTTGAGAGTTCCTGCAGGCCTGAAAGAAAGTCCCAGTTAACTCATCAGACATCATCATACTGAACGTGTTCATTTCCACATCCTGCAGAGTTGCTCGACTCACCGTGTTTCTGGCATCAACTCCAAGAAGTAGATCCTTTTGTTGGACACCACCAGCAGAGAGGGGACCTCCCCCGGTTCCCCGAATTTGACAGCTGACATCTAAAAAGCACAAAGAAGAAGAAGCACAACATAAATAAGAGGAGAGTTTACTGTCTGCTTGAAATATTTGATAAAAAAAAGTGGATTTATATGAGCGCTGTCCTCCTCTGGGGATGTTGCCTCATCGTGAACATCGTGCACTCGCACCAGTTTATTAGTTTCAGGCTCTAAATCAAACCGTTGCATCAAGGTCTTGCTTTATTTCCTCCAGAACAACAAGCGGAAAAACAAACGAGTGCAACAGCGAGGGGAGCTGTCGCTGGATAAATAAACCAGACGAAGATGAATGAAGCTGGACCTCCTGTTTCCAGCTGTTGCACCCCGTCTCATTCCGCTCGCCGCTCCTCGTCCAGGTGTCCTACAGAGACGAGCGATGGCCCGCTGACATGAGGGATGCAGGGAGATTTGGGGAGCTGAATGGGCTCAGAGAGAAAACCGCAGCTGGAGTGTTATAGGTCTTAAAGTTGTCACTAGTTATTACGCTGCAGTCTTTTAGTCATGAGGGAGATGCGTTTAAAGACCGCAGTAAACCGCAGTAACAAAAGAAACAATAACAGCAACATGAAAACAATGTGCTGCTAAATTTGAGCGATCAGTCACAGGCTGCTGTCAAAGAGAGAAATACTGCCGAGTCTGGTAATAATACGCTTTTAATAATAACTCCAGAGGAGAATCAAAGGCCCTGAAAATCTCCTTTTTATGGGCTTCTTACTAAGAATAAAGAAGTCCTCCATGAAAAGAGCGTTTTCTGCCAAAGTCTGTGCACTTCTGGTTATTTTTGATGCTAAATTCATAATTCTGTCCTGTCTCATTCTGTTCTGTAATTATGGAGGCTCGGAGACGTCACATGATCAAAGACCAATCAGATTTCAGCAACTTTGAAACGAACTATAAAAACTTCAAGGTTTCAAGGACCTCACATCAAAATCTGAAATCTAACAATCACAGGACTCAAAGTTCGGCTCTGCGTTATATGACATTAAAGAAATACATGTGGGTAAAAGGAGGATAGTAAAAAAAAAAAAAAGAAAAAAGTGGGGAAAAAGAAAAATATGAAGTGCAAAAAAAGAAATGAAACAGAAAAAACAAAGTAAAAAAACGGGAAATATGAAGGAAATAATAATCAGTGATAACAGGAAGGAAAGAATAAAATAATAAAAAGAAAAAAAGGCAAGAAAAAAGAGAAGAGGAAAAAAGGGAAAAAAGAAATGCAAGAAAAAAGAGATAAAACAGAAAAAATAAAAGATAAAGTGAAAAAAAACGGGAAAAATAAAGGAAAAAATAATCAATGATAATAAGAAGGAGAGAAAAAAAGGGAAAAAAAGAAGAAAGGTAAGAAAAGGAAAAAAAGAAGAACAAAGAAATAAAAAAGAGGAAAAAAAATGAAAGGAAAAAAGGCAAGAAAAGAAAAGGGAGAGGAAAAAAGGAAAAAGAGGAAAAAATTTGAAAAAGGATTAAAAAAGACAAAAGAAGAAAATGAATTGACATGAAAACGAGAAAATTGGAGAAAAAAGGAACAAATAAAGCAATAATTAAATGTACAAAAAAGGTAAAGTAGAAAACAAAGAGAACAAAAAGGAAAATGAAAAAAAAAAACAGAAATGCAAGAAAAAAAAGAAATAAAATAGAAAAAAAAGAAGTGAAAAAAAAACAGGAAAAATAAAATAAAAAATAATTGATGATAAGAAGGAAAGAAAAAAGGAATAAAAGAATAAAAAGAAAAAAGACAAGAAAAAGAAAAAAAGAGAAAAAAGAAAGAAAAACGGGGAAAATTTTGAAAAAGGATTAAAAAAGATGAAAGGAGAAAATGAGAAAATTAAATGGTTTTGTTTTGTGTTTTTGTTAAATTTTGCTAACAATAACAGACAATGCCACAACTTCTTTAAGTGAAAACTAAAATTTTTATTTTTTGTGTATATTTTTTCTAGATTCATTGTTGGGCTTTTTGGGCTTCAGAAAAAGAGTGCGGTTTTTATTTAAAAATCTGCTGAAATAGTTAAATCCATGATTTGATTTTGGGGTTTTCAGTGGGACCAGCTCTCACCCGCTCAGTTTTGTACTTTTGCCTCCATATAGAACCACTTTTAACACACAGGTAGCTCTTTTTTACACACCTTTAAGAACGAGTGAAGTTGCTCTTCTTCCTCAAAGACCTCCACATCCAGGAAGAGCTGCAGCCGATGGTCCACCGCGTTGTAGTCCTCTGTCAGGAGGTCCAATCCGTCTACGGAGACATCAACAGTCAGTTAGCCTCTCTATATTTTAATTAATAGCTATAATAGACCTCGGAACGGCGATAGAGGTCGTATTAACGCTGATTAATGGTTACAGAGAGTCAGAAATGACAGGGCCGGACCTGCAGAGCCAAAACAAACATGTTTGTAGTAAAAAAAAAAGAGATTGGAGAGGTGAAACAGACAGAAGACAAAGCACTTTTAATAAAGAGGGAAATTCAGACCCTGATCCACAACAATGGGAGCACTGTGCCACAGAGAAAAAGCACAATACCCTCAGTCTAGTCAGTGTTTTCAGATGAGTTTGAGCTGTCTCCAGCGTGAGACTGCGGTTTCACGGGGACAGATGACAAGCCGTTGGCACTGCAGCTACAGTACATTTAAAAAAAAAAAGACGCAGAAAGCTATTATTACGACTCGGGCCGTCCCTCTCTCGGGCTTTCATTCCTCTCCCATCACTTCCAGTAATGACTCCAATCTGTCCTGTTGCACTTTTAGCATGCGGTTCGTCTAAAAATGGCAGGCAGATGTTTGGTGAGGAGCTCGGATGCGGTCGCACAGACACAGAGAGCTTCCTCACGTCTGTAATAGATCCAGTTTTTCTTCACTTTTGATGCAGATTTCAGCAAATCTTAAGAGCAGACTAAACCTTTATAAAGCTGGTGTTTTACAGCGTCTGAATTAACTCATGATTTATCACTTATTTCCACCGCAGCTCAGGCTTTCCTCCAATCAGCCTCCTTTCCTGGCTGAAAAATCAGATTTTTATGCTCCTTAAGTTGTCATTTTGTTGGATCGTGCTGCTAAAATGTGACAGATTTCTGATTTATGCCACTTTAAATCAAAACTATGAAGTTTGCCTGATCTTCAGGAAGTCAATTTGGGGTATTTGTCATATTTTTCAGTTTGGAGCTGCTTTTCTGCAGCTTTTTTTCATATTTGTCGTACCCTCTAATTGCACACTTGGAGTTATTTCAGTCTGTGAATAATAATTAAAGGGCAGAGAAGTAGAATCAGCTGTCTCCTCTCAGTCAGAGGATGCCGGGGTGGATGGAAATGCCACAGTGGGAGTTTGGCCGTTTAAAAATGGAGGTTCGGCAGAATTTAACATGATCAAAACTCAGCAATACAAGCTGTTTAATCAGACTCTTAAAGAGGCATTAGAGGGGAGACAGGGGGGAATGTGAGGGGGGGAGAAACAGCAGAGTTAGAAGGGAGGTAGAGCATACAGAAAAAAAATCAAAATTTAAATAAATGGCAATTTTTTTTTTAAATTAAGCAAGTAAAACTGAAATAAAATCACCAAAAAATAAGACACAAGTCATAAATAAACTAATAAACCCAAAAAACAAAAGTCTGATTAGAACGCTAAGAATCGATATTATCATAAATACTAAAATCATAATTTTTTTTTCTAGATTATGACCCTCATGACAGGCACAAAAACAAACAAAATTTTTGCCCCCCCCCCCCCCCAAAAAAAAAAAACAAAAAAAACTTTCATGAATAAAAAAAGACCAAAAAAAAAAAAACACTCGGTAGCACCCCCTTCTGATTATCAGCTCTGGGAGTTTTTCATTGGACATTATTATTATTATTATTATCAAAATCATCATTGTCGTTATTATTATACTTATAATCATCTTTATCATCATTATTATTAACATCATCATCATAATAATTATCATCATCATTATTATTATTATCATTATCATCTTTATTGTTAATATTATCATCATCATAATCACTTTTATCATCATTATTATCATGATCATCATCATAATTATCATCATCATTATTATTATTACCATTATCATCTTTATCATCAATATTATCATCATCATAATCACTATTATCAGCATCATTATTATCCTCATCATTATCATCATTATCATCATCATCATCATTATTATCATTATCACCTTTATCATCATTTTTATTATCTTTATTATCACTATTATCATCATCATTATCATAATTATCATCATCATCATTCTTTTTATCATGATCATCTTTATCATCATTATTTTCATCATCATCACCTTTATCATCATCATGGGGGGAGGTAGAGCGTACAGCCTGACCCTTCACAAACGATTATCTACTCTTCTTTTAAAGGCTTTTAATCAAACTCACCAATCAGGTTGGTTCTTCCCGCCTGCTGTGCTGGGACCTGAGGTGGAGTGGCTCCTGAAGCGTCATAGTGGTAGCTCCCGGCCAGCTCGTCTTTATTTTGATTCTCTATGTTGTAAAAAGCGCTGGAGCTGGAGGTGTCGCCCTGCTCGTCCCCGATGTAGAAGGTGCTTCCCTGCGCGGTGACGAAGGTTTGATCTTCTGTGTTCGCTTCGAGCGTGGGGCTGCTGCTCTTGCTGCTGGAGTTTGTGAGATTCTCCTAACATTGATAAAAGCAGAACGGGTGAGATTTTGAGTTGAAAATATTGGAAATGATCACAGAAAAGATGATGAGTTAGAACCTTATTGAGGCTCGGGAAGCTCTGGTTCAAATCCAGGTGATCGTCCTCGCTGTCCGGCCTGGAGGAGTTTCGGATCGGGGTGCTGGTGTGGGGGGCCGATTGGCTGGCGAGCTGGACCACATGGTCACTACCACAGTCTGGACAAATATTACTGCTGCCTAAAATACAATAAAATGAGTGTGGGAAGTTATTTCAAAAGTACTCCACAGCTTTAAGACCACCATCATGGAATAAAAGTGCTCCCCCTAAAGGTCTGACTTCATAACTGCCAGTACAATGTTTTTATTTCCTTGTAGCCATGACGATATTTGACCTGTTAGTTAAATTCAAGTGAATTTTGAAGTAAGTTGAAGTAATTATAAGATATAAAATACACATGTAGGGCAAAGATGATACATGATAACACAACAATCAAGAAATCAATCAATAATTTTAGTAAAATGAAAAAAGTTAGAAATAAAATAAAAAGACATTTGATACTGAAAGAAAGATGACAGTTTTGCTACCTCAAATTAAAACGAGGATAATCAATTATTGCAAGAAAAACAAAAATCTCAAATTATTTCACAAAGAATGGTTAAAAAATGAATAAAGAATTATAAAATTAAGAATAAGGGTGATATAAACCTCATAGCAGAATTCAATGAAATAAAATAAACAAAAATTTTCTAAATTAAAATAAAAGAAAAATAAAAGAAAAAAATTTAAATCCGAATCAATGAAATTTTTGGAAAAACTTTAAGAAATTGAAACAGAGAAAAAAAATATACCCAAAATAACCCAACAAAATGAGAAAAAAAACACAAATTAAATAAAAAAATAAATGAATAAACCAAAATAAAATTTAATTTGAAACATAGACATCCTTTACTTCAAAAATAATCATGAAAAAATCAACAAAATAAAAGTTTAGTAAAAATTAACCTAGGAATAAAACATACAGGCAAAAATGACATAAATCTGATGAAAATGTCTGAATAATTATTGAAAAACAAGCTTACAAAAAAAAAAATAAACAAAAGACAAAAATACAAAGTCTGAATTTCAAAAAACTTGAATATGAGATAATGCATTATAAATAAATGAACTGTTTATAAAATATAACAGTCAGGCAAAAACTTCAAACACAAATTCTTTTATTTAAAAAATAAGACAATTATTAATAAAAAATACAGATTTTAACCTTTATAGAAAATTATAAGGATTATTTTTTCTTTTCATTATTTACTGCATCTTTGTAAATTACCTTAAAAAAAGGAAACTTTAAACTGAATAAGCTGAAATATATGTGGTAATATTTTGTTTTTTATGTGATATTTTAGAGGCTTCCTGTTTAAAACCCCATTTTTAAGTGTTTTATTGTGATTTACTGAGTAAAATTAAAGATGGATGGAGCTGCTTTAAACGTTATATTTACTTCTGTCTGCTGAGGATCATGAGGAGAGTCAAAGACAGCAAACATGCATTCCTTTATTTCTGACAGGTTTCTTTGTCTTCCTTGTGTCTCCAGGTCATAAATTTCTGTCCCCCGCAGGCAAACAAACCTCTAAGTTCAGACACGCGTGTGTGAAAAAGGTATTTATTGCCTTAAATCTCCGCTGAGCTGCAGACTAAGCACACAAACAAAAGGCGCATGGTTGCCCTGGAACATTTGAAGGAGTGTGTGCAGGCTGCAGCAGGTCTTAATGTCGGGTCTGGTGGAAAGGAGAGGGAGCGGGACTCTGCTATCTGTCTGATTATACAGGTGGGAATCCAGTAAAGAGAGGGGAGATAACTGCTGAGATGTCTCCCTTGGGTTCATCTGGGAGCAGGAGTTTGTTTTGGGAAAATATGCAGACGAGGGTGATAAGTGAGGAGATGATGACGAACGTGAAGTTTTTATTCAGCACGCCCGCTGAAACGTGACCTCCGAAGAGGTTAAAAGCATCAGAAAACAGGAAGAAGAGCGGTAACAGCTCGAAAATACATGTGGTGTTTGGATTTTTAAGGATATTTAAGAGAACGTGAGTCATCAGAGGCGTGCGTGACTCCCTATGAGGGATGAATCAGAAAAAGCCTGCTCGGGTTTAAGGCTGCGGCGTGTGTGGGACTGTTTGAAATCCACAGATGACAGATTGAGATATAAACTTAAGCCAAACATCACATCGCTCGGGCAACGCGCGCACCCACAAGCCCCGCTCGCAGGTCATTTTTGCATGTTGGACGCTCTTTATTTTGCTCTTTTCTGAGATTTTTAAACAGATTTTATTTTATTTGGAGTCGACTTTTAACATGTGGTCACATCAAACGCTGGTCATTGTTTAAACTTTTAAATTTAATCCCAAAACTTTAATGAAAAGTGGATTTTTTGGTGGAGTTTTCTGCATGTCTGCTGTCTTGAGTTTGTTGAATTTTCCTTTCGTCAGGTTTTCCTTTCTTTCTTTTGTTCCTTTAAAATCCACCAAGTTTACATACGAGGAGAATGGAAGTGTACACATTACATAAGCGTCTGCCTGTCTCTATCCGTCCACACTTAAGGTAAACAGTAAATTCCTCCTTCATCCCTCTTACCTTTGCTATCATCATCCCTGCTCCTCCCTTCTGCCGCCGCCTCCTCCTCGGCGACCCCTCCCTGGAGCGTGAACTCTGACCTGCAGCGGAGGCACTGCAGGCGGATGCAGGAGTTGGGGCGTAGCTCAGAGTCGCGGCGCTGATTTTCCTCCGCCACTTGAGACAGAACATCCGTCAGAGCCTGGTAGAAAAAGACAAAAAATTAAGTTTTTATTCCTAAGAATGAACTTTTTAAACCACAGTTTGGGAAAAACTGTTTCTGGATGAGATTTTGAGCCTGTGCAGGGATTTCCACTACAGAGCTGCGAGGCTGTTGTAACTATATTTCATGCGCAACTCAAACTGCTATGTCAGAGTTAGCTATAATGATGATCTGCTCAATAGATTTTGGGCAGAAGGTCTAAAATCATTATTATTAATGTAATTTTTATTATTATTATTCGGACCCAAGTCGACACTGCGGGGCAGCAGGAGAGAGTCCTTTAAGAATTATTTAATATTGTTTGTCCCACTTTTTCAACATTATGACCCTCTAGACAGGCCCAAAAACAAACAAAATTGTTGCCCGGCAAAAACATGTTCATGAATAGAAAAAGAGAAAAAAAAACATCCGGTAGCGCCCCCTTCTGATTATCATGACCTGAAAGTTTTCCTTAGGACAAGCTCTCCAGGATTTTCATTATTATTATTATTATTATTATTATTATTATTATCATCATTAACAGTATAATTATTCATATTCTTATTATTTATATAATCAATATTATCATTATCATTAGTATTATTATAATTATCATTATTATCATTGTAATAATAATACACATAATATTATTATCATCATTATCATTATCATCATCAGAATCATGATCATCAGAATCATTATCATTATAATCATCATCATTATTGTCATCGTCACTATCATAATAATAATCATCATCATCATTATAATTATCATCATCATCATCATCATCATTATCCTCATTATCTTCATATTATTATCATCATCATTATGATCATTATCAATATCGTCATTATCATCAATATTTAATCATCATTATTATCATCATCATTATCCTCATTATTATCTTCATCATCATCATCATCATCATCATTATCATCATCATCATGATCTTCATCACCATCATTATTATCATTATCAGCAGAATTATCATCATTACCATCATTATCTTCATCATTATTATCTTCTTCATCATCATTATCCCTATTATTATCATCCACATTATCATAACTCTAACCTACATTGGTTGATCTCTGTTCACAGACGATGGTTTCTAGCTCTGATTTTGAATCTATGCGGTGACCTCCACTACAGAGTCTCACCTGTTTTAAATGCAGTACCTTCTCAGGGCCTAAAACTCATTTGGAGCAGATTTTCTAGATCTTTTATCGATTTTATGAACATTTATCAGTCTTTCACAGAGTGTTTTCATACATTGTAATTTTAAGCTACATAGTAGGGAGATGTTTTTTCAGGTGTTTTGTCGCTCCTCTTCCAGATCATGTTGTTTTTGCACTTTTTTCAAAAGAAACCAGAGCTTCAACCTCCTTAAAGTTAAAAAAGTCACATTTCATGGGTTTGCATCTCAGCTGGCCCTGTAAAGAGTTGAGGTGTTTATGGCGCTTGGATTCCCATCACTTCAGCTATGCATGTGTTTATAAAACCTAATTCACAAGTCCAACTCTGCTCACCACAAACTTTGAAAAAAGTCACATACTGGAATCGGTGTCAGCTCTCCGTGTTAAAATTAAATTTGGCACAGTTCTGACGTTACACAATGAGTGGAGACCAAAATTGTAAACAAGGCGATAAACATGGTACAGAATGTGCTGCTGCTCGCTGACGTCAGGGTTAAAAAAAACACAACAAGGAGAGGAGAGGGCGGCCGCAGAGCATGACCAGACACATCCTAGAAGTCGGAGGGTTTCATCCTCACTGAGTCACGTGTTTTGATTCGCCAGTTTGAGCCTCTTGTGTCATAAATGTGTGGATTTCAGTGAGTCATCAGATCAAAATCTAATTCTTGTGAAAGCGACATGTGGGGGTCATTTACCTGCAGAGCCTCCTGCGGGTCTTCATCCAGCAGCACGTAGCGTCTCCGTCTCTTCTCCCTGCTGATGTAGTCGAACTGGAGCTCCACGGCTGGAAGCATCTCCTCTGTCTCCTGAGAGGAGGAAGCAGATTCAACTCTCAGTGAAATATATATGATTAACATGCTCTATAAGGTCAATAAAGATCAAGTTAACACACGTTTATATTCTATAATCCATTATTTTTCACCCTTTTTTTACTCCACTCTATTTCATTCTGTTTCTGTGTGTTTTGACAAAGGATTAGCACCAAACTGAGAAGAAAAAAAATGAGATTTTGAGAATAAAGAGAGAGAAGAAAGAAGTAAATTGTGATTAAAACAAGGTATATATGTCATAGGTCATGAATGTACAGCACAAGAGTCATACATTTACTCATGTTAAGTTGTAAAATTAACAAGAATTAAGTTTTAAATTGATACTAATGTTGGAATAGCAAGAGATGATGAATCCAGATGTAAAATAAAATAATCTAGAGAAGAAAACATCCATTTGAAACTCAAACTTCTTAAAACCCCTATACAAGATGATTTAAATGTAAAGTGTTGCAGTTTTATCCCCTAAAATTTATGATTTACACTCAAAAAATTGACAATGTCACTCTTGTAAAAAGAAATTAATATTTTTACATGCAAAATTGACTTTTTTTGATCTTATTTTGACATCTTTGATCCTGTTAGAATTACGAATGTGATGTTTATAAAATTTTCAACTTTGATCTCTAAAAATTTAGTTTTGACCTGTTAAATTTCCAACTTTAATATTGTAAAATTCAAAATTGATCTTGTAGTACTTCCAACTTTTATGTATAAACTTCCACCTCTTTAAATTTACACGTTTAATGTCTGAGTTTTACTTCTTTCTGTGAACGTCTTTGCTGATTTGTGTCTTTAGAGTCAACTGAAGAAAGAGTTTGTTTTTTTTTTCTACAAGACTTAAATTCTTGAGTTTGACAACCAGCCTGCTGATAATAGACTTTTAAAATAAGGACAGAGGAAGAGTCAGTCTGGTCCCTGATGGTCTTCTGGGTCTTGGTGGGTCATACAGAAGCAACTCCTTACTGGAACTAGTGATGCTTTCATCAACCAAAACCAAAAGCTTTATCAAATGACGAAATTGAGACGAGACGAAAAATAAATTGTGGTCTTGTAACGATAACAGCTAAATATATAATCCAATATTGTTGACGAATAAAAACAAGACTAAATGTGGAAAATGTGGAAATGGAAAAACACCCCGAATCTAAAAAGATGTCTGAAAGTCTTCCATGCTGAACTTGAGGGAAGGTAAAAACTAAAATGATACTTTGACACAAAGACTAAAACTAAAATGAAAACAGACCGCCAAAAACAACACTAAGTGGAGCTTTAAGAACAGTTTTAACATGTTTCATTCAGTCCCTCTCACCCCTCTGGTCCAGGCCGCCTCCGTGGTCTCCACCTTGGCCAGGCTGCCCAGCTCCAGCCGGCATCTCTCCTGTCCTCGCTGCATGTCCACCTCCAAAACCAGACCCTGCTTGACCCGCAGGAACACCTCCCTCTTCTTCCTCTTCCTCTCCCCGTCGTCGTCTCCTCCTCCTCCTCCTGCTTCCTCCTCTTCTTTATCGGACAGGACGCCCACCAGCAGAGGGAGACACAGGTCCACTGAGACACAGAAAAGAGAGACTCAGGGTTCGATTTGCCTTATTTTTATTCTGCAGCTACATGTTCTTGATGATTACCTCCTAGATCTTCCTCTTCCTCTTCTTCTTCTTTGGTGTCTTTACTCTCACTTCTTGCTGACTTCTGCGATTCTGGACTTGGTCGACCTGTATCAACGTCTCCCTGGCCGTCCACCACGCTCTCCTCCAACGTGGACTCCGTGAGCCGGGAGCTGTGGCCCGCCCACTGCAGCGTGGACTCCGTTTCTAAGTCTGCGTCTGACACGTCTAACTTGGGCTCGGAGGAGAGCAGCGGAGCGGGGAGGACCTCCAGGGACGACTGGAGCCCGTTGCTGGTGGAGGGACAGGCGGGGGCGTCGAAGCCGTTTTGGAGGGGCTGTTTGGCGTCTGAAGAAGGAGGGGCGCCGTCTAGATGGTGCTGGTACCTCAGCCAGTCCTCCCCCATCTGGTCTCTGAAGCTGGACATGCGCTCGATCTCCTGCTGGTGAGGAAGGACGATCCCTGGTGGGGAAACGGAGAATTACAGATGATCTGATCGAAGAAGATACGTTTAAAAATCTCATCTGAAGCTCACCCTCTGTGGAGGACAGCGGTCTGGACTCATAATCTGTATCGCTGGGCTCTGATATGCTCGCTCTGCGGACCTTCACCTTACTCTGCATCAGACAGAGAAAAAGAGAAATGATCACATGACTCCAAATCACATCCAAAAACCATTTCTGAGGAGGAGCCCATCCCTCACCCTGGATTTCTTCTTCCTCATGCGGGACACTCCCACCTCCCCGACGGACATGCTGTCGCTCAGCTCCCCGGCGCCGCTCGAAGCCTCCTGATTGGTCCGCTCAGGTGGTCTGGAGAGAGCAGGCGAAGGCTGCCCCTGGATGATCTTCTGACCTTGTTTTGGCAGAACCTGAGCGCCAGAGGAACAAAGAAGAAACATTATCTATATCTGCACAGATGCAATGCAGCAATAGATCCACCAGGGGGCAGACGCCATAACTCATGACTGTGTTTTCATTCACTTTAATGCACTTACTGATATTTCAGATGAAGATAGAGCGACACCATCAAGTTTGAGCTGAAAAGACACAAACAAGAATGAGATATTTGAAAAAAACACAAAAATACAAACTGTTCCTCATTTTTTCATCTTTTTCAACATAAACTGACAGTTTAACACTCGTGCTGAGTTAAAGCAGGTCAGTGAAGTGCTGTTTTTTTAGAATCACATCTCATTTTCCTCCTGTTTCTATTTGATCTACTTCTACATGCTGTTTCAGACCTTAAAGGGATATTCCGGCGTAAAATTAATTCAGAGTCAAACACACCCTAACACCGAGTTAGACAACCTCTGAGAGATGAATGTTGCCGATTGCTTGCTTCTCTAGTTATACCAACTTTAGTAACAACCGCACGATAGCAAACCAACAAAACCTCAACCAAAACGCCACAAATAATGCTCAGAACAGCACCCACTCTCTTCCAGCAGCCGCTTGTTTGTAGCGAGACCTCAGGCCAGTCCATTACGGGCTACAGCGGGGTTTCGCAGCTCAAGGAAGAACATTTATGATTGTTACTTTATCATTTTCTTGAGGTAATAATCATCATATTAATCATCTTGCACTGCAGACACAGTAGTTCTTCTGCCTTTGCGTCTCGGTCTGATTGCATTCCCACAAAGTAATAATCATAAATGTTCTTCCTTGAGCTGCGAAACTCCGCTGCAGCCCGTAATGGGCTGGCCCGAGGTCTCGCTGTGGCTATAAAGTGGTGTTTTGGTTGAGGTTTGTTTATGGCTCCTCAGACCGCTGTGTATTGCTACTAAAGTTGGTATAACTAGAAAAGCAAGCGGTCGGCAACATTCATCTCTCGAGGGGGAGTCTAACTCGGTGTAATGGGGTGTTTGACCCTAAATTAATCTTACACGGGAATATCCCTTAAACTTGACCTAGACGTCTCAAACAAATCTCCGTATTCAGTCCGTCTCGCTCTCAAGGTTACTCACTCTGAGGTTGGCGGCCTTCGGGGAGAGATGTCGGACTGTGCAGTTGCGGTGAGACTTCTGGAAGTAAAGCGGGTTTCCCTCTAAGTTCAACTGCAAGAAGGAAATACAGCAAGTTGATCTAACAGAGCAGATAATAACAGATCTTCTGCTCAGCAACATACGCCGCCATTTTCAAGGAAGAAGATTTGCATGTAAAATAAAGAGCTTAAACTCATTCTGCAGAGTTTGTGGGTGTCTGCGTCTGCTTACTGTTTTGAGGTTGTGCAAAAGGGACAGTGGCGCCAGCTGAGAGTGCTCCAACAGCAGGTTGTAGGCCAGGTCTAAGTGCTGCAGTGACGATAACTGCTCCACACCTGTGGAATCAGAGGGAAAAGGAAGACAGGGGGCGCTTTTCTCAGACTGTTGAGACAAACAGGCGAGTGTACGGTTATCAAACACGCCACAGGATCCAAGTCTGCTTTACCGTTGATCGTCTCCAGCTCGTTATTCCTGAGGATGAGTGTGAGGAGTTTGGCTCGGGCGCTCGGGCCGAGCGTTGGCGCCCTCTGCAGGCAGTTGTAGCCCAAGTTTAGGTGCTCCAGCTCACTCAGAGGCTGAGGAAAACAAAGAAGGAATCAAACTGAGGCAAAGATTCAAACGAGCAGGAGATGAAGAAGAAGAAGAAGAAGAATAGACACCTTTAGAAATTCTGCACACTCCTGAATCTTGTTGTGGCTCAAATCTAAAGACTTGAGGACGTTCAGTAAACTCTGTGAAAAAAACACAAAGGTGAAGATGAAGATGACGACACAGGATCACGCAGTAATGATGCAGAAATGTGTGTTTGTGCCGCTCTCACTAGTGACTGGTCAAGGCAGACGATGGAGTTGTAGCTGAAGTTGAGGGTGTGAAGCTCCAGCCAAGGCAGCGCGGAGCTGAGGTCGCCTCCGCAGAGAGAGAGCAGCTCCTGAGAGACAAAGTCCACCACATATTCATCTTTTTTTTTTAAGACAAAATGCGTGCTTTAAATGTGGAATAAAAACAGGAGCTGCACCTCCAGGGAGCTGAGACTCTTGGAACATGTGAAAACCTCCAGCTGGGAGTAAACTCCTCTGAGTCCCTCCAGGCAGTGAGGAGGGACTCGCTTCAGCTGGTGAGGAAGAGAGACGCAGAAACACGTTATTGAAGGTGATATTTGTCAGATTCAGGAAGAAGGAAGGAAGGAATAGATGGACTTTACCTCTAAACACTTTAGCGACTTGAAGGGGAAGATTTTCACCACAGATTGGAGTCTCTCTCCTGGAGGGTTGATGAGCTGGTTCAACAAAAAAATATAAAGAGTAAGAACTCGACTCGAGGGTGATATTAGATAACTACCATTAAACAACAAAAACCTCATTCTTCGCTGACCTTGAGGGAGATGGTCTTCTGCAGCACGTCAAACAGAAACTGCAGCTGCAGCAGCGAGGCCGTGTCCGCGGGGTGCGAGGGCAGAGCGAGGAAGCCGTGCGGCTGACTCCTGGACAGCAGGTACTGCTCGAACAGCCTGTTGAGCTGCTGCAGGGTGGTGGCCGGCAGCGTCAATGTGCTGCTGCCGTCCAGAACCAGGTCACCTGTGGATCAGAGAATATCAATATGACAATGACAGAGCACAAAAACATGTCCCAAATATAAAGTAATTCTATGAGTAAAAAAAACATTTTACCAAAAAAAAAAAAAAAATTCATAATACAAACAAAAATCTGTGGTTGTTACAAAAGTTACAAACAAAAAATTTATTAAATTAAATAAAATTTTAAAAATGTACAAAGAAAATTATTTTACCATCAGAAAATTTTTTGTGCAAAATAAAAAAAAATATTTCTAACCTTTAATAATATTCTTTACATAGTTTTTATATACAGGAACTTTTTTGTACTTTTTTGTGATGTTTTTGTGTTTAAAAAAACAATTCTGTGAACTCTTTTAACATTCCCCTTTACATGTTTTTCTTTTTTAATTCCTTTTTATATTTATCATTTATGAACATTTCCTTTTGTTGGAAAAATAGAAAAATATTCTATTAAAATGCAGAGAAAAAAGTTACAAACAAAAAATATATTCAATTAAATAACATTTAAAAATGTACAAAGTAAATTGTTTTACCACCAAAAACTTTTTTGTGCAAAATAAAAAAATATTCTACCTTTTAATAATATTCTTTATATTGTTCCTACATAAAGGAACGTTTGAGTACATTTTTGGGACTCAAAATTTATTTATTTATTTATTGTCATGAAATGTTTGTGCAGTGGACCTAAAGGGCCACCGTAGACATGACATCTCAGATCGAGATCAAAACAGATGAGACTTCAGCAACAAACCACGTTAAATAACTCATAGATCAGGTTGTTTAAAGAATTGATTGTCTGATTGTTTACACACACACTGACATGGAGCATCCTGTGGGTGTTTTGGATAAAAATGCAGCTAAAAAAACCTCCTGATTTCCACCTTTTTTTGACCAAATGTAACTCACCATCATTCCGGAGCAGGGCGGCCAGACTCTGAACGAGAGAGGACTGACCACACTGAGGGAGAGACATCCTGAAACAAAAAAATCACACCTGTATTTGTAATATTTAGTATTTTAATGTCATTGTAGTTCGCTGATCTAAACGAGCTCTCAGCTTCCTGGTAGCAAAAATAAAAATACTCACCTGTTCCGCCGCGACAGCCGCGAAAATCAGCAGCTAACATAAAGTTCCACTTCAACAGGTCAGTGAAGACACATACTGTTCATTTCAAATGAAGAAAAATCACATTTCAGCGGTATTTTGTTGATTTGGTAAAGCAGTGCACGGCGGTGTTGACATTTTGTCCGTCACATGACGGTTTGGCTAAGCTTCTACGGTGGCGCGGAGACACCAAAAAGGATGCTCACTCAAAGAAAAGCGAAGTGTCTCCTTAATGTTCGACGAAATAAACAAAAACGAAAGAAATTACCACTTTAAACTCTTTACTTTTCTTAATTAAAGTAAACATTAAGGTATAAAGTAATCTACTGAAACCGTAAATGAAGCACCCTATATTTTGGGGGCCTTTTCAGTGGAAAAAATGTAAACACAGTGCGCTATCGGTAATTTGCCTGATTAAAAAGGTACTTTACTACTTTTATTTAAATAGACATAAAGGCATAAAGTAATCTACTGAAACTGTAAATGATGTGCTGTTTTTATGCCCTTTCAAATCAAAACAGTGTTAAAAAATTTGGGGCCTTTTTAGTGGATAAAATGTAAACAAATTTCCCTATCAGTAATTTGCCTGATTTAAAAGGTACTTTCTTTATTAAAGTAAATATTAAGGCATAAAGTAATCTACTGAAACCCTAAATAAAGTCCTGTTTTTATGCCCTTTCAAGTCGAAAGAGCGTAAAAAATATTTTTGGGGCCTTTTCAGATGATAAAATGTAAACAAAGTGCCTCATCAGTAATTTGCCTGATTAAAAAGGTAAGAGTTTAAAATAGTCTGACTATGCAACTGACATCCAGAGTTAATGAGCACATTTTCTTACCCTTTTTTCATAGTAAAATGATTCTTGCACAAATTCAAAGCCCTGTTGAACATGTGTGTAAATGAGCCACTAGGTGGTGCCAAATAGCAGCCATTTTAGGCCTCCAGTGAGATGCACACAAAAATCTCCTATTTAGCCTCTGCAACCAGCAGTTCATACACTGAATACCTTTACACACTGGTAGACATAATTGTTTTATTCTTTTACACAACTCTGAGCAAAATAAATGTTTTTATTTCTCGGTTTAACTCGGATAAAACTCCAAGGTGAAAAAGAGGCACGCTTTTTTTTGTTTCCAGCTTTGAAGACCCAAGCAGTTCGGCGCAGGCTTCATGGTGGTGTGGTTTAAATAAATGCCAGCTGTTGAATTCACCAACTTTGAGTCTGAAAACACATCTGCTTTCTGGCATGTGCTGGGCAAACCGTATCCGAGTCATGGCACCAATAAAAACATAGCAGGGTGGCGAAGGAGTGTGTGCTTACTTTGCACGCTGCACAGAGTGGACTAATTTCTGGATAAGGCAGATTAAACCAAGTCTGATTCCAATTTGTGCTGCACTCGGAAAAAGTATACAGCCAATTTAGCAAACAGGTCTATTCTTAGCTCATTTTTAATGGTGGAAAGACGATTAAGTGGCCCCAAACTCTGACCTGATGCTATTGCAGTGTGTCAGAGTAATGAAATACTGACATCAGCAAATAAAAACTGCAACTTCTGGCCTCCAAAAACTGTAAACTGTCACATTAACCCATTTAGCGCATTAGTAACACACTTTTCAACGTGTCTTAATTTAGTTTCATTGGTGGGCATGTAATGTAGATACCTCACTGAGATGTGCATGACCAAACACAGAAAGAACTTTCCCTAAATTACACACGCATCACTTGTTGCTAGGCAGCAAACAAATACACTCCCATACAAAAACACACATAAGCATTTTTCCGTTCAGGGGTTGCGATGCGAGCGTTTCCATGTAAGGATTTCTGCACTTTAATTTGGTAAACATTTCCATTCAGTGAGATGTTGCACATTGCTGCTGTTGTTTTAACTGAGCATGCATGGGAGTCAGATAAAGGTACAAATAGACAGTTAAGCTGCTGATGTAAATGAACTTTTCACCCTTTCTGGTGCGCCTATTCATGATTGAAGTTTGACAAATTGATCAACAGCTTCAGCTGACAAGAGCCCAGTAGGAACTCAGTTTTGCCCCTTTAGTAACATGCATTTTGGAGTAAGAAAAGTTATATATTTGGCCTTAAAACACAAGGTCAAGGGGGTTTTAATGGACACTAGATATTGTATTGCGTTGCAACACACCAGGGGCATGTCCAGACTTTCTTGAATTGGGTGCAGCAGCCCCATAGGACTAAAAAAAATCAATTGCATTCATTTATATTGGCTAGATAATTCTACTTAAATTACTGATTTTAAAGCTACAGCTTGTACAAATAGTAATATTTACTTATTTTTGCAGTATTTTTTTCTGCAGTAGCACCTTGGGTGGCCAGGTTCAAGAGGGGCTAGTGCCACCCTGGTCGCCACTTTAGACACACTCCTGCATCTAACATGTATCTAACCTATATTAAACACATCAAAGTAGCATTAAGAGGTTTATGATACATTACGACCCTCTTAAAATTAAAAGAACAATAATATTTAAATTAAACAAGTAAAGCTCAAAAAAGAAAACTCTCAAAGTAGAACACCAAGAATTGAGAATTTATTTTGAATGAAACTAGTGAAAAAAATACAAAAACAAGAAAACTAAACCAGTTAATTAAAATGTGACCAAAGGACAAAGTTGGCTAACAAAGAAACATCAACTTTAATTACTGATTTTACAGCTACAGCTTGTACAAACAGTAATATGTACTTATTTTTTTTGCACTATTTAATAAGATTGAGTCAATTATAGTGCAAGATTTTGAAGAAAAACTCGGGTGGCCAGGTTCAAGAGGGGCCAGTGCCACCCTGGTCGCCTCTTTGGACACACTCCTGCATCGAACATGTATTAGCAGAGTAACTTATATTAAACACATCGAAGTAGCATTTAGAGGTTTATGATGTGTTACAACCTTAAACAATGCTAACAAAAGGAAACTCTCAAAGTTGAACAAGAATTTTGAGAATTTATTTTGGATGAAACTAGTGAATAACAAAACTAAACCAGTTAAACAAAATGTCAACAAAGGACAAAGTTGGCTAACAAAGAATTGTCTCATACAGAAGGAGTGACTTCAGGGAACTCAAAGGCCCAAAGTAAAAAACAAAAAAACCCAAATCTAACTCCAAAAAAACACCCCTTACCTGTTTGTATTAAAATCTAAATCCAATTCTAAACTCCCTGACTAGTCACGAAACAGGAGAAAACCAAGGTCAAACAAAAAATGGCAGAGATTCCCTTACCCTGCCTCAATAAGTTCTTGCAAAATAAACATACAATAAATCATGACTCAGGAGTGGAGCGAGAGAGAGACTGAAACTCTGGCTTGAGGATCCTTTGTAACCTCTCAGATGAGTCTGATCATCCTCAGGTGTGGCAGAATGGAGAGGGGGAGGTGTGGAAGGCCTGCAACATAAACACCCAAACAGAAGTAACCCCTGACATGATGCAAGATGCAAAGAAAGCAACTTAAAAACAACACGACTACCTTTAAACACCTCGAAGTCTGTGGACATATTTCTCAGTGATGCTAAATATAGGGGTCAAATAAACTCATCCCTTGCACGCAAACATGTGTGTCCTTGCTGCAGAAGCTCACATACTATCCGCGTCCTCGTCCAATCAGTGATCCCATACCTTCCTCTATCAATGTGGAGTTTATCCAGAGTTTCCACACAGAGGAAATTTAAGTAACTGACCTTGGTTGGGATTACTTTGCACACATGGCAACCCGTACTGCGGCCTGTTTGGGCCCTATTAGCCGTCTGCTTTTCCATGCATCGGTTTCAAAATGTGACATATGAGGTTCTGTGTGCAAACAGGCCTCCGGGCATCCTCCTGATTTACACCCATGGGACACAAGACAGCTTCAAATGCGCTCTTTCTGTCCCCAAATAGGATTAAATCAGCGTGCACCCACAAAACAAAATGAAATGCATTTATATCCGCGGGGTAGGGTTACACATCTTATTTCTGTCCTCTTGGATAAACACACACAGGGTTAATAGCGGCCTGTCAATGGGAAACATTGCTATATGTGCACAGTGGCATTACTGTACACAGGGGTATAAGTCGGTGAGTTTTAATTGAGTGTCAATGGACATGTCTGCCACAGCGGGGGAGGTCTTTCCATGTTAGGAACGCTCCGCACATAGTCCTTTTGTTTGTTTGTTTGTTTATAGATGCATTCTGGGAGTTTTGGGCGGGATGTGCTGATTGAAGAGAAACATGCGATATGTAAATGACTGCAGTCCAGGTCAGGGGGGTTTAATTTACAGCCTTATTCTGAGGAGAAGTTCAGTTTTCTGTCTATGAAACATGTTCGAGAACAAGAGGAGAAGAGTTTTTATGCATGAGAGGAAACAACTTTTTTACTGTTTGAGTGACCATATAAGGTCAAAGGTCAGCTCACCTGGAGGCGTATTAACAAAATGATAATACAAAACAATGATGGTGCAGAGCCGAATGAAACCCAGAGTACAATCCTGATGAATCATTTAACAGAAGCCAAAACCGTCATTCATACCAACAACCTGGAAAAAGTACGGCACGCCTGGAGTCCCAAAAAGCTTAAAGTCTTTGTACTGTGCACGCAAGATAATATCTTGTGTACAAAACATGACTAGCTTGTGGGAACGAGTCATTATTTCCATGCACAGGTTGATGTCCTGGGCATCCTATCTTGTGTGCACAAGATAACTCTTGGAAAACAATGAATTTATGTTGTGGTTGATGTTCTAGATTTACTAGTAAGTATCTTGTGCTGACAGGATAATATCTTGTGTGATCATGATATCTCTTGGTAAAAATTAATTTTTCTTGTGGTTGATGTTCTGGATTTACCAGTAGGTATCTTGCACTTACAAGATAACATCTTGTGTGTACATGATATCCCTTGAAAAAAATGTATCTTGTAGTTGATGTTCTGGATTTACTTGTTAGTATCTTGCGCTAACAAGATAATATCTTGTGTGATCATGATATCTCTTGGTAATAATGATTTTTTTCTTGTGGTTGAAGTTCAGGATTTACTAGCAAGTATCTTGCACTGACAAGATAATATCTTATGTACAGAAGTTAACATCTTATAACATCTTGTGCGTAGATTCTACGCACAATATATTTCTCTCAAGTCATGATCTTGTGTGCACAGTTTAATATCTTGTGCACACAAGATATTATCTCAGGCCCAAAATATACAAACCTTGTGGGAACACACGAAAGTCTTTGTGCCACAAGATAGCTTGCAAACACAAGATATTTTCTTGTGCTCACAAGATAAAAGCTTTTGCACATGATATAAGTATCTTGTGCACAAAGGTCATTATGTTGTGGGTCTTTGTTGCACTTGCAAGTTATTTACATTGGCATACAATATAGTTATCTTGTGTAAACAAGAGGCAATCTTGACTGCACATGCTGATATCTTGGGCTCCTGAATCAATACCTTTTCACTCAAGATAGTATCTTGTGAGAACAAGTTATAATCTTGGGTGTTTAAACTGAGTTCATGGGCTCCCAAATCAATACTCTGTGAGCTCAAGATATTATCTTGTGTGCATTATCCCAGGCCCAAAATATGCAAATCTTGTGGGAACAAGCTATAATCTTCGGCTTACATTGTGCCACAAGATAACTTGAAAACACAAGATATTTTCTTGTGCTCATAAGATAAACATAAGTATCTTGTGCACAAAGGTTATTATCTTGGGGGTCCTGCAAGATAATGACGCTGGCATTAAATCTTACAATCACAATCTTGAGTGCACAAGTTGATATCTTGAGCGTAGAAGTATTTATTCAGAAGCCCAAGATATCAACTTGTGCACGCAAGATTGTAATTGTAAGATTGTATGCCAGTGTAATTATCTTGTGCACACAGGATATTTTCTTGTGAGAACAAGTAATAATCTTGAGTGCATAAACCGAGTACTTTAGCTGTCAAACTTATATCCTGTGTGCTCAAGACATTATCTTGTGTGCATAGGTAAATATCTTGTGTGAACAAGTTATTTTCTAGTGCCTAAAATGTAATCATCCTGTGGGAATAGATTATTATCTTGTGAAGACATCAAATGTATATTGAGCACACAACATGATTATTTTTACCTCCTACAAGTCAAGATAATTACTTGTTCTTTCAGCATAATAACTTGTGCCAACAAGATAACTAACTTTCCTAAAAGATAAGGTTTATAAATAAACTATTATGAAGATTGAAAGAATAAAGGAACAAAAACAAACTGTTTTTTTTCTCTCTCTCCTGATAAAGTGTCATCTGAACATGATCCAGTCTGTGGCCCCAAGAGCAAACCTGGGAATTTGTAGGACCCAGCAGCCCTCGCAGCCCCCGGCTTCACCTGTTCGCATGCACATTTCTTCCCCTTTTCCCCCCACTTGGGATTGCCTTCTATCACCCCACGATAATGCCCACAGCCCTCATGCCTCTAACAATGCTGTCGTACGCGGGCTGCAGCTTGCTGATCCTCTCCGCGTCCCTCGCCGGCGCCTCCCTGGCCGAGATGGTGTTCCGCTGCCCGGGCTGCACCGCGGAGCGTCAGGCGCTGTGCCCGAAGCTCACCGAGGCTTGCGCGGAGATCGTGCGCGAACCGGGCTGCGGGTGCTGCCCCGTGTGCGCCCGGCAAGAGGGCGAGATGTGCGGCGTGTACACCCCGAGGTGCTCCACCGGTTTGCGGTGCTACCCTGCGCCCGACTCGGAGCTTCCCCTGGAGCAACTGGTGCAGGGCCAGGGCCAGTGCCGGCGCAAAGTGGACACCACCGAGACCAGCACCTTGAGCCAGGAGCAGCGGGAGCAAACCAGCGGTGAGTCGCTTCTCTAACTGGAAATGTGTTTTTTTCTTCTATCAATTTTTAATGAGTGTGTCTAGACTGCAGCGTGGAGAAGAGAGGAGAAATATTGCAGAGTCATGACGGCTGAGCCCAAATCTGTGTCAAACAGGGACTGTTGCTTCATGGGGAACTTCTCATAGTTTGCCTTTCTTGTGTGCATTGCATCATTTAAATCATGAGTACACATTTCCACTCCTGAAACATCGAAATAATCTGATTATTTCCCCTTTTGAACAAATGCAAACATGCAGTTTTCATGCCAGAGCGTGCAATCTCTTCACTTTCCTGCAGCATTGATCCTTTTTTGTGCTTATTGCATGACATTTCCACACTCTCCTGTGTTGCATAGACCTGCTCAAAGTCTTGTGAATCATCCCAGAGAGAAACAAAAGAGGAAAACTCCCTCAGCTATGCACCAAAACAGCTGCCCCTGCAGCTTTCCCCCCCAATATCTGCCTGTAAAAGTCTGGAACCAGGAGGTAAAAGTTGAACTTTCTGTGGGATGGGATGCAGAAAACAGCGTCGTATTGATGTTGACATTTCCACAGGGGAGAGGAGGGAGAAAAAAAAGAGAGAAAAGTACAGCAGGAGGAATGCTGCATTGATTGGGAAAAGTGGACTTCAAGCTTTGACTGTAACCTGCTATTGACAGGGTCTGAAAATAAGCTGTACGTCCACGCAGGAGGAGCACAATGAAGCTCCGTGTGGTGCGTGTTTGAACAAGGAAAGGTCACTAAGAAGAAGAAAAGCCAACAGCCTCATTAATCGGCTGAGAGTGGCTGGTGGAGCCGGCCGGAGTGTGATTTTATACACATTTACGAAATCCAGGCTTTGTCAGAGTTTACCTCCAGACCGACACGTGTTTGTCTTGGCTTTAGGGACGCGGACTAACCCCCTCGAGTGACCCTCTTTTTCTCTGCAAGACTCTCACATGTTCGCAAAAACAATCATCTTGATGATTAAACTCATTCGTGCAAACTTTTGCTCCCGATGAGTTTAGGAGTTACGTAAGAGCACAACAAGGCGAAACACGGATGTGTCGTGTGAAGACTTGCTCTAAAGACGGTAATTTGTTAGATGTCAATGATTTTTCTCTCCCTGCAGGTTTTTGCGTTCAGGTTGAAAGCTCTGCGGTGAAGTCAGAACGGTTAAAGCGAGTTTTGGATAAAAGCCTCGCTGTCTCAGATGGAAGAGTGATTTCTGACAAAGGCTGGGAGGCCTGAGCGAAGTGTGCAAAGTGTTTTCTAAAGCTTGAGAGGCCGCAGTGTTTCTTCTTTGAGGTTTGACACTTTTAAGATGATTTACGCAGCGAGGGATGGCTTTCTACTCACCTCTGCATCATTTATCTTCTCTGAATACATCGATAAAACTCTGAGCTGGTGCTACAGGTGGTTAGCGTCAGTTTTAGATCACCTATACTTGATTTTGAAATGAAGACTCAACACGAGATGAATGTTGCCTACTGCTTGCTTCTCTAGTTTTACCAACTTTAGTAACGACCGCAGTATAGTAATACGCAGCAGTCTACGTCTCCACACCTCAACCTAAACGTCACTCTATAGACAGGTTTCTTGTGTACAAACAATACTAGGTGTGCGCGCAACCATGGGGCAAAAGCCTGCTTCTGAGTGAACTGATGTCAATAAAGGTGCCGTATTGTTTGTAAGTTCTCCCTGACACAATTGCAATAAAATGTCATTTCATTGAAAAATCACTTCGTCTGTCATTGCATCAAAATCTGAAAAACACTTGCCGAAATATCCATGAATTTCACTCGATTTACCAGGTTGTGACGTTGTTTTAGATGTTTCTAATATCAGGAGCAGGGTTGTAATGTTTGCTGATTGTTTGTTTTTTCGTGAAGTTTACATCACAACAGCTGCTTGTCGTTTTCGTTCTCCGTTGACTCCACTAGAAGACAAATAAGAAATGTCCCACTTTCTGTACAGACTACAGCGGGGTGACGCAGCTCAAGGAAGAACATTTATGATCATTTCTTCAAGGAAATGCAATCAGACCGAGACACTAAGTCAGAAGAACAACCGCGTCTGCAGTGCAAAATGATTAATATGGTGATTATTACTTCAAGGAAATGATAAAGAAATGATCATAAATGTTCTTCCTTGAGCTGCGGCACCCCGCTGTAGTCTGTAATGGACTGGCCTGAGGTCTCCTTACAAACAAGCGGCTGCTGGAAGAGAGTAGGTGAGTTGTGTTTAGTCTCTTTGCTAAAGAAATTAGTCAAAGTTAAAAAGATGTTTGGTGTCTAGTACTATGTCTGTGACCCTATATGTCCTGTTGATGAAGTTAGGTGCTGTTCTGAGCATTATTAGTGGCTATAGAGTGGCGTTTTGGTTGAAGTTTGTTTATGGCTCCTCAGACCACTGTGTATTGCTATCGTGCGGTTGTTACTAAAGTTGGTATAACTACAGAAGCAAGCGGTCGGCAACATTCATCTCTGGAGGGGGTGTCTATCTCAGTGTTATGGTGTGTTTGACCTTAAATGAATTTTACGCCGGAATATCCCTTTAAACATGTTTATCTGACTTATAAACGCCATTCTCTAGCGTCCGACTGTAAGAGTAGAAGATAATTGGCTGCTGTGGTAATTAAAAAAGGTTTTCTGAGTTTGCACAAACTGCACAAAATCCAACGACAGCCGGAGTAAAAACCCCTCGAAAAAACAACTCACACAAAAGAGGTCAATGGTCAAAACCAGTTTGCCTTTGACCCCAGAATGAGAGAAACGACCTGCAGAAACACACCTGAAAGTCGACCTTTCACCGAACACTGGAGCCGGTTTCTCTTTTTCAAACATCCACAAACAAACTGCTGTCGAGTAAACGCTGCGGCCGTTCTTCTAAAAGTAGAACAATGGACTAATTTAGCTTTTTGTTTGCTTTTAATGAAACTCTGATTGGATTAAGTGTACTGGCACTGTGTTTGCTTATTTTGTTCCGCGGTCCAGACCGCAGGCCATTTTTGTTCACTGCTTTAAATTATCTAAGCACCTAATTACAGCATATTAGTAATTAGATATGGCTTCATAATTCTGCGAAAAATGGACTCGCTGAGAGTGCAGGAATCCTTTCTAGTTTCTGAGAATTCACAATCAACAAACTGACCGTTAAATGCATCTCAGTGTTTAATTCATCTCTGTGCAGCTGCAGGGATGTCTAAGGATCATGCATACATGGTTCCCCCACTTTAAGATGGACTTCTGAATTCCTGTGCACCCAGATTCCTCCTTTAAACATCCCACTCTTTTCAGCATCTGTCTTCCTACAGGAAAGTTTGGTATGAATTAAAGAAACAGGCTCAGTTTGTTCATTAAAAATGTATTTATTAGGGCTTGTAGTTGATAAAAATTGTCACCTGGACCTCAAACCTTCAAGTTCTGATCAAAACTGGTCACGATTTATTTGTGCATGAGATAATATATCTAGAAAAAAAACCAACAGGACTTGTGATGTGAATTTTCCTCTAAGTGTTAAAAAGTTAAGGTCAAGGGAAGGCATCACTGGTACCCGAATGTCTGAAAAAGTGCCCTCTTGGATGCTCCTGACGTAAATAAAACATTTTAAAATGCCCTCTCGTTGTCTAACATGGAAAATTCATGAAAATGGCTTCAGTAGGAACTATTGTAAAGGATGAAACATGAAAAAGTTCTCCTCAAGATGTCTGAAAGCATCTGAATGCACTTCAAAAGATTAAAAAAGCTGCCCTCTGGATACCCTCAGAGTATTAGAAAAAACAATGTAATGTTCTCTCTGGTAAAGTCAACATAAGAAATGCCCCCTGGATGCCCTTCTGGTGAATATTATGGGAAGTAGTGCTATCTGGATGTCCCTCAAGTTTCCAAAACTATGACAAAAACACTCCCTGGATTCACCTCCAGCACACAAATCATAAAAAGTGCCCCCTACATGCCCTACCAGTAAAAATATTCTGCCAAAAAATGCCATCAGGAGGTCAAAAGTCATGCAAAAAGCACCTTCTGCATGAAATTAATATATAAAAAGCAGCATGAATTTTCTCTCAGTAACTGTAACATAAAATAGAGCCCTCTGGATGCCCTCCGAGTGTTACTACATGTTGTAATGTGCTCTCCGGTGACTCTCTAGTAAAGTCAACATAAGAATTCCCTTCTGGATGCTCTTCCAGTAAAAATGTTATGTGAACTAGTGCTCTCTGGATGTCCCTGAAGTTTTCAAAACTATGACAAAAGACAACCTGGATTCACTTCCAGCACCCAAAACATTAAAAAGTGCCCCCTGGATGCCCTACCAGTAAATGTGTTTTGCCAAAAAATGCCATCAGGAAGTCAAAAGTCTAAAAAGAGCAGCATGAATGTTTTTCCAGTAGATGTAACATAAAATAGAGCCCTCCGGATGCTCTTCCATTGAATTGTATCCAAATTGTGCTATTTAGAAGCGACCCCTGGATGCCTTACAGGTATCTAAAATGTGTAAAATTGTGCCCTCTATGTCACAACAGGAAAAAGGACCCAAAATGCAGGCTAAAAAAAAGGATTTATTGAAAAGAACTCAATGAAAAGCAACAAAAACTTACTTCAAGTGTCCAACTGAAAAATCCCCAAAACACCAGGAAGTAGGGATTCACACATCAAGGAACATGGTGACTGGCAGAAATACACTTACACACAATGAACCAACCAGGACAGAGGGGAAGACAGAGACTATATACACACTGAGATACGAGCAACAGGTGAGGCTAACGAGACACAGGTGAAACTCATGAGTGATTAACAGAGGAGGGAAAACTAGGGAAGTAAAACCAGACTAGAAACACAAGGAATCAACTCCTACAAAATAAAACAGGAAATAAACATTGAAAACTGATCTAATGAATAAAACACAGAGAACAGGAGGGAAACAGAGTCAAAGACAAACTGGAAACTCACAAGACTGGAAGTGCCAACTGGATGCCTTTTAGTTAAAATAGTGCCATTTCAGTGTCCGACCAGTATCAAAAACAAGGAGAAAGCACCTGCCTGGTATATAAACATTAAAAAGTTCCTTCTAGATGCCCTTCCAGTGTATAAAACACATACGTTTAAAGTAAAATTAGGATTTCCATGCAGTATAAACAATAAAAAGTGTCATCCCTGTATATCAAATATTGAAAAGTGCTTACTGGATGCACTTCCATTAAAAATCCGTCCCTGATATTCTGTTCCTTGACCCAATTAAAGGCTCGTTGGTCCAGAGCGTAATTGTTCTAATGGGTTTTCATTGTATATGACCATGAAATGAAGGAACAAGTTGATTAATTTAACCCAACGTAGCCAAAAACTGGTTCCAATGGTTCATAAGATGCCGTTGGTTTGTTACGGTAGTAGAGAGGAAAGGGTTTCCACACCACGGTGTTATAAAAGTTGTTTTGGTCAGGTCCAGAAAAAGGGAAGTGGAAAACTCCCGTGCCATCTGGCTGCTGACATAACGCAGTTAGCTAACTAGGGGCATTCCTGTGTACCTGTGGGGGCATCCAGACAGGCCCTGCAGAGACTGAAATAGCTCTGAGATAATCCCCCCCCATCAATGTCTCCAAAAACAGGGGCATTTGGACCATCTCCCCCCGGCCAGGCGTCGACTTCACGTGTTCCTGTGCCAAGAATCTCCCCCGTGCCCATTGAGACCCAGAGGAACTTCCCACCCGACCTTTATTTGGTCATGAGTGATTTTTAACAATACAAACACTGTCTGAAATATTACCGACACTGGAGGGGGTGGGATGTGGGTGAGAGGGGAGGAAGACTCTGACCTGATTTTAAATATTACTCAGCAACGGACGTGGGCGATTGGGGGTTTGATTATCAGATCTCAAATTTGAGTTAAAGAGTTACAGATGGTGGTTAACGGTTTCCACTAAAAACACGATTGGCTCTCCCAAATATTGTTTAAATCTGTTCAAAAACGTATTTTTTCTCCAACTTCTTCCTGATGTTGCGGTTCTTGTCATCGTCTCCACCTTAAATTAACTCTCCTTTTTTCCCTTGACCTTTTAAAAACCTTCTGAGCCATCACCTTGGAAACACTGGAGGTGACATTTTGGAGGCGCTCAGTGATCAGTGATTCATCCTTGTAGTAAAACAGAGGATCTGATCCCCTACAAGTTCAATGTGTCCCAGCTTGCCCAAGTTCACGTATCAGATTAGGTCCCGTGCGAATGCCCAAAAGTTCACCCTCCGGTGCTGGTAGTGACTAAGATCCTTAGCCTCTGGCGTGCCAGAGCTTGTCCGATGCTGGCTTTTAGATGGCGGTCGTGAGCCTGAAAGCCTGAAAGGTAAACATATCTGCACTTAGCTGAGTTTGTGTTTCGAGGAAAACAGTCCTGCTTCATTATAGATGATGGACTCTCGGCAGAACTTTTTACCAACTTCTTGACCTATTTCACACCCAGGAGAGACAGAGATGTACTTTCTCTCAGATTTCTACACTCAAGCAAAAAAGAAAAAGAAAGAAAGAATGTCCTAATGCACGATAGATTCGCAGGTTTGGTGCTCATAGGATGCAAAGGGTATTTTTGGTAAATAGTTCCCCCTCAGAAGTCGTCTTTATTGCTGCATTCAAGTTACCTCAGAAGTCAGAAGTCCGAGCTGAAAATGACGTCACACCGGAGTTCCTGGCATTTCAGTTACCAAGTCGGAAAAAAGCAAAATCGGAGGCCTGAAATAAGACGGCTACATTTAAGAAAGTTATTTTAGCGCTTGCCTTATCTTTGGACAAGGCAAGGGCTAAAATAACTTTCATAGATGTAGCCATCTTGTTTCCGCCATATGGCCTTTTGTCATTTATGACGCAAAAAAACTGTAATTCAAACAAAAATGTCAAAGGGTTTCCAGAGTTGCCATGGCGATTTTTAGAAACAAAGTACCCCTTAAAGCCCCAAAAAATATAACAAATGTTAATCAAAGCAAAAAAGTCATATTGAAGTCAGTCTAGTAGAAGTTTTTGTTTTGTTTCCGACCTCAGGAAGTAAATTTTGGATCCTAGTGATGTCCTGTAACTTAATGCTGCGTTCCAGTTTCCTCAGAAGTCAGACGTCGGAGCTGAAAATGACGTCATACCTGAGTTAACAACATTTCAGTTACCGAGTTGAAAAAAAGCAAAATCAGAGGCGGAAAGAAGATGGCTACATCTAGGAAAGTTATTTTAACACTTGCCTTGTTCGAATATAAAGCAAGCTTTCGTACTTTTCGTACATGTAGCCATCTAGTTTCCACCTCCGATTTTGCTTTTTCCAACTTGGCAACTGAAACGCTGGGAACTCGGGTGTGACGTCATTTTCAGCTCCGACATCTGACTTCTGAGGTAAATGGAATGCACTGTATGGCCTTTTGTCAGTTATGACGCCAAAAAAACTGTAATTCAAACAAAAACGTCTGAGGGTTTCCAGTGTTGCTATGGCGATAGTACCCCCTAAAGCCTAAACAAATTATGACAACTGCTAATCAAAGCAAAAAAAGTCAGATGGGAGTCGGTCTTGTAGAAGTTTTTGTTTTGCCAGTGTACTAAGGACTGTTTTCGCGAAAATCCGTTAGCCATCTTGTTTCTGCCTCTGATTTTGCTTTTTTCCGACTTGGTAACTGAAACGATGGGAACTCGGGTGTGACATCATTTTCAGCTTGGACTTCTGACTTCCGCATTAGAGCCAGTTGCATTGTAAGATGTAAGAAAGTCATCAAACCGGCAAACCAAGGGTCTCGCCGCATCTCCGGTCGTGCTCTCGCCCTTGTATCTTTCCTCTTTAACCTTTCCACTCCCCGCGGCCCGGCCAAGCTTTGCCATTTGCTCAGTTGACCCTGAATCTGGACAATCAGACATGACACTTCTGGCCTACGTGCCATCTGGGAATTCGACATGGATCAGATACAGAAAGGAAGCTTCTCCGGGCCATTGTGCGGGGATTAACTCAAGCAGTAGACTGGACAGTAGGCCTGCTGCTCTGTTTTTACTGCTGATCCCGAGCCCACCGCTGTGGAACGGCTTGGACTGCAGAGGCCTAGTGCCCCTTAAAAGTGGGGTCCTGACCCTCTGAGTTTGTGTGCGCGGGTACATTCAATCGGGAGATCGCCGTTTATGACGGTGGGGGTCTCAGGTTACCCCAGAAAAGAGGGGAGTGATGGTTCTGTGCTTTGGATACGGAGGAGATTATGTAAGACAGCAAAACAAAAGGCACCCCAGCTGCTGAAACTCCTGAGTTTGAACACACACCTGATTTCAGTTGACTTTTGCCCCTTTTTGCTGCAGTCTTCAAAGAAAAGCCCGAGAGAGCACAGTGGAGCGTCAACGTAGGAACTCCAGTCCAACAACACCAGATCTATCTGATGGCGAAAGGCGCCAGCACCTTGTTATTGCTCCGTTTGGAATTTCCTTTCTCCCGTTCTCTCTTAGACCTTTTGTAATCATATTCTACAACCGGATGTCAAATTTACCTCTTGCAGAGTATCCCCACTCGCTTTCTTCGCCTTTCCACAAGTCTGCATGTTACAGCTTGGCCCTTGCATAATTGTGGACTATCCGTTTTCTGGCTGGCTGTGTGACCTTCTCTACTGTCTGTGCTTATTTCCCTTCTTTCCTTCGGTGTCAAGTCAAGTTCTGCATAAGGGAAATACATGCATTCCTGCAGAAATTCAACAAAAAGAAACTTCGGGTTCGGTCCGGTCTCTCGTTTTTCGTGCAGAATCAGCCGGTTTTGAAGTGACGCTCCTTTTCCACTCCCTAAGCCTGCTCTGTTGTCAGAAACAACATGTTGGGTCGGACCTGGTGGCCTCTCACATTGTTTGCTCCATCTGTTTGAAGAGAGGGGATTTTTTTTTTTTTTTAGGTTGATGTTTAACAAGACTCCGAGGAGAGGGGAGACAGTGGAAGTGAATCAAAACCGCCTGGAGGAATCACAGGAGGACCACAGGAAGTCTGCTTTCTGAGAAGTCCCAGTATTAGACCAGTTCATTCTGGGCATTTGTTATGCTAAAGGCTGAACTGCATATAAGAGGAGATTGAAACCTAAATTGGGAGTTCTGGTTGCTTATCGCCATTATTAAATATAATAATAACGTTTATTAATATAGATCTTTAAAAACAGACGCTTCATTTTTGGACTGTTTGGAGGCGATTGATCAATTTCTGATTAATTCCTGTTAAAAAAAACTATTCGAATAATCTAATCCTGATCAAATAAAAGGATGAATAATTGTTTGGGGGTCATTAAAGTCAGCACAGATCTTTTTCTGGTGATATTTCTTCGATAATAAAAGCATGATTAGATAACTGTGTATGTTTCTGAAAAAAGAAGTTGTTGTCAAAAGTCGCTCCGAGGTTTCGTACATTTCGTTTTACATCGAGAGAGACTCTTTTTCAGGGCTTGTCCAGCTTTGTCTGGGGACATTCAAATATCTGGGGTTTTGTACGAGAGTTTTGATTTTGTGTCACGTGGACTTACTGAGTTAGAAGCGCTTAAAAGACACTTGAAAAATTAACTTTCTACGACTCTGCGTGTCCTCTTTTTGCGAGGTCAGAATATGGTCACCCTGAGAGAGACAGAACCAAAGGGGGGACTGAATATAGGGGTGCAACTTCTCTGGGACAATCATGAGTATTTCCGTTTTCTCCAGGTTGAATTTTAAGAAATTCAAGCCAGTTTGTAAAGTTTGAGAGGTTTTTTAGTGTCGCTAGGATCTACAGGCGGATACAGCTGAGTGTCATCAATGTAGCATGTAAATACGTAATGGAAGTGGTCCTAAAACGGACCCCTGAGGTTCTCTAAAGTCACTTTAAATGTGAAGAAAGGCTTCATTTAAAGGCGTGGTTGATGATCTGAGAAGCAGTTGAACCAAATTGAGCCATTGAGGCAGATTTGAAAAAAGCGTCAAATCTGACATTCACCATGTCGGATTGCTGGCGACTAGCGGCAGTAAACGCCATCTCTGCTAGCGAGCACCGTCTGCAGCTGCCTGAACAGATACCATGTTGACATTGCAGAGACTAATAAGAGTTATTTATGTAACATGTGCCACGATAAAAGGCGATAAAAATGACCTGTTCAACAAAAACTCTGCTGTCTCAGTGTCTGTTTTAGGCCCAAATCCTGGCGGAACTTTCTCCACCACTCGAAGGATGACCCGATGTTTATTCAAGTTAGATTCCTCGCTTTTTTTTGCGTCCTTCTCCATCACAGCTCCTGTAGCTAAGCTGCTACGCTACTTTTAGCCGCTCAGAGCTCTGAGGAGGGCCGGGAGAGTGGGAGGGGACGAGTCGGAACTACTGGAGAGGGGAGTGTCGAATACAGGTGATTGGATGGAGAGGCGGAGCAGGAGATTGACGGATAGGAGCTGTCTGAGACGGATGGCTCCCACTGGTCAATGTTTTTGCAGCCCTGTTGAAGATTAAAATAGTGTCTGTAATATTTTCAGTCACAGGACGAGGATTAGCTTCTTGAGCTCCCCCTAGTGGTGTGTATTTGGGCTCAGACTGCTATATTATAAGCTTGACTGTTTGTGATAAATTCAAGCTAAACAAGCAACCAGATTAGGCCTCAAATATTTATGACTATGACTTATATGTGGTGACAGACGGGGAAATTAGGGCAGAGAGACTCTTTAATTCGAGGCCCACTGATACCTGATTGTTCCTGATACAGTTGAAACCTGCAGAGGCCTTAGATATAGACTGAATTCATCATTCTGTCCCCCAAACACTCGTTTTAAAGAAGTGCAAAAGCTCATTTAACATCTGCTCATGAAATTAAAATCACACTAGAAGGGAAAAAAAGCATCCATGGAAACCCGAGTGTGACTAAAGTTCAGCAGCGGCCAACTCTTTCTCAGCCAGAGAGCTTGTTAACCGAGCTGCATGTGGTTGCCTCACCCTGTGAAAAAAAAAAAAAAAAAAGCAGGGCTCGTAGTGACTCACTGATTGTGCCGATGCGTTTCAGAGCACTTCAACAGTGGTTTTGGCAAATCAGAGCTTACCCCCCGCTTAACAAGTCTATTCTCGGCCGTGACGACGAGGGGGGAAAATTGTCACAAAACGAGGGGATGGTTACGCAAAATTGACGGGGAATTAAATAAACGAGAGAAAGTGGAAAATAAAGCCAGTAATGAAAGCAAAGCATGCATATGATTCATCTGCAGGGCGAGCCAAAGTGAGAAGAAAGTACGCCATGTTGCATCGAATCACATTGTTTTGCATTTTGGTCCCTTAAAGAGGCAAAAAGTTTGTTAGTTTGCTCCAAAGTTTTGAACTTTTATGATAATGTCTTCTTTTTTGTTTTGTAGGAGAAGCTTTGGAACCCCTTCCTGAGCAGGGCGTGAGCGAGATCCCGGCCATCCGGAAACCCAGCAAAGAGAGCACTTGGCTGGGGCCCAAGGAGAGCGCCGTACGCCAGCACCGACAGGAGATGAAGACCAAAATGAAGACCAATAAAGTGGAGGAGGTGAAACCGGCGCGTCCCAAACAGGTTAGGCGCCTGATCCACCTGATCCTCTCTGCATCCCTGAGTTTAGACTCTCTGAGCGGCCTCCTGTTTTTTTCCATCCATCATTAAAAACATTTACAAGGTTAAAGCTCCACCAGAAAGTTTTAACTATCTCAACAACGACGTTTGGCTCCTTCTGAGCCGTGAGGTAAACCTGAGGTCACTGGCAGGACGTGTTGTTCGAAAACATGATTCATTTGCTCATTACAGAAACCCCCTTTGCTTTATAGAGAGTGTGTGTGTGTGTGTGTGTGTGTGTCTGTGTTTGTGTTTTATGGGATTTTATGCAGAAAGTGAGAAACACTCTGATTGCTTTGCAAACACATTTCCTCGCTGATACATCTTGAAGTTTTGATTTTCATAAATTTGGAAGCTTTTCAACTCGAAACAAACTCCCAAACTCTGCACACGTGCGAGGGTGAACGGAATCATTTGTACTGAACACTTCTTGCTGCAGGCCACAACATTTTACCCAGAAATCCGATGACGCCGACACGCCCAAATCAAGCTGCACGGTCCTGTGAACATGACAAGTGTTGTTTTGTTTTTGCTCTTTGTTTTTTCAAGACTCAGTGTCAGCAGGAGCTGGATCAGATCCTGGAGAGGATATCCAAGATGCCCTTCAGAGATAACCGAGGTCCTCTGGAGGACCTGTACGCCCTGCACATCCCCAACTGCGACAAGAGGGGGCAGTATAACCTCAAACAGGTGACTCCAGGCCTGGTGGAAGACAGTTTAGCATGAACTTTTTCCTTTAACTCTCTAATTTACATAAACATTCATGCAGATAATGAAACAAAATCAAAACATGCATGCATAAACACTTAAAATATGTCTTTTAATGGATAGTTTTGCACAAAAAAGTTGTAAATATGCATCTAGGTGTTGAGTAAAAAGAAAGTGAATTGAAACAAATTGATTATAAAAGTGTAAGTTTATGTTTAAGGGCGTAAAAACATGCAGAAAGTAACTTTATTCTTCGTTTCAGTGCAAGATGTCTCTCCACGGTCAAAGGGGCGAGTGCTGGTGCGTCAACCCCCACACCGGCCGACCTATCCCATCAGCCCCCACCGTCAGGGGCGACCCCAACTGCGGCCAGTACCTCAGAGAGCTGGAGCTGGAGCTGCCTGACATGGCGCAGATGTAGAGTGGCGTTAAATCGAAATATAACAACAAAAAAAGGAGAAAAAAACTGTAAAGTTCTTGGGAACAAAAACATCTGAGTAAGCTATATATTATCTTTCAGTGTGTTTGCGTCTGTAGTTTACATGATGACGGCGACATGTGAAATCGTAGCCACCAAAAAAGGATTAAACGGTAGAGTCCGGCTTGCTGTGTAGGATGTATCTGCAGATTATTGTTAGGAGGAGGAGGAGGAGGAGGAGGAGGAGGAGGAGGAGAGGGTAGATTTTTTAGGAGATGTCAGCTGGAGTGTTGGCGACTCTGCTTTACTAATCGTGACTCTGCTCAGATTTGCTCTGTTATCAGTGTTTTGTACTGTACGTGTTTTAAAAAAAAAGAAAAAAAAAGGAAAAGCCTGAAACATTTTTGGTGTTTTTAGGAGTTTTTTTGTGTCGTAGCTTGCAGACTACTGTTACTCAACATTAACAGATAACACTATTAAAGTGGTGAGAAACTCAACCGGCCTGGTTATTCTTCAATTCAAACCTAGTGGGTGTTCATCCTGATTGGACCATGAATGAATGAAACTGAATGGTAAATTCAGGTGCCCAACAGACTAAGAGTGGTACGTCCTCTGAGGATCATGAATACCTGTATCCTGTTGAGTGATAATCCACTCAATAGTTAAAGTATTTCAGCCAAGATCTAAAAATGTGTACCTCTTAAAGTCGCTCTAGAATAAAGTATTGATTTAAGTCAAACTGATTTATCCTCTGGGGAACCTGAATGTCTATAAAATTTAGTAGAAGTGATCCTATCCAAGGATTATTTCAGTCAAAAACACAAACCTTATAGAGCAGCAACATGTAAATTAGGGAGCGACACAAACTGGGAGCGGTGTATCCCCTGAGGATAGTAAATATTGGCATCTAATCAGTAGCGATCGATTGTTGGGCAAAATTTTGGACCTGATTATGTAAAAAGAGGAAATAAAAATGAGGCAGGGATGCATCCTGAGGGGACCATGAGTGTTTTTTTAAAGACTGAATTGAATATTTTCTATGACTGCACTTAATTCAGTCAAAAACAAAAGTCACGTTGAGGCAAGAGGATACATAAGAGTTACCAAATTCATCCTCTGGGGACTCTGATTGGACCAGGTTAGTCAGATATTTATAGGGAAAAACATGGAAGTCAAAATCAAAGAAGTAAAAAGTGAAAAATAAAAGAATTAGTCCAAGTTTTTAGGGAACTTCCTCTGGGGACCATGAACAAATGTGTAAGAACTCAAAGACAAATAGATGAGATTTGCCTCTTTGAGCCAAATCTCATCTATTTCAGTCAAAAACAAAAGTCTTCACGTCATGTTGAGGCTAGAGGATACATAAAAGTAACCAAATTCATTAGGGGGCATCCTCTGGGGACTGTGATTGGACCAGATCAACAAGATATTTAAAGAGAAAAACATGGAACTCAAACTTAAGGAAGGAAAATAGGAAAAGTTAAGGGGTTTATCAAAGTTTTGAGGGAGCCTCCTCTGGGGACCATGAACAAATGTATGAGAACTCAAAGCCAAATAGATGAGATTTGCCTCTATGAGCCAAATCTCATCTAATTCAGTCAAAAACAAAAGTCTTCAAGTCATGTTGAGGCTACAGGGTACATAAGAGTTTCCGAATTTAGTAGGGGACATCCTCTGGGGACTCTGATTGGTCCAGACGAATCAGATACTTATAAAGAAAAACATGGAACTCAACCCCAAGGAAGAATAAGTGAAAGTTTTGGGATTTATCAAAGTTTTTAGAAAACTTCCCCTGGGGACGATGAACAAATGTATGAGAACTCAAAGCCTAATAGATGAGATTTGCCTCTTTGAGCCTCACCCTGATGAGTTTTGTACCTGCTGATGGTTTCGACCTGCATGGAAAACCGGGACCGAGAGCCTCAAGGTCAAAGAGATAGCGAACACAACTGCTGACTCAGCAGATTTCCATTTTTCCACATGCAAGACAAAAGCACGCATCAGCATTTTTTTTTTTTGTGAGTACATGAACTTTATTTAAATAGTGATTTGTCATTACAAAAAAAACGAGTACATCAATTACACGCCTGATAAATATTTCACTATAATGTTCACATTGATCTTTGCTTTAGCTGAGAGTTTGAGAAGTTCAAAGTGTCACCGCGTTGTGCTACGATTAACAGCAAGTGTTTATGAGCCCCTGTCAACGCATTAAGGAATGTCGGAGATTATAATGGTCATTAACTGGGAGATTAAATCAACAAACAGTGGCCATCGACTGGGAGGTCATTGTCATCTCCAAACTTGTGCGCTGAAGTGTCCCCCTTCCGACAACACACATGCAAATCCAATTCAAAGCGGCGCGGGCCAGAAGGCACTTGAATTTCCATACAAACTCAGCGACCTTGCTCTTTTACAGGATAAGAGGCCTGATAAACCACAAGAGTGCGTCCCCGGATTTGCCTGCGGAGACCCTGCACGTGGAAACATAACCATCGTGAGGCGTTTGCATACGATTTGTGTGTGTGGACGGGGAAAAAGCACAGCACCACATTTGTCCGACAGTAGCTTGGATTAGACTTCGCTTGTGAGAATCGACACCAGAGATTGATATAAGGACATGGCACGTACAGTACAGTACAGTATACACACATACAAACACACTCAGGAGCATGCACACACACTCTGTACATACATTTACAAACAGTGGACGCGTTAATCCGAAGGCCTGGTACTTATCTATCGAGCTTGTTAGTGGACCAGGTTTTCAGAGTGGCAGGACGATTAGCTACAGTTACGGCTAAGTGTGCTGCTAAGTAAAATAACTATCAATTATATCTGCGAGAAACAATAAAATGATTCTGACAGGGAATATAATGTGATTTCTTTGGACAAATATCGAATTCTCCTGTATTTTTGTGAGTTCTTGCAACGCTAGCTAAGTCACTTTTTGCGCCATTACGCACCAACTCTCGTTTCACTCTGTATATATTAAAAGTACTAAAAGTCGCGTCAATCTGATGGCTTTCTTTGGAAAAAATGTTGAATTCTTATGTATTTTTCTACGCGAATAAGTGATTTCTTGCTACGCTAGCTTAGTCACTTTTTCCCGCCGTTACACACCAAGTCTCCATTTAACTCTGTTTATATTATAAGAACTAAAAGTCGTGTCAATCTGATTATTTTCTTTGGCCAAAATGTCTTTTTTTTTTGTATTTTTCTATGCGAATAAGCGATTTCTTTCTACGCTAGCTAAGTCACTTTTCACGCAGTTATGCACCAAATCTCAGTTTAACTTGGTATTTATATTAAAAGAACTAAAAGTCGTGTCAATCTGATGGTTTTCTTTGGAAAAATGTCGAATTCTTTTGTATTTTTCTACGCAAATAAGCGATTTCTTTCTATGCTAGCTAAGTCACTTCTACGCCGCAAACTCTTTGCATGTATTAAAAGTTGGGTGTCAATCATTTTGTTTTCCCTCTGCAACAACATCTATATGTTTACTAAACATCGCGTTGACCTTTTCTTTAAGTTTTGTCTGCGAAATGTTTCCAAACAAGCTAGCTAGGTCTCCTGCCGCCACAGCTTTTGCATTTCGAAGGCTCCTGTCAGCTCATAAGGATTTCTCCCATGTGATAACAACATAAAAATACATTTTTACACCAGAGTATCATTCTCACGACTAACATTAAGTTTTACGTTACTAATTTTGACAAGAATTGACTCGAAACAAAAGAGAAAAAAATTGATTTTTAGCCACATTTAAAATATGTCTTGTCCTACAGTTTCTGGGTAGAATTTAGCCACAGACTCAAAGTACACAATATATCATCAGTATCATACAAATATATATAATCCTCTATTCTATCTATGGATATAAAGAGGCAAGGTGTTAGCTAGCCTCTAACACAGCCACCTGGGAGCCAGATAAGACCTACATGAGCAGATTTTAACCACTCCCTTTAGCGAGACACGGAAAACAAAGCAGTCCATCACACCTGACCGAATATAAAGAACTATTTGTGCCACTTTTTTCCTGATTCGGCAGTCATTTAGTGTGCTAGCTTGATTGGCAGGTTTTAAGAGGAACAGGGCTCAAAGAGTGAGGACGGTTCGACTTTATCATTCGTTGCTGTTGCTGCTGTCGATCTCTTTGCACTGCAGGTCTCCTCCGGCGTAGTTGATGCCGGGGATTTTGACGCCGAAGCGGTCCACGCACCAGCAGATCCCCCTCCTTCGGCCACGGGATGGCTTACACTGCAAAGACGACATTAAAAAACCAGTTCTTTAGTAATTTGGCGCCATGTTTCTGTGATTTACGTTCTTCTCTGCTTTATTAAACAAATAATCAAAATGAGATACCTGTTTGCGTTTGAAGAAGCCCTTCTTGTCGCAGTTGGGGATGTACAGAGAAAGAGCCAGAACCCTGGAAGTGTCCTTCATGCTCTGGATAAGATTATCCAATCTTCTCCTGCAGGGTCCCTGCACACACAAAAACCAAATGTGTTGATTTGTGTTTGCACCCTGGAGTGAAAATTGTGGTTTAATATGACATGAAGTCAAGAATTACGAGGTAATTTGGCAATTAACTCTGTTCACACAATGTTGTCACGTGTGACAGTGACCCCGCTAGGCATCTCAGCGGATCTGTTCAAACCGGTTTCTTTCTTCAGCCTGGAGCGGTAGGATGCAGTATCTGAGATTTTTATGATTTACAGCAAAGCAAACACTGTTTTCTTGCCAGCATCTGAATAATTACGGTTGAGAAAATTGCTCTAAATCTTGATCGGTGAATCACAATCTTCCCTCCAGGCTTCCTATACTTACGAACTCTGGCTCCAGCTTATCCAGGCCGAGGGGAGTGAAGTCCAGGCTGCTGCTTTGTCCAAGTCTGGCCAGCTGCTTCTTGCGGTCCTTGGCCTGCTTCATGGCTTGGGCTTTCCGGCTGCTGATGTGGTCTCTGCCGTAGATTGGGACCTTTGTTTGGGGCAACATGGACTCTGGGATGGGTAGCATGGCGCCATCGTGGGAATCTCCATCTGAAACAATGAAAAAAGTCTGGGGTTATCGAAGGTATCCGTGGTCTTTTTTATGCCCCGCCTCTTTTGGGGAATTAGCAAAATTTTGGGGGACGGTACCGCCAAAAAATACCAGTTGCCATGCCGATGTTTTTTAGGAAGACATGTTGAGTGTAACGGGCGAAACCCACAGAATCCGTCCGGCTCCGGCGGCCGGACCAGATACGCAAGGCTTCTATTTGAGGCATGGCAGCAGTGGAAGTTGTATGCGGCTACAGAGTAAAATATCTGGTTCAACTTCAAAATAAAATAAAGTAAATATGTCGAACCGTTCTTCACTTGATAATAGGAGAGGCGAGGGTTGTGGGATGTCGGTGTTTATATACACCGATCGGCGGATCTCAATGTCTCACAGGGAAACACCCAAGATCTCGTCTAGTCTCACAAGAACTATCAGTAATATCGCGAGAGCTTCTCCTCCGATGGCGGCGGATTGGATTGGATCTGGTGGGTGCGATATGCTCGCGTATTTGCTTGCGTTCCGCATTCAGTGGAATTCCCAGGTAACAGTGCCCAAAAGTCGACAAGATGAAAAAAAGCATGTTTGATACTCCACATGATGACAGGATGAGTGTTATGAAAGGCCTCCGCCTCAGTAAAGACGGTAATTTACACCGGATCTGTACAAATTACAGACACGCCGGATTAAATCACCAACGGCACTAATGATTACGAACTATCTAATGTCCGAGGAGGTAAAAACATCCCCGTCAAACAGGCTTCAAAGCATTTTTTCAAGCCTCTTTGAATCAGGACAACATCACACCAGGACATGATGATTTCATCGCCGCGGCTAAATGCTTATTTGACACAGTCGGTGGCTGGCAGCCAGCTTCAGGTTGGAAGTGTTGACATACAGGACAACACAGCCTACATTTATGGCGAGGCAGGCTGCCAGTTTGGGGTATATGCAGACCAGGGGTTTTAAAACTTTTATAGCTGCTGACCTAAATGAGATATTTAGTCTCACCCTGGCACCCCAGCCCATGAAAACATACTATTACACTTGTCATGTGGCGAGCCGACAGAAACAGCCGCGGCCTGTTTTGGGTCGCAGAAGCCCTCATGTACATGCATCTTTCATCAGGGGTACAGCTCTACATCTCAAGGAGCGGCGTAAATCTTAGTTGCCCCTCTCCCCCGTCCCGCCCTCTACTCATGCAACCGCAACAGCCTGAACAAGCGGCTGTGGCTTCTCCTCCCAAAAGCACTTAAAAACTGATTTTTCTCCTCATTTATAGCTTTTAAACATGCATTAGCTTGCGCGCGTCCTAAGCCACAGCTGGCCCATTTCCACTGCTGTGTCACGCACTTGTGTCCGCTTCATTTCGGGCCGGATTCCGCACATAAACCCCCTTCATTTCTGCACTGACGTGATCGCTAAGCTACTAAGCTAGCCGGGGCGGTGAAACAAGGTCACCGCCACGTTTGCAAATGACGCCCTAAGCCCCTCCACCCAACCAGTTTAGTGTCGATGATGAGCGGGGTGATGTCATGCGTCCACATAATGACAGGTTCTTGGAAAAAGCAAAAGAGATTCCCCCCGTCCTCCAGTTTCCTGCTGACACCGTTTTATTTTTTTTTTCCCTCTCTCTGCAGAGAAAGCTGGAGCAGATCAGTATAAGTCCAATCAAGTCCTCACTTGCTAATCCTGCAGCTTGTCTAATCTGACCTGTGCTGACTGATCGCGTCTTTCATTTTCTTCCCTCCTTCTTCTTCTTCTTCGTGTTTGAATAAAACATTGAGACCCAGATCCCTACAGAGTTGCTGCTTCCTCGCTCTTCCAAGAAACGACCCTTCCTTAGTTTATCTTTAAAATCAAGGTTTGCAAAGACGAAAATACGGCCTGGTTTTAAAAATGTACGTCAAAGCAGCTCCTACTAAGTCATTTTAAGTGACTTTTACGATGTTTTAAGGCATTTTAAGCTGGCATACACGCATCTATCATCGCATTGATGTTGATTTTCTTGTTTTTGAGGGATGCTAAATGCTAAAAATGGCAAAGTGAAGAAACGTACAGTCTGAATCCATGCTTATTTCCTTTCCATGATGTTTCTGCAGGCCGTGTGTGCATATGGGCTTTGCTTAATTTATGCATCGAGGGATCGCCCCAGCGGGAGACGTGGAGTTAATGGAGAAGCTGGCTGACGGGCAGACAGATGGGGGAGTGAGTGGGGGGATCAGTAACCCACGCTCAGCTTGCATTCTGCTGAATCACTGCACAGCCGAGACGGAGCGAGAAGAGGAGATGAAGAGAGAGAGAGAGAGAGAGAGAGAGGGAGAGAGCAGGGTGGGACTTACAAAGAGAGGAGGGAGGGAGGGAGTGTGGGAAAGAGAGGGAGGAAAAAAAAGGGAAGGGGATGTGAATAGAAGATTATTTTAAGGGGTTAGAGAACAACTTGGATGCAGAGACTAAAAATAAAACGGGCTGAATGTCAAGAGTGATGGCTTATTTTTGATAAAGCTCATTTGAATGAGACTTTTAAAGCTCCCTCTTTTCAAGCCTTTGCCCTTTGCAAGAAAAACTGCGGTTCTTCCCCTCAGCCCGCTGAGGTTTTAACACAGCCAGGAGGATTATTTATGTTTCCAGAGCAGCTTTCCCTCTCCACTGAAACTCCAATCTACCAGAAAGGAAAGAGAGGAAGAAGAAGGAGAAGAAGAAGAAGAAGAATAGGGTGTTAAAGATGAAGAGGGATGGCGGCCAGGCAGGGAAAGAGGAGAAGAGGTGGGAGAGAATAGAGGGACAAAAAGGTGTGGGAAAAAAAGGCACAGGTGGTGGATGAAGAGAGGCGACAAAAGAAACTGTAGAAGAAGAAAAAGAGAGCCAGCATTTCCCACAATCCTCTCCACGGAGTAGACACAGTGACTGTCATTCAAAGGAGCCAGAGAGCAGCCTCTCCTTTAGCACCACCTGTAATCTTCTCCCTTGTTTCATGTCTGACGAGTGGCCCCCGAGGCGACGGGGGCCACTCACACGAAACCTGCTGATTTACGGCCGCCAGCCCCCGCCAGAGCCTTTAAAAGAAGATGACTGGTTGATCGGCGCCCGGCACCAATTGTTGACAGAGTTCACGGGGTCAAGGCGCAGCGAGGGCCGCTTTGAGTCGTGTGCCTCGGTTAATGACAGGTGTCAGAGGAGGGTGACCCACATCTGGCTCGCAGAGGGGCGGGGCTAAAGTCATAATCAAATTTCAACTTCGGGATTACTCAACAAAACGTCTGCATCACATGTTCACACGCTCACACGCTCGTTAGATTACTCATTTTTGACCTTCCTTCTCATGCTCCCTCTGTCCCTCTGCTTCACTAACACACCTGCTCTTGTTTCGCCTTAATACACCAGACAGCAAAAAAAATAACCATCAGATCTGAACCTGCTCTATCCCCGGGGCTACAAATGTCAAAACAAAAGCACACAAATTGGTCCGATATTTCATAACAGACTGACTGATTTTTGGCGATCATTCCAGCGAGTGAGGAGTCGTCATTTCTGCGAGTTTCTTCTGAACAGTCTAAAACATCAAAGTTCAAGCTGTAATTTAACTCCCAAATGGGGTGAATCACATTTAAGCCAAAGAACACGACCTTTAAAGAGAAATGAAGCTTGTTTTCATGATATTTGCCTCGATTTTAGCCTCCAAACTGACTGATTTTATCATGTACAAGCTTTAACATCAACGTTTTCATGCAAGTAACAGTCATTTCTGCAATGCAACTGCAGTAGAAATACACTTAAGATGACATAACATCAAATTTAGAGCTCAGATTTGACTTAAAAATGCAGCAAAATTCAAAGTACAAGTTGTTTTCATTTATTTTTGGTGGTTTTGCCCCTAAAACTGTCTGATTCGGACATTTAGCAGCTCTTATATCCTGGTTTTCATGAAATCAATATCTTTCTCTGGGTTGTCTCTTTGCACAAAGACTGGATGCATAATTTCTGCCATGCATCTGCAGTATAAACACACATGAGCTGACTTGAACATCAGATTTAGTGCTGTAGTTGAACTCCACAGTCTTGCACATGAGCCAAAAACGATAAAAATCAAAGTTCTGCTGCTTTAATTTGGATACATCTTCTTCTTCGTGCACTTTTGGTTAATTTTATTGACATTTAGGAGTCTTTTAATCCCAGTTTGGGTTCTTACTTGGGTATGTTTTTGTGCACGGAGGAGGCTGGGGACATAATTCCTGCATGCACATCCATTAAAAACGCCAACCTAACGACTTCGAGTGTGGAAAATGATGAGAGAGCTGCACGTTTCTGCTTTCATTTGGATGCAAAGCTCCACTTTAGAGCAGAATCGGCTGAAATCTGATTATTCTGAGAATGTGAGGAAGCTGTCATCAATCTATGACTCAATTAATCCACTTAATGAGCGCCTCTGTTGGACCCAGTGACCTGTTTAAGCCTCCCTCTCAGCCTCCGTGCTCTCAATCAGTCATCTCTCCGCAGGCCTTACCTTTTGACGGATGCAGCAGTTTATACAACTTCTCGTTCCTGCACACCCCGCGGCCGTGCAGCAGCGCGTGCAGCGGCTTCTCCTCGCCGTTCTTGGGCAGGCAGCGGAGCCCGCGCGTGCACGGCCCGGTGTACACGCCGCACGCCTGGCCCTCTTCGAGCGCGCACGTCAAGCAGCAGCCGCAGCCGGGCTCCTTGACCAGCTGACAGGCCACCGGCACCGGCGGACACATGGACAGGGCCTTCTGGTCGCACGGCTGGCACGGCACGTAGGAGGAGCCGCAGCCGGGGATGGTGATGCTCAGCAGGGGGACCACCAGGAAGGGGAGAGCCAGCAGCATGGTGCGCCTTTTTTTAATTCTGAAGTGAAGCTTATGTGAGAGCGAAATCTGCGGCTGATATCAGCTGTGTCTCGCGGGGGATCCTTTCTTTGCAAAAGGTTTCAGTCCAAGCATCGGGGGGGTGTTTGCATCCACAGGTGCTCTGCGCGCTCAAGTCCAAAAATCTCCACGCATCCAACACTCGCAGTCCTCTCTCACTCTCTCTCTCTGAGCAGCCCTGCAGCCTTGAAATAAAGAGTAGAAAAAAAGCAGAAAATATCCACGAATGTGCGTCTTCTCCTTCTCCAGTGATGCCCGGTGCCGTTTACGCGCAACCTCTCCGTCTCCAAATGTGAAAGAAGAGCTCCCCTCTCCCTCTCTCTCTCTCCCTCCTCCTTCTCCTCTGTAGGTTATTTAACCCGCACGGTTTGTGAGCAAAATGTATAATCTGCGGCTTTGAGCTTGCCTTTTAAAAAAAGAAACTGCCAGAGGCGAAGCCTATAACGATGGGTATGTCAAACAACGTTTGGAGAGGGGGAGGCGCACTTGTCAACTCCGCGCGCTGCGATGCTGATTTCACAGGGCGGGTGCTGGCATGCCTCCAGATCTGCCAGATACGAGACGATGCTCCTGGAGGCGACTGAATAAGACCTTGTCTCTCTCTCTCTCTCGCTCTCTCTCTTTCTCTCTCTCCGCACAGTGGCCGTTTACTTTCCCCAGTCTCATGGACTCAACATTGTTACTAATATTTTTAGCAATTTGAGCTCCAGATCAAGACACAGCACTAAAAACAAGAGTGAGAATTTGGTTTAAATAGTAGTTTTAGAGGCAGCCAAGAGAGAGTCCAGTAAATAGAAAGACCCAAACTGCTTACAACCCCGACTTTAAAACAATAAGGTCAATAAAAGCTGAATTTTTAAAGCCTATCTGTTCAAAGACTAAACAATTTTGACGGTGAAATCTTGCCTGATGCAGGATCTTAAGACTTAAGACAGTTCAGCAGCAGGACTCTTCTACTACTGAGTCATGCTGTTGTAATGTTCATTTAGATGTGATTCTGCGCCCATGCGGGGACTTCCACTTCAGAGTCATGTCGATTTGTAGACGAGCAACTAACTTTTTCAGTGTTTTGTTGATCCTGTCCGGACTATTTTCAAGTAAACATGTTCTTTGAATGATTTCCAAACCATTAAATTCTGTTTTTATCAACATTTTTGTTGCTTATAGATTCGGGGTTGTATCACTCTGCCTGTTTTGTTGTTATCAAAACACAAATATAAGGTTTAGAAGAGTTGTTTTAGAGACATTCATGCATACATTACAGGGGCAAACTTTCACCCCTGTAATGTTTATAGGCTACATTTGCTTACCGTGTTTCCGCACGTCAGTCTGCACTCTGCATTTTAACCGTAGTAATCCATAGGACCGCGCTGCTTGCGAGTGAGTCGTATTTACTTCCGCAAACAAACTAACACCGGAAGTGAAGCGCTCAGTGCGCACTTTTGATTGGACGCTGGTTGCCTCCCGCCTTTTGCGGAAGGAGGGAAATTTTAAAGAGACGGCTGCTTCAATCTTAATGCAGATTTAGTAAGAAGCAAAGGCATTAATAAAGAACAGAATCATGAGTGAAGGGTAAAAGTGTTGGAAGGTAGGTAAATAATGAAGACATCTTTATGGAATTAAGCAAAAAGTGGTGAGTATGGAAATTATAGGAAAATCTATCAGGGAACAAATAGTTATGTCAAGATTTAAGGTCCTTTCACACCGGGAACGTTTTTTTTTTGTGCGATTATTTCCAACGAACCCGTATCTTATCAATACAAGCGTTCACATCAGCGACATTTTCCCGTCCTACAATATTGCGGCATTTATTTTTTCGTATCACGGTCAAATTTTCTAAAGTTTCGCATACTGTGTTTTCACTTCTGACCAATCAGATCTTGTGTTGTTGCGACATCAGATTCACCGGTATATCCAACATGGCCGACCGGCTGATTGTTTACGTGTCGGAGAACGGGGGCTTTTTGATAAAAAACAAAGTATTACAAAGATAATGACCTGAAGGAGAGTGAACGACCTGTGGAGAGTCAGAGCGTCGGATTTCTCATATGACGATGGTTTGTGTGCTTTAACAGTTTGATAAACATCTTTGTTTTAACTTTCATCTGTGCTAAGTAACTTTAGCTCGTAAGCTAACCTGTTCTGATACAACATACCATATGTACTTTCACTGTCTCAAACTCAATTGCGTTGCTGTCACCGCACCATTAGGTCTCAGTTGTTACCTTACGTTTATAGATTATAGTTTAATGTTCTTATCTGGTACTGACCCCGACTCAGTACATGCTATCATGACAGACAGACATCACAACACTAGTGTCTGATCAGAACTGAAAAACACTCAGTCTGCTATGGCATCAGAGTCGGCACCTCTTGTACAAGCCTACGGATAGAGTACATGCAAGAACCTTTTCCTACTTTCACCCCTGCATACATGTGAATTTACCTATTTTCAGGGGTCAAAGTTGAATTCCTGTGCCCAACTCATCTTGAAAGCTTCAGTATTTCTAGACCGGTGTGTTTCCAGTATCATAATTTCATGTTTCCTTTAAAAACTGGCAGCCAAACTGGAAGGTGTTGATGGTGCCAGCACTGAAAGCCAGAGCAGACTGTCCTAAATTCATGTTCTTTCTCACTCAGACATATAAACGAGGTTTATGTGGTTATCTCCGTCGTCGAAATATCTTAGTACTATCTTTTAAAAGCTGCTTCTGCTTTTCTGTACACAAGTGCAACATTTTAATTCCCTATTTCCTGACTTGACCCCAGAAAGACTGTGTCCAGGTTTGGAATTCGTCCTGAGCTTCGCTGGTTTTACTGCAGAGAGCAGAAATCCCAGATGATCTCCATCAAAATCTTAATACTTGTCTGACATTTCCTCCTTGGAAGATGCGGTCAGATATTTATGTTGAACATGTTCCCCCCGTGGAGCTGCCAGATGGACGACCCGCTACACCCAAACATGTGCCATTTTCTTCTCTCCAGCAGAACCCCTTTAGGTGAAATTTGACCGTGTAACGGCGCCACAGACCCTCATTATATAACAAAACTGAAGACTTTCAAAGTCAGGGTGGGATCTCGCTTGAGCAACGAGGATGCTTTTACCAATCCCCTCGGGTTCCTCGCTTTTGCCAAAGAGCTGTAGCTTTAAATATTTGTGCGATGCTGTCTTAACCATAACAAATGCACTCTCCGAAGAAAAAGGTCCGGATCGGGACAGAACTGCAACCGGACTGACCTTACTTTATGACTCAGCGAGGTCACTGTCCTGTGAGATAAGTGGTCAGCTCAGTTGGAGGACAAAACGCTCGTAATTCACTTGATGTTTTGGCAGATAGCGATATATGTCTGGGACGCTCAGCATGTTTTTGTTTTGAGTAAACAGAGTCTCTTTTGACCCTTGTCATGTCGAGTACACTGTGTCTAATTCTTCTTTAAACGACTTTATTTACTTCTCTGTTTATCCTGTTTTTTTTTTTCATCTTCTTTAACTCTCAGCTGGGTTTGTGGTGTCCGGTTCATGGTGGAATAAATCCAGTTTCAGCTCTTTTTCAGCACTGAAACTGACCTTTCAAGACCCGCTCTGATCAAAGCTCTGTTTCACTTCCTCTTCCCCCCTTTTGTGAAACTTTGTCGGCAAACTCTGCTCCGATCACCCGACCCCTTGTTTGCCTTTGCCCTTGACCTTTGGGCCGTATCAGGTGTCAAACGTCGTCACAGCAGGTGTAAAGGTTAGCTCGTCCCGGCCCACACAGTCCCCTTTAAAGGCTCCCATTCAGGCTGCAGTTTGAAACAAAGCAGCAGTCTTTCAACGGCTCAGAGATGGTTGAACCAACGATGAAGGCGGCCAAGGAAAAGATGGTCAAACCAACAACTGAAAGAGGGCAGAGCCAAGACCTCAAAGCTGGTTCAACCAGCACCCCTAGTGGCCCTAATAACAACCTATGGACAGACTAACCAACAGCTCAAAGATGGTCCATTGAGTCAGTTAACAACTTCAAAAATTCAGCAAACAAGACCTTAAAGATGGTCCAACCCAGACCTTTTAGACAGACAAAGAAATAGCAAAACTTAGAAGATAAAATGCTCCAACCAATGACCTAAAGAGGGCAGATCCAAGACCTCAAAACTGGTTCAACCAGCACCTCTAGGGGCCTTAATGACAAGTTATAGACAGACTAACCAACAAATCAGGACCAACAAAGATGTGGTCCAAGCTGCAGCTTAAAGATAGCCTAACAGGCAAATCAAAGATGGTCTATTGAGTCAGCTAACAACTTCAAAAATTCAGCAAACAAGATCTTAAAGATGGTCCAACCCAGACCTTTTAGACAGACAAAAAAACGACACAACTAAGAAGATAAAGATGCCCCAACAAATGACTGAAAGGTGGCAGAACCAAGACTTCAAAAATAGTTCAACCAAGAACTTTCACGGGCAAAATACAACTCAAGGATGGACCCAAAATGCAACAAAAATGTGGTCCAAAAGCAACTCAGACTATCGAATAAAGGATCAAGCCTCAACCAAAGATGGTCCAGTCTAGACCTTTGAGAAGATCAGACCAACATCAGGAAGAGGGTCAAACTAACAGCTTAAAAGGTTTATTAAAGTTGGTACGAGTCAAAGAAAAGAGAGACCTTAACCCATTAAGACCTGAACCCTGTCTGAGACACGCCTCTGAAATCCTGGGGGAATTTTGAGAAGGGCTCCCAGATCCTGAGGTTTTCTAAAGTGTTGAGGTTTACAAAAAAAGCTGATATCTCAGCCTCTGTAGTAGATAGAAACAAAATTCAAAAAGTATTTGAGAGCTTACACATGTGGCTTTTAAGATGACTATCTTTTATTTGTCTGAACCTTCATCACATTATTTAAAACCTTGAACAAACAAACTCAAATTAAACTGGAGAATAACAAACAAGTGGCAGTCATGATGAAGCGTCCGTTAAATACAAATGTAAATATAAAAATAAGGTGTTGAAAGGGTATACAGCTGCCCCAGTATAGTGCCAGTACAAAAGCAGCACTAAAAACTAAAAAATAAACAAGTGGCTGACAGTGTGTTTATCTCTGCGCTGACCCAAAGTCATGCAACACTCACAGAAAATGCCGATACTGGGAGCCAAAGACCTCAATATGAAGAGGTTATTCACACTGCTTATAGCCGTAGACTGTAGGTCCACCAGCTCTCTCATTTTCAGGGAGAATTTGACCAAAAACATTCCTCTCATCCACAAATCCCGATCTTGTGGCCTAGAAGGTTAAAAATAGTGGTCATCAACATCATAATTTCTGTCAATATCACCATCTTCGCTAAGGCTGGATCAAGATCCGAGCATGAATCTGATCGGCAGACAGGTAATTTGATTCGCCACGACTCCAGAAATGACTGAAAAACTACAGAACGTTCCAAAATAGGGTATCTGCGCTCCCGGATTGGAGAGTAGAAATGTGTACATGCTGTCCCGGTTTCAATGGGTCGATGGTGGTTCAATCTAGACCAGAAGGAGGGTCATACCAACAATGGGAACAACTCAAAGATGGTCCAACAAACAACTGGTTACATTTAAAAACAGACCATA